TTTCACTTTGGCATATTTAAAATGACAGTATGGCTTCTCCTGTGGCACTTCCCCTCTGAAGACCTTAAGTCATGGTCAACACTACAGTGAAATTCAGTGTCTGCATGTGCTCAGTTCATCGGTGACATCTCAGTACTGCTGTGATGTCCCACGTGGCTTTGCTCGGTGACTCAGTGACTCACCTGTGAATTCACCTCTATGGCTTTGCTATGATGCAAGGACCTGCTATCCTTTCCTTACTACAGGGACTGTGAAGCACTGAGGTTTAAAGTGATGTTTGTTCAAAAACAGTGCCTGATTATGAAGATAAAACCGTGTTTGGGGCTGAGGTCACTTAAATCAGTTTGATACCCTTCTGATCCTGTGATTATCCAATCACATAATAAAATATCTGATCCCTGCGTAGGGCCCTTGGCATTTGGTCAGCTGGGGATTTCTAGGATATAAAGGCCAAACAGTCAGTGATGGGAGGAGCAGGGCAGGAACATCTGCAGAAAGCAGTCCCAATCCCATGAAGGAAAGAGAATCCTTCATTCAGTATCTGTGGATACTGAATTTATGGCTGCTTCATCCCAGCTGACGGGTATATGGCTGCAGCAAAACTGGAATTAGCATGTCATGATTTGTAGAACATGCACATGAAAGGAAACAGGAATAAAAGGGCTTGTATTTATAGCGGGATTTTTGTTTCTCCTAATGTCTGTGTTTTTCAAATAACAGGTGAAGCTTGAGAATGAATAAAAATAATAATTTAAAGCCATCTCATTGTGGGCAACAAGCTGCTCGCACATTAGCTCAAACTAAGCTACCAAATTAGAACTCGAATACAGTCATCTGAGCACTTCATCTCTTATGTGTAATTTGCCATTTCCTTTTTATTTTGACATCTCAGCTGCAGTAGCACAGAAAAATCTCATTTGGGATGGAACAGCCTTATAGACTCACTGCAATGTCACACTGCTGCTGTTTAAGTAGCATGATTCTGGCTTTCAATGTGAAATTGCTATAAATCTTATTTTGTAGTAGCATGAAATATGATTGGGTGAAGAAAGTAATTTGATAACATGTTTTCTCAACATTCCCCCTTTCACTGTTTTCCCACATGTTCTGCTGCGTATTCTTACCATTGATAATGTAAAATGCTGCCTCCCATTTATCAAAAGCAGCTTGTAGAAGTATAAATAAGCACAGTGGAAGGAAGGGATACAAGGGACGTGACCACAACAGCGCCGTGTGCTTCAGCTCTCTGAAGCACATAGTGCACATGCTAACAATGACCTTCTTCTGGGCTTTCTTACAGGTGTTCCCATTCCTTCCCTGGTTTGGTACAAGGACTCCGTTCCCCTCAGCAAGCTGCAAAACCCCCGCTATAAAGTCCTGCTGAGCGGGGGGCTGCGGATCCACGCGCTGCGTCCTCAGGATGCAGGGATCTTCCAGTGCTTTGCCAGCAATAAAGCTGGGGAGATACAGACCTACACCTACCTGGATGTGACCAGTGAGTAAAGGGCTGGGATAGGGCTCGATGAGTTGTGCTGTTGTTGGAGATGAGCCTACAGCCATCAGGTTTCTTCTTGCTCGTGTAGTTTGAACCTTGATTTCTTATAAATATGGCTGTCCTATGTGTGAGATACCCCAACGTTCCCAGTTTGGTCTGAATGCAGCCTGCTGAACCCTGTAGAAAACACAGGAGCTTGAGGCAATCTCTTATTTCATGGTATGAAAAGAAAACTAAGGGAAGAAATTGAAAAGTTAATTGTAAAATGGTTTTCCTTCTTCATTATTAAATGATTCGGTTCGACTGTAATGTAACCCTGCTTCATAATTGTTCATGGCTTTTTTTTTTCTGCCTTTTGTCTACAACTACATTTAGCAGGGAAAACAAAGAAAATTCAAGTTTAGTGTCTAGTTTTTTGGCCATAAAGCCTGATTAAATGCTTTAGTTAATGAAATACACTTTTCACTGTGGGAGAATTACAAATCCTCATTGTCTCTTTTAAAAGCAATTATTAACAGGCATATATTCTCATAATATTGTAACTCCTTTTCAGGAAGCTGTTTTTTAGCCCAAGAGCAGTCTGTACATACTGACCAGAATTTCTTCAGCCTGCAGAAACTAGATCAGTTCAATATAGATCTAGGAAACTGCAGGGAAAAAAAAAAAAAAAAAGGAAAAAAAAAAGTGTTGTAAAGTGCAACTGGGGGAAAATAAGAGTGAAAGAAACTTGGAAAATGCCTTGGATGAGACTCGGGTTCTAAATTCTTTTGGCTGACATTTAAGTTTCGAAATTAATGCCTTTCTGGAGTTGCTTTTCATCTTAAAGAACTCTGTTATGAAGATGAACGAAAATAGTTTTGTTTATCTAGATTTCCCACTTTCCCCCAAACACTCATTCAAAGCTTTATCTGCCTTTAACTGTAAGCCATCTTACTTGTACACGTGTAAGTGCTGATAGATTTTTATTTTCCAGGTAGGTAATAAACTGAATTAGGTAATTCCTTGGAGATGAATAATGAAAGGTTACAGTCACTGCTGAGAGGTTTTCATGCATTATTGTCATGTCCTTCTCCATGAAAAGCACTGTAAAAGTGGATGTAAAGCAGTCCATGATAATAGGAAAGGCATCTTTCTGATAACTGATCTGCTGAGATTTCAAATTGTTTGATTCTAGACATTAAGCCAGCATTTATACAGCCTCCAGAGGACACCACTGTGACTGAAGGGATGACTGCCATGCTGACCTGTGAAGTTTCAGGGGCTCCAAAACCTGCCATCTCGTGGAAGAAAGGTATCCACTTACTACACTGTTGTGGAACTGCTTGTTTTCTTATCTATTCCTACTCCTGAGATTCTGTAGGTCCATTTAATATTGCTCTAGTTCTATGAGCCAAGGGTTGTAGAGGTCCTGCTGCGAGCCAGTGGCCCAGATAGGTTGATACCATCCATGTCTGTAAGAGCTGGGACTGCAGTGCCTCAGCCACGCAGCCTACGTGACATTAAACATGCTGCTTTTCCTTTCTGTGTTTCAGGAAACCAGATCTTAGCCAGTGGCTCAGTTCAGATTCCTCGGTTCATTCTTCTGGAATCCGGAGGGCTCCAGATAACGCCCGTGTTCCTTCAGGATGCTGGCAATTATACTTGCCATGCAGTCAACTCCGAAGGAGCTCTGAATGCTTTTGTGATGCTGACAGTGTGGAGTAAGGACAATGCTTTGTTTAAAGTCTGATTTGAATCAAGTGCTAATTGGATTTTGGTGTATGACCAGGACATTTTCATACCGAGTTATGCTTTTCTCTTAAAAGAGATACTTGTGTAGTTCAGTGGTGATAACGTACTGTTTTAGGAAACATATCACAAGTACCCATTTTGTTTTAGAAATCATACGTATAAGCTGTTTCATTTTGTGAAAGGTTGTGTGCTTCAGTGGAGCATCTAGTCACGCTTACAGTTTCACTCGGGTTTTGCAATGGTGAAACTTGCCTTAGTCTGCATTGCAAATCTGCCCTTTTACTTTCTGGATTTGGCTGTTTGCAAGTTGTTTTTTGCCTCCAGCAGTCTGCAGGCAGTATAAAGCAGCCCATGCTGTTACAAAGGCTGTGGCTACAAATACAGTGGATGTGATTTTCCTCCTAACTGTGCATTTCTTTGTGACCCTGGGCGTTCTTGGAAGCCAAAGCAAAGTGCAGCACACTTCTACTCTCTCATGTTACAGATTGGCATGGCACAGGGCAGCCTGTGAAGTGATTTAGTCTTTCATCGTTTGCCCTTGATCTCTATTTTTCCCCTCTGTTGGTGTAAAAAATTGAATCAGTTAGGTTCCCCTGTATTACCCCTGAGTGAGAGGCAAAACATAAGTTTCGTGTGTCTGATCTGAAGCAGCAGCTGAAGGGTTAAAGTGCAGTGTGTGTTGTTGCTATTGGTAGGAAACAATGATCCTTGAGCTGGGACTAAAACCAATTGAAGACGATGAAGATGATAGTGACAAATACAGAAGTAATGAGTAACTCTTTTCTCCTATACTTGAAGTACAGCCCTGAGGCTGATTACACCACAGATGTGTGGTGTGTATTTGACATCTGTTAATCCCAAAAATGTACACGTTACATCAGTAGCATTTTTCCTTTTGAACTTGGGAATACCTGAAAACCATACTGGGAGTAAATGTAAAGTGCTTTTGACACACGACTGTTAGATTTATACCACCTCATTGACAATGTAAAGTCAGGATCTTGTAAACTGATTGACATCCAGGTGTATGAATAATAGAGATCCTTCCTGTTAATTCTCAAGGGATTGATTCTGTTTCTGTTCATTGATGCAGCATTGGAGGGGAAAGGAGAAGTGATTCTGACCTAATATTTATGTAAAACTTCACCAGTGTAAAGCTGGAAGGCACGCATAGGTGCATCAGGAATAATGCCAACATTCCATGCTCCTGGGTGTAGCTTTTGATTTTGCTGATGATTTCTTTTTGTGCACAAATGAGATCTCAGTAGATGCTGATTATCTCTGTGGAGAATTGGGACTGATTAACATTATCCACATTATCCACATATCTCCTCACCCCTAGTTGTCTACCTGCTCCAGATGATGCTATCTGCTGCTACTGCTGTGTGCTGAGCATAACAGAGATCTTTCACACCAGATTTGGTTGCTGTAGTTACAGCAGTTTTTGTCTTCTGTGTCTCCAGGAGGTGCTTGAATAAAGATGTTTTGAAACATTTAAGTAAACAACATATTTCCCTATGTGAAAAAATTCAGACTACCAAAAACTCCTCCTCCCTTAACCTCTTTATAGAATGCCATTCAAGCTTTCCTCTTTCTGGATGATTTTTCTAGCGTTTTTTTCTTTTGCACAGATTTTCCTTGTTTTTGTTTTTTGTTCTCCACTCTAAATTGTGTGACTTGTTTTCTGACAAAATGCATGTTTTGATTCATCCTTAACGTGTTATAAACATTAGGACTTCAGGGAGTTGCCAGAGAGGCTTCCCACAAAGACAAGTGAGAGTCAGTGCAGCTGTAGCACTGCTGACTCAGACACGTGCCCTCTGCTGCCTTCGCCTCCCGCACCCCACAGCATACAACCTCCTCTTGACACAATGACATTAGAGGCAGGGGAGGCTTCATAGCAAAGACTTGAAGAGGAATGGCCTGCTTGCTTTGAATGACAAATGTTCAGTTGCCTGCTCCCCGAGTGAATATCCAAGTCAAAATGCTGTAATTTCACCTGAACTATGGCTTGTGTTCCTTTCAGATCGGACTTTCATTGTTCACCCTCCTGAGAATAGCACTGTGATCAAAGGAACTACAGCCACTCTGCGATGTGAAGCAACTCATGATCCTAGAATTTCAATCAGGTCGGTGGTGTCAGTTGTTGTTTGTGTGGTTTACCTGAGCTCAATTCTATAAGCTATATGAATAGCATTAGGTGAAAAGTTTCAGGACCCCAAATTTTAACACCAGACCCCCCTATTACTGCATTATAAGGTTGTACACTGTATCATTAATCATATAAATCTCATCTTCCATTTCAGCCTTATGTATTATTTACAATGAGCTATGTTCCACTTCATGACTTCAATATAGCCTTCCATGATTTTACTGTCAAGGTTAATACACTATCAATAAAAGCAACTTGTCAGAAGCTGATAGTTAATGAGAGTAAAAGCCAAAGAGAAGGAATAGGATTTCAAACATGTCTACACTGTGGTGTATGAAAGCGATGCGCAATGTGCCCATGTTCTTGGAAGCAGCTCAATAACTAGAGGCTATATTCTGCTTTTACTGCATAAAGGGAGAAAAAAAAAAAAAGCAACTTGTATGAACTATTAACATTTGTACTAGAGCATCTAGAGGAAGTTCACCATTTAAAAATAAATTTACCGTGAAAATGTATGTAGACTGAAAGCCAAATTAAAGAAAATGCAAGGAACAGCTTGAAGGGTGTCAGAAGGGTCAACTGCAGAAAGAACTTCAGAAGGAGATATAAAGATGTAAAAAAATGTTATGTAGAGATACTTAATTGCAAGACCATGGACTGGACACTTATCTGTGGCCTGTTCGTATGTGTCCTTTAAGGGATGATAAACTGGTGAGCTTTGCCACAACGGTTAAAGATGCTACTGATTCTATCAGTGTAAGGCTGATACGGTCTTTGCAGAGCTGTGTTGTGCTGTTACCTTTAGTAGTATAACTGGTGTTGCAGCTTAAACTGCTGGTGAAGGTGGACTTGTGAACTTGGGTGTTCCTGAGCACTAGGTCTTTTCTTTTTGAAATACGCAGTATTGTTTATAAAGTGTATTGCATCTTGGATGTAATTACATTTCTTATTCTGTAATTACATTTCTTATTCTGATCACTGATCTAAAGTTAAAATTTGAAGCAGGCACTGTTCCTGAAAGTATCCATAGAGGCCTGACATTTCTAATTTGTTATTATGGAAGCTGGTATCTTGCATAGTTCAGATAAATGTATTTCAAATTTCTTCCAAGTAATTACTAATCAAAACATTGTAATATTCAGGTATGTTTGGAAGAAGGACAGTGTTGTAATAAATCCATCCAGCAGTTCCAGGATCACAGTAGAGAAAGATGGAACCCTCCTCATCAGCCAGACATGGTCAGGTGACATCGGGGACTATACTTGTGAGGTCATTTCTTTTGGAGGAAATGATTCCCGAATGGCTCGACTAGAAGTGATGTGAGTAATTCCATCTTGAACACAAGGCTATGCTGGTTTTCAGATACCCTCATACATTTTTTTTAGATATTTATTTATTTCAGTGGGAAATTAAGGCTGGTTCATTGTGAATTAAATTGCTTTGAGATGTCCTTCCTTTTGCATGCTGCTGTGCTACTTGGACTTTCAAGTGACTGACTTTCAAGTCACTCAGAAGTTACTTCCACTTCAGTGTATTTCTCTGCATCACATTCAATAGATTGGATGGCTGAGCTCGGGGGATAACAATTAATAGCTGTAGTCTGCATGAAGGCAATAATAAGTGGACTAATGCATGGGATTATAATGGGGCATGTCCTGTTCAACATCTTCGTCAAGGATCTGGAGGAGATGTTGGAATGCGTACTCATCAGGTTTGTAAATGGCACAAAATGGGTGGAGAACCTCAATGTGAGACCATCATTCATAGGAACCTAGATAGGCTGAGAAATGGGCTGACAAGAACCTTAGAAAATTCACCAAGGACAAATGCCAAGTCCATATGTGAGAAGCAGGTTTAACCCCAAAGGTTGGAGGTTTTTTAGACCAAACTGGATAAACTGGTCTGATTTTATGACTGGTCCTGCTTTGTGTGGGGGTTTAGCCCCTTCCAACCTGAGTCTTTCCATCATCCCATGCTGTTGGACTTTCCCATCAAGCCCAGGTGGTGGGCTGTGATGCCAAGGTTATAGGAAAACATTTTCCTCCTTTAGTGCTCTCTCTCTGTTAAACATACATAAAAATAGCTGGTCCCTCAGTAGATATTGCTTGTTTTTTCATTCTCTTTAGACATAGAGTTCCAGAGAAAAATATTTTTACGTTTGCCTTTCTTTATTCCTAAGAATCTTTAAAAATTCAGTTAAGAAAAGAAATAATACTTAAAGTACACTTGCTTCTGAAAAAGGATTATAAAAATGGCATTGCATGGTTCTGTATTTTCTATTCCTGTCATTCCACTGGAGCAAAGTAAGCTTCCATTTTATTTTTATCACTAAAAGCAACAACTGTGATTTTGGTCCATGTGTGGAACAGATCAAATGAGTAAGATGGTAATGTTTTATGTAGTCTTATTTTTTTTATTATTTGAGTAGTGCCACATGCTTTAATTTAACTCAAATTGCATCTGTTTCTGCTGGTCATGCCTGATATCTCTGAGAAGATGGCAACTTCTGCTGTTGGCAGAATAATGAGTTCACCTCAGAGATTTGCTATGCAGGGCCCTGTTTGATACAGCGTTATTCTGACAGTGCCAAGCAAGATCAGATGCCCGTTTGCAGAGAGCGGTCATACATTCTTTCTCTAATTAAGCGCTCCTCAGCTCTCCTCCCGGAGTGCATTTTACTGCTGATTTGGATCCAAGAGCAGAAGACAATTCAAAATATATTGCTACTATATAATCATACTTTCTTTTTCTCTGAGGCTGTTTTTGAGTGGAGGGCAGAAAATTACAGAGTGTAGACAGAAAAGAAGGTTAAAATCTGGACTTTGAAGTGAGCTGCAAAAATGTGCCAAACGCTTCAGCAGCTTCATCCTAAATACCAAAAGATGTCCTATGTGGTGACCCACTGTAGCACAGCAGATGTATTTATTCACAGCTTCCTGTTGACCAGTAACAGTTTTACACTCTGTAAAACTCATGCTAGAAGTTAACCAGCATATTCCATGTGCCTGCCTGCTCTCCCTCACCCAGCTCTCTGCAGCTCTGATGCTTCTCCATGCCCCAGTGCTCTGCAGCAGCTCTTCATCCTGGGTCTCTGCTTCTTCCCATGTTCTGTTGCTGATGGCTCACAACCTGTCTTTCTTGAAGGAATTAAAGAAATATATCAAACCCACTCCTGTGGAGGACTTCAGTAACTGATAAGTCACTCGATCATACCTGGAAGTGTGACATTTTATTTCAAAGTGGTGCTGCTGGTAGTGCAATAATGCCAAAAACATCGAATTCCTTTGCAGCTTTTGTCATTATCATTTGGCTCGGCAGCACAAATCTGTGAGAAATAGAGATACATGATACAACAGAAGTGAAATGAGGAAGAAAATATGTAGAAAGGAAATGTCAGAAGTAAAGCATAAATTAAATTTAGCTAGTGTACGAATGACAGATCTATAACATTCCCAGTTCTCCCAGATAATTCTCTTGTGCAGAACATTAACAAACAGGGCATGTACATTCCCATCGATGAGCACTTACACTTCAGTGCCTTGAGCAGCACTAATGTCAGACAAATGTTCAGAGGAGGCCTCTCAACCAATTACAGACCGGAGCAATCTACCAATGGATAATACTGTAGCCTACCTACCTCCATCTGACAGCTCTGATTGTCTCACCAGCTTTTTTCCCCCAGGACCTGGCATATCCCTCCTTTACCTCTGGGCACGCAACAAGAAATTTTCAAAGGCACAAATAAGTTTGCTACTGATTTCTATTCAGGCTGATCCAATTCAAAACCATTGACCTTCAGGGTGACCTTCAGTTATTCAATCTGTGAGTGGTTTGGTTTTCTAATCTGTGAAAAAAGGAAAGAGAACTTTTTCCTCCTTTTTCTTCCCTTGTTTGAAGACAGGCTTGGGAAAAAAAGGGACCATTTCTTGCCAGAAGAACACAGGCTGATAGCACAGTAGAGTTCTAACACGGTATGCATTGGTAGTGCAAGCAGGATGGATCATTTTTCTCAGCATGTCTATGAAGAAATAAGGTATTTGAAACTGAAAGCCAGCAAACTAATGAAGAACTTGCTAAAGTGCAGCCAAAGGTTACTGTGCTCATCAATTTTGCACTGATGGTACTTGGGCACGGAAACTAATTGCTAGTCAAGATACTCTATTCATTCATTTGTCTTCCCTCTAAATGTGTTTATTCTTCATGTACACATCTCTTGATTTGATTTGCACGAGGTAAAACATTCACAAGTGATGTTTCCCTCCTGTAAGAGATGAATTTTAGTTTTTTTACTTAGTTATTTATTCCTCTGCTGGTAGATCTTCTCAACTGCAAATACAGAAACATTTGCAGATGATGAGCTTGTGCTTCTCTTGCATTCTTCCAAGTCATAACATTAGATTCTGAAAAATAATTGTATGTATTGAAACACACCAACTCCATTTAGCTTGCTTTTATGTTCCTATAAATACAATATGGGATGGAATACATACAGAGAAAATAAAGCTTGTTCCTGGAGCTACATAAGCTGAGTTATCAGAGTGTATCACTCTCCTGACAGGAAACACTGCAGATTCCAGCTCAGAATATCCTGAGGGTTCTCTGTGTATATAAAATATTCAGAATTACCACTATCTATGCCTGATGATACCTGCTGCTCAATATCTGCCTCTGCAGTCCATACTAAGGGATCTCTTTGTTGTATGAATGTGACTGAGAAGTATGGTAATGCTACATTGTTGGAAAATCAAAGCCCTTTACAAGCCTCTGTTATGTCACAACATCGAGTAAAATCTTTTAGGCTCTTTTTCTATGCAAAAATATGGAGAGGACAATGTAATATAAAAATAGGCAATTTATTCCTGGCAGCAAGTTCATCTTCTTTCAGATCTCTTTCACCAAAGAGCTATTATCGCTCTGTCTTCTTCAAAGGCAGGAGAGGTGAGCTAACCAGTCATTATAAAACCTACTGTGTTGCCAAGAATGCACAGCACTGCCTTTGTCAATCACTTAAAAAGGAATTCTGATGTTTTTTTTTCAGATATTTGTAATTGATGCTTCTTCCAAATAACTTGGTTACTAAACAAGAGCAATGAGAACAATGTGGAGTAACAAATGAAAATGATGTCTCATTACAAACCTATCTTCACATGGTCCCATGTCCCTGAATTCCGGCAGCTCATCTCTTTTCCTTTTAGCAGACACTGAAAGCAGGAAGGATGTCAAACTTGAAAGTACATTATTCCTTCATCACTAAGAAAGAAATCTTCTATTTATTTTTTCCAGCCTCTCAGTTGAGGTGTTATCCAAGAAATAAGGTTTACTGCTGAGTCTAAATACACTTGATATTCAGAAAGAAGTACCACCCAGAAATGCACTTGGAAATACAATCATCTGTTCATCAAAGGGCTATCAGAAACATTGGTGTTTTTAGTGAAAATAAAGCATAAAATTCAAGAGCCTTTCCGAAGACATCTGTAGGCTTGAGCTTGCAGAGACTGCCTGAATGAGGCAGGAAACAAATCTGTGTGCTCTGGGGTTTGGCAGGTGTTTAATTTCAAAAGTCCACCTTGTTTTAGGCGTGCAAGAGACAAAAATCCTCCAAACTAATCGATGCCTTGCAGGAATCAATCCTTCCAGCGAAAGAAACTGGAAAGTCCTGAGCAACACATGATGTGTTTCTTTATTTAAAATGTTATAAACTTTTATGAGCAAAGCCATCAAGGCTGAGAGCTTTGCTAGATTTCCTGCCTCAACTTCTTAGCAAATTATCAGGTCTAGCAGATGAACCACCTGCTCCCAAGTAGAACGTGTACGAGGGACCTGATTTAGGAAGTCATTTACGAAGTGGGAGCAGGGTTTTTTTATAAACTGACAAGAAAACTTGTTTAATCTCCCTTGCCTTTTTAGTAATCCTCTCTTCAGTCACAGTCTCTCTAATTACCTGCTGTTGGACCATTTTTCTCAGAAATCTCTCCAAACCATGTCTGGTTTATTTCCCGTAGCAAATAGTCTGTTTTAGCTAATTTTGTAAAACACTGTATGTGTTTGCTGAGTAAATTTTTCAGCTACCCTCTGGCAGTGATGAGCTGACTCAAAACATTAGAGTTTCTGTTTTGAACATGTATCATCTGTAAGTAGCTAATACTTCTCTCCTAGATTGTCACAATAGCTCCGTGTCTTTTTTGTGCAAATCTGCCATTTTAATTGCTATGTCAGAGACCCCTCAGGTCACTTTGGTGGCTACGCCATTAACCCTGGGCTTATCTATCAATTACAGATTTCAAAGGGGTCTGTATATGGTTTTTGCTATCATACAAAGCAAGTCATGGAAAACTTGACTTCGTGCAGCTCTTCAGCATTAGAGGCATGAGTCCTTAAGATATTGAAAAACCTTCATATATTTCCTGTTTGGGGATTCAATGAAAAAAAAAAAAATAAAAGGATGATAATGCTGGATTATTAGTTTCCAATGTCTGATCAAGGGCTGCTGTGTGCCCTGCTGTTACTGTCCTAAACCTTACCCACTTTCTTGGTGTATGAGAAGTCGAGCAGTTCTCATCCTGTCAAAGACTTGAAATTACTTTTTCCTGCAATGACTTCTTGAATGTTTGCAGCAAGAAAAAGTAATCTTCCTAAGAAAGAAGCGATGATCTGTTTTGGGAATGTGAATATTCATGGTGGTGGTACAAATCTCATTTATCATCTGTTCCATGTATGCAGTAGCAAGTGAGAGGGGAACAATGTGCAAGTGCTTGTTAAGGTAGGAGCTGCTATTTATTAATCTCTGCTTTTGTGTACTACAGAGAGAAAAGTACACTTCTGTGCTGGAAAGTCTTTGTAGTTTTAAATATTTATTTCTGTCCAGGTGTGTTTCTTAGGCACTTATAATGTCTGTCTTGGGGGATTTAAATCTGTGAGCACCATCTGTTGCTGTTCAGTGTGGACACATATGGGTAAAGAATATGATATTAGTGGAGATAGGTGTGCTGTCTGGCTGCTGCAGCTCATGCTGTCCAGTCTGAGCAGAGACGCCTGTTTCCATCATGTTGCTGACAGATTGCCATTTTGTGTCAACCTAACAGAATCATCAACTAAACGCAAATCGTCAGCAAAAAAAAAAACACATTTAACCTGAAATTGTGCTTTGAAAAATGTGAAGAAAGGAAAGTCATTTCTCCTGCCAAAGTCTTCTATTATTTGTGCCCCAAGAAAGGGACTGATCCATAAGCCCTTTTACTCGTGTAGCCTCTTCCTTCTGTAGCGTAGCCTCTGTCTTCAAATCAACTGTTGGTTCAGACCTTCTGAACAGAAGGGAAAACAATATTACCCAGTAAATGCACACCCTGAGAATATCCTCAACAGATTCCAGCAGTTTGTCCCGTTGTTGGAGGAGGAGTTCCCAAAGGATAGGTTTGCAGTCAGCTCCCTCCTGGCCATCCTTCCACATTGCTCTCTGTGAGCATTACCTTCTGGAAGAGTCAGAGCCTCAGTCCAGCACTGAGCTCATCCCACTGGGCCTAGTGATAAATGAAGTGGGGACTGCGACTTCTCGAGCCGTCACAACAAGAGGTTTCACTCTCCTGCAGTAATTTCCTTTGCCAACTTAATCACAAAAACATTTTTCTAGCCAGCTTGCTCAGGGACACGATGATAAGTTATAGCGGAGGTTTAATGTTTATTATAATTTAATGTTTCATTCAAAATTAAGTAGCACCCGCCTGTAGTCCCGGTGTAAATGGCTGTATCTTAAACCTCACTCCATGCTTCTCATGTGGCAAGCTTTTTCTTCTATTTTGCCTTGCAGGCCAGCTGCCCTTCTACTTTGCTTTCACGTCCCCCTCTTCCCTAAGCTTTGCAGCACTCTGCTCAAAGTTTGCATCTGTTGGGCGCATTCATGCTCTTGTCTGTGCCTGATGTTTCCTCTAATCCAAAACTGACCATGTATCTGCTGCTTTTGCACAAAAATCCAAGCCTGGGTGCTGCCAGCCCCGACCCAAGTGATACCTAAACTTGTAATCAGTGGAAAGTTCAAGGTGTCTTGGCCAAGCACTTGAATGACATTAATACCAAAATGATCCTCCAAGTTGTCTTTCCACAGAAAGAGCCTGGGGTGACCATGCTTCTGATTTGCTTAGGCATTTAAAATCAAATGAGAGGGGAGGACCCATGGAGTCTCAAGCTCAGCCCTAGGAATGGAGCCCTAAAGCCCTTCCAGCCTGGGGAGAGGTGGGAAATAAGAGCCTTCTACTCGTGCATTTCTCTTGTAACTCTTTGGCTCCTCCTCAATCTTCCAGCAGAAACCTGAATCCAGAGCATAATCGTTCTTCTGGCTTAATGCCAGAGTCTGTATTTACTTTTGTGAGTGGCTGAGGAGTTGCGGTTTTTAAATAACTGTAAGCCTTCAGTAGCATGATACATTACTGTGTGAAATTACTGGTTTTAATATTAAGCATATAAGGTCTGCTTGTGGCTTTCTGCTCTGGCTAGAGCAGATGAGCAGCTCATGCTGAGGGAAAGATGCCACTGAGCTTTCCTGGGAAGAAGCACTGACTGAATGGGCAACAACTGGTCCTCCTTGCTCTTCCTTTCCTCTCAGAGATTCCTGTCCTCCTAAAAACCAGAATGCAAGGAACAAAAGTCAGGCTTGAATATAATTGCTGAAGGACTCGTCGCTGGATGCAGTTCAGCACATAAGGAATGTAGCAGAATTTAGTTTTCTCACTGCACCATGCAGGCTCTGACTTTCAGGAAATGAGTCCAAATGAAATGTTGTTCCATAAATTGCCTTTATGCCGAGAAATTACACATTTTAATTGAGCTGCTGTTTTATTTTTATTTTTAATGTTTCATTTTGTATTTCTGTGGGGTTTCTACAGGCATTTTCTCTACATTTTCTGGTTGGGCGCTTCCAAAAAAATCCTTATTATAAGAAGGAAGGATTCTACCCATGACAGGATAAGCCTGAATCCATGAGTAAATCAAGCTGTTCTGTAGCCTAAGAATACATATGGTAATTTTGATTAGTAGCTCTATATGGATAGTGTCAATGTCTTCTGCTTCCTTGAGTATGAAAAATTCCATGTTAAATCATATCTCCCATGTGTTTTACTGTTTATATGCATTACTGCTGTCATGTTTCTAGGACATCATTGTAAGAAGGGGAAAAGAAGTGAGAAGGAAATTTATTGACCAACTTGTCTCAATCAAAAAACAGTATGAAAATTGGCTTCTTCCTCATTTAGCAACATTTCCATTAGCTGTTCTAAGCATCAGCCTTGGGACTTTCTGCAAAAGTTGTGGGTTTTTTTTTTTCCCAAATAGGACAAAATTGTGAATAATGTAGAGATGCCTCTCATTTATTTAATTGCACAATGGCTGCTGGTAGTTTTATATCTGTCATCATATAAGTCTGATGTCATGTGCCTTTAGCTGCCTATACAACTGTCCTGAATGAAATACAGATTGATTCTGCTGTGCATTTTTTATCTTCCTTTCTCTTTTCCTTCACAGCGAGCTGCCTCATTCCCCTCAGAATCTTCTGGCCATCTTGAATTCCTCGTACAGCCGCAGTGTGGTGCTTTCCTGGGTGCGTCCTTTTGATGGAAACAGCCCCGTCCTCTACTACATGGTCGAGGTCTCTGAGAACAGTGAGTAAAGTCAGATATGTCCCAATTTCATATTTGTCATAATTATTTAGCCTTGCAGACTTAGCTTTTACCAGAGCTGCCAACAAAACCTTACTGTTATTTGCCAAATGAGGGACAGTATACAGGGAAGTCCTGGGCATTACACTCAACTGTTAACACCCTGATAGAGTTCAACTACAAAAAAAGACCTGATACAGTGGATTTGGTATATAGGGAATCCTTAGTTCCACTTCCAGCATTGCCAGCCTGACTTCAAGCATATCAGCTTATCCCTCCATGCTTCTATTTGACATCTGTCAAATAGCAGGAGTCACATTTTATTTCTTTCCTGTTGTCCTTTGCTCTGTGCTCATAGATACCCTGATGCATTCAGAGCCCCAGCTTCACCTGAAAAGTGTAGGCAGTCTGATAGCATAAGGAATTGATGGTCTGTCATAGGAACAAACTGGGATGTCAATAGGATCTGCTGCTATGTCTGTATATGGTTTCATACGTTCTCTCCAGTTTCCCTAGGTTGTTGTTTTACAGCCTTCTTTCAGGTAGGTGGCTGAGGATACTGAACCATGAAACATACAAATATTCTACCTTTGTTTGTAGCCTTCATAGGTTGCAATCCTGATCACTGTGAATCACCACTGCTCACAGGTTTGGCATGCTGCATGGCTCGCCCTTTCTGGCTCTGTTTGCAAGGTTATTCAGGGACACCGCTAAACGCTTCTTTCAGAGTTGATGGAAAGATGAGGTTATATGGAAATCGGTCACCTTGGCAATACTTTCTAATCTCTATCACACTAGGAGCTGGAAATCCAAGCCTAACAATTGGTTCTTGATGAAAAAATTAAGAGCATCACTTTTTCTGACATGTGGAAATTAGCTGCTGCATTAGTGAATGTGAAACAGTGCTGATTTCTTATTATCTGGAGAGTAGCATTTTGTTTTGCCACACAGAGAGCTTGAGATGAGACTTGAGCTTCAGATCACATACAAGCCCTGTGCTTTGCAGGTTGGAGTGCATAGCTTTTCAGATACAGAGGCCCCAGAACTGATGATCTTGACATCTGTTGCAAGAAGTGCAGTTTTGTAATGGAAATCCTAAATGGTGTCTGGGATTGCTGTCCTTAACACAGTTCCAGATTTATTTATTTTTTATAACTAATGACTGAGAAAATTCACAGTGTTCTGAGCTCACACCCCACTACACCTTTTTATCACTGTCTGTTTGATCATCCCTCTTCTCTCTCCTAATATTGACTATAGGCAGTAAGTAAGTGCATTTTCACTCCCTGTGCCCGTTCTTTCACTCGGGGTTATTGCCCTGAGTGTTTCATGTCTCCCAGTGACTTTGACAGAGACAAGTTAATCAACTCTCAGTCTGGGGACATGATGCAAAAATAGCAGAGCTGTATTTATGTGGAGACAGCACAGAGCTGGCCAGAGGTACGCATGTGAGTCCTGCACTGTGCTGCACTAACTGGGAAGCATCACAGAGCCCACTCAGCCTCCAGGTCAGATTTGGAAGGTCTTTAAGCATCTTTGTAACAGTGAGGCCTTGCAGGTCTAGTACAGACATAGAGTAGACATGCCATCATTTCAAGAATGCTATAATTTGTTTCCTGAAATTTGTGGAAGGCTCAGCAGAAATCAACAGTAGTGCTCCAGAAATTATGCAGTCTCTCAAAGCTCCACAGGATCCTGTGAACCCTCGCTCATTCCATGATAGATCAATAATTTTGGCTGATGGCATTGCAATCAACCACTGAGAGAGTCTCATTATCACAAATCATAGGTATATGTACTTCAGCTGCATAAACCAAACACAGACCAGGCTTGTTGTCGTCTGAGCATCTGAACTCCCAGAAGTATTCTAGACCTTGCTCTTCTTTGAGGTTTTTATCTCTGCATTTATTTACTTTGCTTTTATGTACAGTCTCTAACTGGTTACCCATAGAAGTAGGACTAGAAGGAATCCAAGTCCTAGAATATTCCACTCTTACTGTGTGTGCTCTCTCATTTTATATATTATTGCTCAGCTTTACAGATGTCAGCAGCGTGGTGGAACAACGTCAACAGTGACTTCTCTTGGCAAAGCTGGCTGAAATGTCTGCATATTTTCAGTGTCTCGTTTTGTTTTATATTCCTCAAATGTTTGGTTTGGAGTCATTGCAATCTTGTTAGCGTGTAGTTAATATCTAGGTTTCAAACCTGCTACTCCTTTGGAAAACAGCATCTTTCCTTGGTCCTGTCGTGTTCCCCCCACCCCCTCGTGATGTTCATGAATGAAGCTGACTTTTGATCTCATGAAGGTACAATTGTTGCCTGATATGACTGTGCAGAATCTCTCTTTGCTTTCCAAAGAAAATCTTTCGTCAGGTTTTCCATTGGCCCTTTTTCTGCTGCAGAAAGGGTAACTGTCAAGGACTCAACATATGCTTTCCATGAGCTCATGTGCTCATGGCTGTCACATTTCCACCATCAGCAGCAGTGCAATATGCTAAACATCCTAATCCCTGTTTGTTTTCACACATCTAAAGCTTAGAAAGGGGCATCAGAATTGTGATTTATTTTCCAGTTAGCAAAGCTGCATAGAAGGTATTGTTCTTCATTCTGTGGAGCTTTAATGCATGAGTTTGGCTTTGCTGTTACAAATGCCAAAATGAAGTCTAGTTTTGTTTGTTCTTTTAGCAGTTTTGCTTCAAATAATTTTCTAATCGCTTTCTGGATCCATTGTGCATTTTGAAACACGTACCATAAGTGAATCCATAATAACAGTATCAGTTTCAGAGGACTAGCTGAAGAGGGTTCAAAATAATGAGTGTAGATTTCAGAGGACTAATTACTAGCTACATTAGAGAGAGGCGTGTCACTCCACCTGGCGTGGATTAGAAATCCTTTTCATTAATATCAATTCAGTAAAGAGATATAAAAACCTTATTTTAATTAGAGGAAAAAAACAGTGGCAGATCGCATGCATAAATTGCTGGAAATATGAACGACTCCAGTCACCAAGTCACCTAATTTTTAAAATGAATATATTTGGCATAATGTAATAATTCTCAAATTACAAGTGTTCACAGTAGGCTGTGTCTGTGGGTGATTTGAGGCATATGGCCTTGAACATTTGGGGGCAAATTTATAATCTAATTTGAAAAGCACAGTTCCAGGGAAACACAGTCATTAACTATTCTACCCACATGGAGCCAGGAATGTGAACCTTCATTTCAAATGAGATTTTCAAATAAATAGTAGCATGAGTTGCTGTTATTTGCACTGATGTGATTTTTGGATGTTTCATGACCTCTTTAACCAGTGTTGCAGCGTTCCTAGGAACCCCTATGAAACATCCTCATGGAGTTGGAAGAAGCTCCACTTATTTTACTCTAAAAAAAAAAAGTTCAGATTTCAGAGATTAATCAAAAATTATTCTGACCAATTTTTTATCTGAGCAAATTAATACTTAGAGAACTCTGTCAAGTGTAGTTAACATTAAAATACATTTCTGATTTATTATATTCTGAGATATCTGTGCAATGTAATCATACAACTCAAATTCATCACATCATGCCAATGAGGAGATAATTAAAGCTCCTATAAACAGCATCTGCACATGCTTCACTTTGAGCTCATGAATTGTCTTGCTGAACTTGGTACGAATATTGAAATGATAAAAATTGAACACAGGGATAAATCTTTGCAAAACAACACCTACAAACAGGACTCAGATCCGCAAATGATGGTGCTGAAAGATACTTTTTCTCAGGGCAGTGGTAGACTTTGTTGAAGTCCTACCAAAGAAGGATGAAAAACTTTGTTTTTGTTTGAACTTTTTGCAATATCATATTGTCATGAAAGACGGATTCAGTAGTATGGTAAATTGCAGTGGTTCCATCTGTGCTAAACCCCTGGAGAAGAAAAGAGATGGAAATGTACTCCAAAGCTGCAAAAATTAGATTTCTGCAGTGGATGTGGTCTGCAATATCAAAAAGAAATGATTTTTGAGGAACTTGCAATCAGTGCAAGAATTGTGAGGTAGACAGGGAAATTTAAAAGGAATGCCTCTTGGTGAATAACCAGTGCTATCAAACATATATATTGTGAGTGCATCCAAAAACTCTTAACAGAACATGTCATTTCTCAAAGCCAAAAATTGCACTGTAAGCTCGAGAGTAGCCTGTGAGATTCTTGGTTTCCAAGAAATTAGCTTGGAGAGGCAATTGGAATTAATTCAGAATACCCAATATCCTTAAGAAGATAGACAACTAGCCATGAGTTTTTCAAACAGTGGCAATTACAGCAGAAGAGCAAGCAAGCAAAGCCCAGAGTACACTCTGGGCAGCTTAAGTTAAATGAAGGATTAGTGTGGTCTGTTCAATTTATTTATTAGTTTGACCTGGCAAGTCTCTCACTGTGGAGCTTCTCCAGGCTTCCTGGGACAGACAGGTGACAATCATCCCTGAAGGAGATGGGAGTCAGTGCTGAAAATCCTATGGAAGGTTTCCAACGTCAGAACTGCTTTTCTACGCAGTAAAAGGAACTGCTGTACTATGCTGGGCTCCCTTCTGTGTTTAAGGAGGCGTAATGGCCTCTCAGAATGTTTAGTTTATTGACTGATTGTCCAAAAAAAAAAAAAAAACTTTTAAATTTTGAAGCTACTCTGCACAGTTCCTTTATCCACTGCTCCAGGAGCAAGCAAGTCCCCCCCAAACCTCTTCCCTTTAGGACTCAGAATGCCCAAGAGATGAATAGGGTTCGTTTGTATTAGTTTTCAGTTTAATCTCTCTTCCTGCCAGATCTTTTATCTTCCACCAAGAGAAGAAAAAGAATAAATAAAGTATTCTACAGATGCAGCATATAAACAGAGCAGAGCCCCAAGGTGCTGAGGAGATTAATAGGCCCTATTGTTGAATCAAACTGCTCACTGCATTGAACTGCTTGGGTTAAGCACTCTCAGGTGGTGTTTACACTAGCAGTTAACAAATGGAACTGATTTGCTCTAGGAAATGGACCACTACCCAAGAGCTCATACAAGGATATTTTGCTCTCTTAGTGTTGTCTGTTCTTCCCTTTCCTCATGCAGCTGCTTCAGGCAACTTACTAAGTCAGCCATGGCTGAATCTTGATTGGGTCCTGTGCTCTCTGGATGTCACAGTGTAAGCAGTTGTTTGTAAAGCCTCGAGAGAAACTTGATTTAAAAGGAAGGAACTAGGGTGCACCAAACTAATGCAGGTATCCTTCCTCCGAGTGCTTTGTAAACAACGCCCAGCACTGCATTCAGATCATCGCCACCCAGACCTTGCAGCAGAAGCGGCTGACAGCAAATCATCAACAGCTGGCAGTGATGGAACCTGACTGCTGTGCAAATGTCCCTCTTCAGCATTCCCAGTATTCTGCTGTGTCAGTTTTCTTGTTAAAAAAGACTTTGTTCTCAGAAAGCCATTACTGGAATAAATATATTCTGAATAATTTGAAGATGCAGAGTGTATAGCCCAACAGGCATCACACCCCAGTAGACTTAAACTTGCTAAGGAATCTGCCAGAAAAACACTGAATTAGTGGTTTACATCTTGGTGTGAAGTTTTTCTTTCACATTTGGGACATCTCATCTTCATTTTCAGGCAGACGTGGAGGTGACCTGCCAGGAGCTGCAGTGCACTTCTGATGAGCAGCATGCACAGATACATTGCCAAAATCTGCAGCTAGCGCCTCAGTCATTTCCAGAAGTATTTGTAATTTTGAGCAGGGAGCTTGAAAACAGCTGGTATTATTTAAAAACTGAACAAATCTTTAAGTTGGCTGCTTCCATTGCTGTACTGTTGCATCTCAAACCAACTGTCACGTCTCCTTCACTGCTTCAGTCATGACTTTGGGGAGAATATATACCATCAGGCTGGAAAGAAAAGAAGTCAGGATATTTAATTTTCAACGTGCTTAATTTCTGACCTCTTTGAAAACTTGAAAATACAGTTTGGGCATCAGAGGAGCTCAGCGTGTGAAGTATCTGAACTGACAGCAAAGGTTTTATAGTACTGCTGGGGCTGTTTATACCAGGGAGCCTTCCTAGGAAATGAGTAGACGGAACGCCAAGTACTGGAAAAAGAATAAAACATGGAGAATCCGAAGCAGAAGCTTTCTCAGGTCTTATAGTGAAGGACTGATTTGGCAGAGAACATCACACTTCTACACCTGCTTGCAAGCTGGGTAGAGAGATATTCCAAACTGCCTACGAATTTCATTACAGACCTTCCACCAGAGCCACTCATGGGTGTGGTGTTGTAATGGCCTGCCAAACAGATGGGTTGTGAAATACACAGCCCATCTGTCTTTATCATGCTTGTTTCCTCTTTTATTAAAATGTTAATGAATATAGTTTTTATTTATTATGCCATGACATGTGCAGCATCACTTTCCAATAGACAAATGTGCAATCTGCATAACCGTGTGGGCTGACAGGAACGCTTCTTTTGCAGCAAAGAAACTTCTTGGTAAAGTTCCTCTGAGGAAAACAGGCAGAGGGAGCCCCGTGCAGCCACAGACACATCCTTCCTTCTGCAGAGCTTTCAACAAGCACTTCCACCAATTTCAAATGTTCCTTATTCTGACAGATTCTCCCTGGAAGGTTCACCTATCAAATCTGGACCCGAAGATGACCAGTGTCACTGTGAGTGGACTCACCCCAGCCCGAACCTACCAGTTCAGGGTGTGTGCAGTTAACCAGGTGGGAAAAGGCCAGTACAGCTCCGAGACCAGCAGGTACGGCAAAAATAAACGCCTGCATACTGTGTACATGTGGGAGAAAAAAATGTTGTTGTGAGAGAACAAAATAAAGTTATCTTTTGCACAATAACCGAGGAGGGGAGCAGTTATCATTACCCAGGTCTCCAGAGAGTGCTCTGCGGCTGTCAGTAATTGGTGGTAATGGCAATTAGGCGACGCGGGAAACCAGCACGCAATGGGAGAGGTGCCCTTGTGTTTCCAATGTATCAGTGAGCATTATCCTGGAAGGTGGTCAAGTAGGTATACGTGCAAGCAAAATATTTTTATTCCTATTGTGTTAAGTCACTGCAGTTAGCCCTGCAAGGAGTACAGCTTTCACCCAATCATTGCAATGTTACTTCTGGAATTCACCCAGATGTGACATAGAAGGATGGCTTCATCAAATTTAGTTTCAAATGCATCCCCCTTCCTCTGTGAACCAGAGCTTGCTGTGAGCTTGAATTGCAGAACAGCTGAACTCTAAATGGCTTTTTCAAAATGTAGGAATTTGATATGAAAAATATTGAAAGAGCTGAAAGAAACAATTTGGAAGAAGTCACAGACACTGGACCTGAGCTCTAGCTCATTCAGGCTTGTAATCTTTTTAAAGAGTTGTAGCAGCCTGGGTGATTCAGAGAGAATAAGGCTACCTCAGCTGTCTATCCTTCTACTTGCTTAACTGATTTCTTATTATGTTGATTTGTTGTAACTATTTCATGCATGTCTTCAGCAGTCTGATCAGCATTGTATTTCTTTCAAGTCATCAGACTTTGATAAACGAAACTGGTTCGCTTGGAGTTGGATCCATGAAATAGAAATGTTGCTTATCCTTTATCTTGACAACCACCTCTGCCACATTCTTTTGCATTCAGGTTGATGCTACCTGAGGAGCCGCCCAGTGCCCCACCTAAAAACATCGTGGCCAGTGGGCGCACCAATCAGTCCATCATGGTCCAGTGGCAGCCTCCTCCTGAGAGTGAGCATAATGGAGTTCTTCACGGGTACATCCTAAGGTGAGTAATTTTCTTCCCTCCAAGGTCTAGAACTAGACTGGTGTGTGCATGAGGGAGCTCCTAATGGTGTGATTCAAGGATGTATGAAAAGCTATTCCTAATTCCATCAAATATATTAGTTATTCTTTACAACCGCCGCGGCTGCATTGGTTTGTTGCAGACGAGAAAATGCCTGTGTTCAAATAGCCCAAAGGGTGCAGACATACAAATTCCAGCCTTTCTTAGTGAGCTCCAGTCTGCTTTTTGCTGTTAGGTGCTCTGGATGAGTGTGGAGACTGAGCATCCAGATAACTTTTCTCCATTTTCAAATATTCTAATTATGGTAAAGTGGGAAGTTGGTACAGTGCAGCCTGTGCATTGCAGATGTATTTGTGTTTATTACAAGCTCAGCTCGAGAGTTTAACTACCTTACCAAAGACACAACAAACAAAGGACTCCTGCACTATGGAAGAGCAAGAATAGAATCAATAACTATCAGTTTTGTGCCAAACAAAATGGAGAGGGGGAATGACAGGTCAAATGCTTTGTGGCAGACCTTGATTTGGTTTTGAAAACCGGTCAATTGAGTGAAATTCTTTCAGTCTCAGCTGTGTTAATGAAAAACAGATTCAGACAGTAACTGGGAATCAGTAATTCATTCAATCTTTTGCTTACACGGGATTTATTTTTAGGAAAGGGTGCTGCCACACCAAGAGACTTTGCTGAGCACTTCCATTTTCTTATGTTTTAGGACTCAGTTATTCACTCCTGCCCAATTCATCCACAGCTTACTGGATTATTTGGCTTCCTACATTTCCTGCTATGTTAGCAGCCAGCTGGGGCCATCCCTTTCATAAGGGAGGCACTATCTAAATCAGAATTTCTGTGGGAAACTCCCAAGCATTGCACCTCCACTGATATATTTCCTGCTGATACTTATGGCCTATTGCAGGCAGGTTGCTGACATTTTTAACACAGGATCTTCCAGACCTAGTAGAAGTTAACTAAATGCTGTAGTCTAAATGCCAGTCTTCTGTTTGTGCTGTGCTCCTGCTTTTGCTGGCATGGGTGGAAATTGTTTTCTGGTGCTGGAATGTTGGTCAATTCCCAAAATAGAGCTGGAAAGTTCCTTCACTCTATAGGCAGAGCTGAAGATGGTTAATCTCCCTGTCACCTGTACTGAGCCTATGACAGTGGTGAGCCGCTGGAAGGAATGCTGGATTTTAAGAGCTGGGGCTCAGTTTGAAAGCAGTGCCAGTCGTCGCTGTCAGGTGGGAAATGATGCTTCAGCTTCTGCCCTTAGCTAAATCTTATCATGAGAGCTGGGTACCCCTCTGCGTAGGATACAACGTTGTTTGTAGAGTTCTTTTCTTCAAACAAGCCTACTGGACGATGAGATTAACTCCTAAGCTACTCCTGGTATGTCTGAACCAATCTCAGCATTAGGTCAGAAGCAATCCTGCAGCCTCCCATGTCTGGCAATCTGCTCCATTTAATCTGTATAGCATTTCCAGTCATGTTTAGCTTAAGAGTTTTCTACAACTGTTATTAGCATAATTGATTCTGGTCCTCACTGTAACATCTCTTTCCATTTTAGTAGGGAGTGATCATATTCATTATGCTCAGTCTGTGGACATTTTTGATGTCTACACATTTTGTCTAGACCGCAGAGCAGCAAAAGCATTTATTCAAAAGGAATTTAAGATTATCATATAAAAGCACAGCTGTCCCAGGTAATAAACCAAGCTGTTCTCCCAAGTCAGAATGTGTGGCCACAGCAATATGTGCACTGACGAAAGGTCTTCCTGCACTGATTTCTATAGAATTAGGATACACTACCGTGCATCCCAGAGACCTGACGCTGAAGACATGCAAGATACTAAACTGATGGAACACCTGATCTTTAAAAGTGAAGGTGCACTGCACAAGTCACATAGAGTATACATCAAAGTCCGCGGTGAGAAAAATCATGAAGACATGACATTTCTGAACTGGCCTTCTTTCTCTGCCCTTTTTCTCCATGGCAGTATTGCATTTAGGGGAGTGCCATGCTAACAGCATAATAGATTAAATCACAGGAGCACTCTGCACCTTGTCTGCTAGGTGTGAGACAAAACAGCTCTGTGCCAACAATCGGCTTTGCCAAGATGCATACAGCCTTGGCAGGAGACAAATAAAGGAATAGGTAGATGTCACATAAAGTAGAAAGAAAGGAAGGAAGGAAGAAAGGAAGAAAGGCATTCAATAAACTCAGCTGAGAGCTGATACTTCCTTATTTCCATTTCTATTTCATAAAGGGAATTGTAGGATCACAAATGCTGATATGACAAAATACAGTCAGACGAGGAGCTCCACAACAGAGGAGAAGGGGGTGGTTGGTGATCAAGAGCTGACCTGATTAGGGGAAGAGTTTAGAACAAAATCTGTTGCTGAAATACTTGTGGAAGTTGTCTAGCTGTACAGATTTAACTCAGATAAATTTAAAATCGGTCCTTAAGATGTCAATGAAATTGTTCTGTGCTAATAAGATTTTGGTGCTTGTTGTGAGGCAAACAATGAATGAGAGTGAATAAAACTATTTTGGTGAATAAGAACCCAAGCATTCCTAAATTTGTCTGTTTTGGTGGGACTGCAATGCCCCACGACCCTGACTTGGTCACTGTGTTTCTGATTTGGTGTGATGTTAGCACATCACAAGCATCCATTGTAGCATTTCAACAAAGGAAGGAAAACACAGAGTTATTCACATTCAGAGATTTGTTAGGTTTGTTTTCCATAGCTTATTTATTCTCTGTACTTTCTTGGCCTAAAGAGACGCATCAAAAGGGTTGTTTTATGTAATACAGTTTCTACAGGGGAAAATATATTCTGTTTTCCAGCTTCGCATACTTCAGCAAAGGGTTTGTCTGGGTGTACACCACTCACCCTTTCCTGGTTCAGCCCTCCTGAAATTTCCATGCTTAACCAATCCTTCCATCTCAAATCTATTCAGTCCTTATTTTAATTACATTAAAAATACTGTATTTATAATTTTTAATAATGTATTTATTAAAAATTAAATAAATACATTTAAATAATTACATTACAAGTAAATCCAGGTGGGAGGCAGAGATGGCAGTGCCCACAGCTCCCGAAGGTCAGAGCCCTCTGAGTTCTCCTTTTCAGACTTCAGAGGAGGAAAAGAGCATTTCTCAAGCTGATTTACAGCAGCACCCTGATAAAAATCACATCTGGGCAATTTTTCCTACTAAATCACAGGTTTTACTAGACAAGCCACGTTTAAAAAGCTGTAATTTTTCTGCAGCCATAAAGTAGGATAAAGTACCCATTTTGTTTAGCCCTGTGCGTGTAATCTCAGTGAGATCAGATTATAAATACTATGGCAGTCAAACCAGACGTGATCTTATCAGGAGTTAGTCTGTTGTTTCTCATTAGTTTTCATTATTCTTTGTATAATTCTACTGTAAAAGCGAGGATATTACCTGTTCACAAAAGAAGCTCTTTTGTTAGTCAGGATATTTTCTGTAATTGATACCAACCAATTAACTGCAAGTTTTTCTTCCCGTCTGATAGGTATCGTCTGGCTGGCCTCCCTGGAGAATACCAGTATAAAAACATTACCAGTGCAGAAATTAACTACTGCTTAGTGACAGACCTGATCATTTGGACCCAGTATGAAATCCAGGTGGCATCTTACAATGGAGCTGGGCTGGGAGCCTTCAGCAGACCAGTGACTGAGTACACCCTGCAGGGAGGTGAGCAAATCAGAACAAGACATTGTTTATTGTCACAGTTTAATGCATCTTTTCGTATGGAGAAGATGGTAGTCACAGCTAACAACTTGTAGATGAATGGTCAGTTCAGTCAAATCCAGTAGGCAGCTCTGGGGAGAAAGAAAGGAAGTAGGAAACAGAAATTCAAGCACCTAAGCAGAAACAAAATAAGACCCTACTGCCATCCTTTTTTTAGAAAAAGCTGTGCATGAGCTCAGAATTTATCTATTTTTCCTGACCTTCATGATGACATCTTAGCACACTAGCAGGTCAGAATCATCTGCAGCTGAAGTTATAAATAGAGATGCTGGGGAGAGCTGGGGTCTGTGGAACGGATTTATAGGACACGTGAGATGCAGGGGCAGAGGCTCCTCCTGTAGGAGTGGCATAAAGAATATGGTAGGGAATTGGGTTTATGGTGGTCAAGATATGCAATATGCCACGCAGGCAATACTTGAGACAAGCACATAGCAAATCTAAGCCATTAGCTCTAATGGTCACAGAATAGCTTGCTTTGGAAATATGGGATGAACTTTAAGGGAACTGTAGAAAGAGAAATAGAGCCTGTGTAGAAAGCATGTTTTGTAGCACTTTGGGAACGGTGCAGACATTTGCAAAGGAAGATAAAATGATCTTTAAAGCCCTGATTTTTATGTTATGGCCCTTCCATACCTTTCTGGTAAGTGCCTTAAGAAGGGTATAAATTACATTCAAAATAGGATATGTAATTACTTTTTACAACCAGTGTAAGGCATGTTTACACCTCTAGATTGGTATAAAAATCTGTAGGATAATTAAGTACCAGGCCCTTAAAGCTTTCTTATATTCCCATAATTAAGGGATTGTGCTGGATTCTGAGCACCGGACAGTACGTGGTCCCTACATTATTGGTCATAAAACAATTAAACTATTTTAAAAGCTTGCAGTTTTACAGAACCTCAGTTAATTTATAGTCAGTGAAGATTACATAGTTGTTTGTTAATTGTTACTAGGAGTTCATTATAACATGATTAGATGCAGCTTGAGTTGTAGGGAGATCTTTAAGAAAAGATTATTTGCATGCAATACTAATTAACCACAACAATTAAAACGGGAATCTATCTGTATTTTGTCTTAGGGCATCTAAACCCTCACAGTTTAGAGGAGTCTAGACACACTCAACATCTTCCTAGAAGTATTTATAGCAGACCTTGAAATGCTGTTTTAAAAATTCCTTCTCTTTACAGCCAGGATTAATGTTTTGTATCCCACCATTCTCCACTGAGAATTGGTTTCCACACAGAATTTGAATCTATGTTGTGAATATGCTTGCAACTCATTACTTTGTTTATTTAGACATTTTAAGCTATCGTATCACCTTAACCTTCCATCTGTTAAGATTCAGGTTTGGACTTCACATTCTTTTTTTTCTTAAACCCTGCAGCTGATTCTAATTTCCCTTGATATTATGTGCTGTTATCATCATCCTTTATTGATTGGCTGTCCATTGTCATTTATAAGGGTATAAATCCTCTGTTATAAATTAAGAGAAATCAGTCCTGCATCCATATTAACTATTTGGAGTGTTTATACTGCATGACTACATGCACTGGCCTGGTTGTCTCGATGTAGTTTCTAGCTATTCAGCATTGGGCAGACAAAGATGAAAAACTGGTTATTTCTGATTTTTTTATAACTGCATTTAATAACAGCACTACATAATTACTTCATGGATGCTGGAAGCTGCCATCTCCTAATAGATGCCTTACTGGATTTCTGTGCAAGTCACTGAAGTCTGCTCTAAAAAGAGCCTGAATTCTTTTTACATTTAGAATTGAGAAGAAGGGAGGGTAACTAGAATGGGTGTAGTTGGAAATTGGATTAATATAAAGACTCCGTCAGTAACACACTGCTGTCCAAAACCCTGCTCGTTTATCTTTCCTGCAGTTGGGAAATGACAGGAGAAACCAGTGTTTTCTTGCTCTAGAATGTCCTTCCCGAACCAAACCAGCAGGAGTACGGAAAGCCATGTGTGAAACTGCCCTGTAAATCACACTCTGATTTTAATATGAGCCGAGATAAATGTCAAAGACACACACTCCCGTCTATCCCTCTCTCCTGCTATGACCACCACCACCTCTATTCTGACATGCGTTAAACGATGTGAGCCATGCTGGCAAGAACCTGTCTGTCTGCTGATGAAAAATACCTGAAATACCTCGTATTAATCAAATGTGCTCTGCAGTCAAAGCCTGGCAGGAAATGAGCACTGGGAGCTGATCACCCCATTGGCAGGAGCAGATCAGCACATTGGCATCTTTGTCGGGAAGAATATTGACTGGCCATACAAGCTGTGGATTTATACCACAGCCCGCTCCATTAATCCCTTATTAGCCCTCTGGCATTGTGTTTGCCACTGATAAGTAATCAGCTCTTCAAATGTTTCCAGCCTCTGCAATGCAGCCAAACTAGCAAGATGCTGAAAGATGATCTAAACTTGTAGTGAGACTGGCACGTAATGTCAACTAGATAAAATGTCAGCAAGACTTACTGCCAAAGCACTGAACTGCCGAGCTCCGGGGTCAGGCAGTTTGACTGTCTCTAAATCTTGAAAGTCTTTTCAGAGTGATATTCAGCGTAATCCTTTGATGCTCTGTGTATATAGGTCTTCCTTCATCAGAGCTTCTCCAGCTGTTCCTTACTTTGATGTTACTTTTCACAGGGATTTGGGCCAGCCTTCCGCATAGGGCAAATTTTACTTATTTAAACAGTGTCCCTCAGGACTTTTCATTGCCATATGAAAAACTGAAATTTTCCAATATCTTTTCATATGAGTGGCTTTGTGAGATGTACAAATGTCTTTCTGCATGGCAGTGATGTTGTTTCTGCTCAGTACTGTTGGCCCTGTTTAGCATTTTCTACAGACTGATTTGAGAAAGCAATCTTCCAGCTTTTATGTTGTGGCTATCCTTTTATCTCAGTAAAAGGAAGACTTTTGAGCTTCTCTTTCCATGAAAATCTCTCTCAGATTTAGCCAAGGCAAGGTGTGTAATTAGAGCTTTCATTAGACTCCTTGCATTGGAATTAACCTTTTTTTGTCTGCTTTAACTGATACACTTTTCTGTTGATGCACATCCAAAAGCCAGTCTTATATCCTTATTATGTTCATAATCCTTAATGTGTCATTTGACATTGTTTTAAGTCAATACTGTGCTGTGCATGGACACCTTGAAAGGCCAGCAAAGTCTCAGCAAAAGTTAATAGACTTTTCCATAAGTTTTTCCTTAGTTTTCCCGTAGGCTTTTTCACCGAAAGTCTTCATGTGGTAAAATTCCCTCACCAAGCCATCCATGGATGCTGGTTTGGGTCTGGCTGCTGCTGTGCAGAAGGAGGTCAGAGCTGTAGCATCGGGATCTTGTAGCTCTAGGTTTTATCACTGTTAGGTGTCATTTGCCATCTCCCGCTTTGCATTGCTTTTAATGGCTTTACAAAGGCCATGAAATTAGCGGTTGTCACGGTGAGGCCCCTCACTCCCAGTTCTTAATAAAGAAGTGAAATTTCGTCCTTGTGAAAAAGGAACAGAGGCATTTTCCAGCTGCAGGAAGCAGAATTCAGCAGTTATTGCCAAACCTTGTACTTCTGAATTTCACACTTTGGCACGTGTAGAAGAGCAGAGAGCCCTGTGTCCATGCACCTGCTGCTGCTCAGAGCACAGCACGACTTGGTGGCAGGTGGGCAGGGGAAGAGGCTTTGCAGGAAAAACTCTCCCCAGAGCTTCCAGTGCACTGAAAGAGCCAAATCCTCCCGCAGAGAAAACCTACAGCTCCCTGAGCCTGCCGTGCTGAGACATGGAAGCTGCCAGCCCAGAATTCGGGAGGTTGGGTGGAGCAGGAGACTTGTCCAGGGCTTTGTCAGAGATCTGTATTTAAGACCTGCAGTCTGGCTGTGGGTATCTGTGCAGGGTTTACATGCTACCTGCACGTAGCTACAGACAGAATAATTACATGTACACATGCTTAACCTGATTGCCTTCTCTTCTCTCAATTATCCCGTCAGCAAAACCCTTTTAATGGCTTTTATCTAGAGTGCTTCCATGACCTTTTCTGCTTAGAATGCTGCACATTAACTTGCAGTCCCCTGAGCTGAGCTCTTAACAGATTTCCAACAGTATGAACTTTGTAGGGAAGAAAGTAGCAGTTGGTTTTGTCTGACCAATTTGATCTGCAGTTCCAGGATGACTCCCAGATGGGTCTCCGGTGTGAGATGGTTTAAGAATGCTTGCAAAAATCATGAAGGACAGATTTAAAAACCAAGCACGTAAATGCTTGGGGATTACTTTTGAAACAGCTATTTGACATCAGTAGCTCCTGTACTGCTTGACAACAAGAAACTTGTAGGAAGAAGATAGCTATCCACTGCCAAGTTAGGAAATGTTTTATGGGGACAGCTGCAGCTTCAGCAAGGTGCTGGCTGTGACCTGGGGAAGGTATCTGAGTTCTGAACTGATCGGAAGGTCGGCCCTGGTTTAGCTTCTCTCAAACTTTTTCCTTTTTTAATGCAAAACTGTTCAGATACCCAAGGAAGCCTTTAAGATCAGAACATAAAAGGAGAACTTTATACCATCACTTTGAAGTAAATTTGAGGTCACAATGCCCATATTTTACTGATTAAAATATAAAAATGTATTATATCACATCTGCAGTATAATTAAGCTTATGCATATTAGATAGACCATGTTCTTTCCATCTTTTAAATACGTTCATTGTAATGCAGATGTTGATACTTCAATGAAGATTCTGAAGATGAATTGTAATATAAATCATGTTTCCAGCATTCTGAAGCATTCAGGTTTTCTGCTCATGATTTTTATCCTTTCTCTTATCGTAGCAGGTTCTGTTTGTGCTGTGATGATTTATTCTCATTTCAGAGAATTACCTCCTAATGAAAGAAAAATATTTCACTCATTAAAAGAAATAATTAACTCATGTGGTTATACACATTTCCAAAATGCAGTAAACCTATCCTAAGGTGCTTACCCAGCTTTTTGCATGGTGTGCTACATTAAGGGCCATGTGAATCTTCCTCCCACTGCCAAGTTCTGTATTTCTTTGAGTGGGGCTGTTGGTTAACAGCTTATGGGGTGAGGTATAAACTATAGTTTTTCTGCATCACAAGATTAGCGTAGCGAAGTAGAGTGGTCATGTTCAACAGAAGGAAGAGGAGTGAGCTGAGGGGAGAATCCTCAGCTGATTTACCCTTCAGGACAGAAGGAGATTAAATTAGCGATGATATCCAGATGACTTTCTGATAACTAGCTAATTCAGAGCTTTCTTGTTCACTTTTCTTTTTCAATAACAAATCTCTGGTGGCTACACAGTCAGAATATTCCAATATGTAGGAAAGGATGAATTTTGATTTTTTAAATTCTTACACTATCAATTATACAATTGATTGTATAATCATAATTGAACATGAGCAAGTTAAAGCACATTTAGTGGCTCTCATAATGAACAGGTTCATCAAAGAATATGAATAAGTGAAAATACATTAGTGGGAGAATGAAGCCGACGCAACTCATTATGACTCTATATTGACTTTAATACAGATGGCTGTATTTTTGGATGATCAGATGAATAACTTAAGTACAAAAACTTTACGATGTCCACAGGTTGATAAGATTATTACAACCTTCCAAAGGCGTATAAGGAATTGTGATACACGGCAAAAAAGGAAATAGGGCCCACATTTTAATGAAAAATTAACGTAGTATCAGATCAATTTGTTTTTTAGAGCTCAATAATTAAGGATAGTTCATAAAGTGTGATACCGAGCTTTAAATTAGGGCAAAACAATTCCAAGTAATATGCCGTTTCTGAAGTTAAATAAAACAAATGTGCAGGACTAAATTGTCAAACCAGTTGTCTTCAAGGAGTTTTAGTGTCATAGGGCATGGAAGTGGATGTTTTAGGCTTCTTTCAAACCTGACATCTTCAAGGATTTCTCCAGGTTTCTGAGTTGATATTTCTAAGATGTGGGTGTCTTTGATAGTTGTACACTGTCCCAGCTCTGTTGGCTGCAGTCTTGCTATACCTTGTACACCAGTTAAGAATAACAGCCCTTTATGTCTCCTTCAAACAAGTATAGCTTTTGGTGGACAAAGGGACATTTTTACATTTTTGAAGATAATGTCTTCATTTCTCCTCCATACAAAGGCACATCTTCCAAAGGTACTTTGAAGCTTTAAAAGTTTGTGACCCGTTTTTGAGAAGTATGGAGCAAACTAGCTTTTCTCAGTGGGAATTACAGATACTTTTGAGAAGCATGGGTCATTGGGCTTTAGTAGAATTTCTCCCTTGGAAGCAAAATGAACAAAGTTTTCAAGCTTCAAAACCACTTGTGGATAGTTTCTCTTTCATAGAATACAAATGTACATGGCTGTCAATATCCATGTTTTTGAAGCTTTATATACTCAAATAGCAGCTTATTAAACTTCCTACAAGCTTGATAGTTTCGGCAAGATAGTCCTGACTTAGTATTCCTTCCTCTGAGAACTACGGAAATGGCATCATAAAGTAATGAGTTGAAGGAATGGGCTGGAAGGTATTTAAAGAGATGCTGTGTTAAATGGCAAAATATGTGGCGGGGTTATGGGTTCTTTTGTGGTGGGGTTGTTGTGGGGTTTTTTGAAGCCAGTATGCCTCTACATTCCATGCTTTTTGTTTCATGTTGGAGAGACATGTGCTCTTTAAACACTTGACATGAAATGCTTGCACAACTTTTAGAGGATTTGAGGCTGCGTTGGTTCAGATTACATATAATAAATTCAATATAATGAATGATTGTCTTACCAAGATAACATGAAAACATCTTCAATTCCCAAGAAAAGTCTTTGTTGCATGTTGTATGACTCGTCTTAATTTTTTAAGCAGCAATGAATAATAAACAGATCCTGTCACCAGGTTATAATTCAGAATTAGAATTTTGATTGTGCTGATCCCGTGTTTGCTAGTTTGAGCCTGCATGATATTAAAAGACTCAAGAAATTTCTTGGTGAAGCTTCATTTCTCTGCGCGGTCATGGATAATTGAAAGAGATGTTCACCTATCATTACCTAGCTTCTGTCTCAAGTCTTTATGCGAAACTCATTGTGGAGTAATAAGTTCAGAAATCATTTCAACCCCTCCCCTTGAACGAATTTCTGAGAGAACATGAGAAATAACTCAATTACCACTCTTTCCAAATCATTGCTGGTTTCCCTATCACAAGAAGTGCATCTTTTTCTCTAGGTTGTTATTACTTTGTGACTCATAAGTGGCAGTGAATAGGTTCTGTGCTCATCTTTCTCTTTTGCTCCCTCACCCCTCTGCCATTCTGTTTGATTTACTTTTCCTCTCTGCTGATGGGAGCAGTGCCGACAGCTCCGCCTCAAAATGTGCAGGTGGAAGCCGTGAACTCCACCACCATCCAGTTCCTCTGGAGCCCTCCACCCCAGCAGTTCATCAATGGTATTAACCAAGGATACAAGGTAAATAGAAGGAAGATTTCTTTAACTTTGTTTGCTTTAACAGTCGTGGTGTATAACAAATAGAAATTGAATCCAATAATCTATGAACGTCCTAGATGACGATATATATATGAAGGGATATCTTACAGAAGCAAAACGAAGAGAGAACTGAGCAGTTGTTTCTCCTAATATAATTTTCACTGGTTTATGTGAGTTCTGAGAAGAAAGTATGTCGTAGGCTGGACATTCTAATACCTTTGTCATTTACCTGGAGAATTTCCAAAGCCAAAGAGCAGTTTGATATCAAATAGCAAAGGAGGCGCGTCGCTGTGCCACTGAAATCAGCCCTGAGATTCCTATCTACTCTAGTGCAAAACTCCCATTCATTTAATTAGGAACCAAGATGTCACACCAAATATTTGTCTTAACTTTCCCACTGTGATGATTTTGGAGATGTAGAAATGTAAAATTTTTAATCACGCTTGATGGAGCGGCGTTGACGCGACACGTCCTTGTTGATGGGGCAGCTGGCAATATCTATTAACAGCGCACAGCAGAGAGTGCTTCACGGAGCACTTGTGGGTCCTTTCACCAGTGGAGTGTTTGATAAGGAGGGAGCTGAGTGCTTTATTTCTGTCTCTCAGGAAGGACTGCTTAATAGAAACTCCTCCAGCAGTTCAGCAGTGGGGATATAATTTAGGAAGCATTTAAAAACATTCTTAGAAAGAACAAAGAGGAATCTTGCAGTGATGGCAGAGCAGGGCGAGAGAAGATGGGCACATTTTGTTAGCAGGAGAAGGAAGCTTGGTGTAGCTGTTGGGTGAGGGAATGTTGGCTGAGCTGAGGAGGGTGTGCAGTTCTGAAGATAGGCTGTGAACTGTGGGTGCATTTTTGGAGTTTGAGAATAACAGAATAATAGAACCATAGAACGACTTGGGTTGGAATGGACCTCAAGGATTGTGAAGCTCCAACCCCCTGCCACATTCAGGGCCACCAACCTCCATGTCTAATACTAGACCAGGCTGCCCTGGACCCCATCCATCCTGACCTTGAACACCTCCAGGGATGGGGTATCCACAACCTCTTTGGGCAGGCTGAGAAGACTTGATCCTTCTCTGAGATGTTTCGAAGTGGTGGAGAAACTGAGGTAAATGTATGCAGGTGTGTTTTAACATTCTTCTTTCCATTTCTCATAAGAAAATTATTTCTCATACAGAACAGTGATGGTTGCACAATCCCCAGTTGAAGCAGCATGTGCATGTAAAAGTGTATGCTTCAGCTCTCAGGACTAGGTTACTGGGAGGGTATTTAGGCTGCAGAAGTATATCCTGAAATAGAAGCAACTGGCTTCTGCTTGGGCTGTAGAGAATTAGCAAACACACTTTGGGGGTCAGTGAAGTGCAGCACACTGTAATTATCTGGTGCCAATGCAAACGTGGTGAGCTCAGTCAGATTTGGAGAAGCCATCTTTTAGCTTTTTATTCTTTGTTTTATTCAAACGCGTCTTCAGTACGAAGAGCCTTAATCTCATTGCCTGGGTACCTCCGATTTAAATTTCAATTTAATTATCAATTTTATAAAATACCAAAATCCCGATTTGTATCTGTCAGCATTCAGTACAAGGTTCTGAGATTATCACAATTTCTCTTGGAGTTCTTTGATTGCATTAAATTGCAACAGCTTTATAATTTCTCACGGGGTTTGTGAATTGCAGCACGAAGACTGTGAGAACAGTTCTGTGACAATTACTTTACTGCACAGCTTATTTTGTATAATATATACATACCAGTACCAAAGCTAGGCCTTTGCTTTAGTTCAGGGTTAAACCCATTTTGTCCTTTAATGAACAAAATTGTTGACTTTTATTTCCTGCACATGCTTTCTATGGAATGTGCAATGATATTCAGTCTAATGTTCAGTCCCTCAAAGTTATTAATGCCAATTGTAATCCACAAAGGTGATTTAGAAAAGAAAATAAAGCGTACTATTCCATCAACTATTATCCGTTTTTTATCTTTTCTTTGAAATTTATTTGCATTTCAAGAAGCAGTAAAGTGCACCTTTCAAATATGAAATATTTCTAACGAAATGACTCCTTATAGTGCTTTAACTGTGCTTTCTGACTATGAGGAGTATAGTCTCATTATCAGCCAATAGATGTTGGCGAAATGTGTTAAATATGGCTCAATAATTTCAGGCATCTATTCATGTTTATGAGCCTGAAATCAATACAAGTAGCATGATTTACACAGATACTGAGTAAGGCATAGAATTTTAGCATCTTGTATAAGCCCACAAGGATTTTTGGACGTAATAGAAATTTCTGAAGCACTTTAAAGCTTTAGGCCCTGAAGTTGTTAAGGTGATTTCAAAAATTGTTTTAACATTTTGAAGTCATTTGCAAAAAATCAACTTCTGAAGTCCTCATTTAGGCAGCTACAGACAAGATATTCTACCCTAAGAAACAATGATCACCCAGCAGGGCCACTGAGATGACTGAAACCCGGAAGAACTATGGCTTGCCAAGCACATTACTTTAAATACGTAGAAATTTCATCAGGAGCCTCAGTTTTGGGACTTAGGTGCTAAAAAAACTGTACTAATCCTTCTTAAAGCCATGTTCTATTCTTTCTGTAGTTCCAAGACTTTTTGTGGCTGTCCCCACATCATCAGGCACTGAAACATTATTTGCATCTTAGCAATGCTGGTCTATGGGATGCTGAAGGCTGTGGGAGGGGAAGGAGGATTTCTCCCCCCAGTGGGATCTTTCAAGGAACACCGTGTTGAGATGAAGCTTTTATCTCAGAGTAGCACTAAAGTTCCATTTCTTTCATCTTTGCATCTTTCTTTCAGCAGCAGGGATTGTCCGGCTCAGAGGGACACAAAAGACTCATGCCATACAAACAGGCAATTGCAATAATTTTGGCCTTGTTCAGTAGCAGAAATTGAGAGCTGTAATATCTCTATAGTATCGATATGTCCCCTATTGCTAGTAAGCATTACACACATCCCTCCAGTTATCATGGTAACAGTGTTCTGTCCATCTGTTCAGCGTCAGAGCTGACAGTAGTTGAACAGCACTGCTTGTTTTTTACAATCAGATTAAGATGGTTTTGGCAGCCTAGCACACTCTAGTTGTCTAGTTCCGCATGGACACATCTTCTAATGAGAGCTCATCCACGTTTACATTCTCTAGCTCCTCGCATGGCCAGTGGATGCTCCAGGGACTGTGACGGTAGTCACAATTGCTCCAGATTTCCACGGTGTTCACAGTGGCTGCATCACCAACCTGAAGAAGTACACCACTTACTACACATCAGTCCTGTGCTTCACCACCCCTGGCGACGGGCCGCGCAGCGCACCGCAGCTCCTGCGCACGCTGGAAGACAGTGAGTAGGCAGCACTGGTGGAGAATCTCAGTGCTCACGTTTGGGTTGGTTGGAGAGAAAAGCAAGAACTGTGACATCTGGGTGCTTAAAATCAGACCTCAAGTTGACAAAGCGGTTTGTAGTCTCTTGTCAAGTTAGTCTCCATCAGACAGTGACCTCAGCTGGTTGTCCACGTGCATTTTTGTGCAGCTGGGAAATGAAAGGCTGAAATCTCCGTGGTATGGTTCAGCTAATGCAATACATCATTTGTCTGTGAACCCTTATGCTCTTAAATCCATGTTCAGGTATCCAGATAACTATGAATTGATCTGAGAAATTGAGCACCAGGGCTTCCTGTAGAAATCGATGATTTATTTAAGTTTGTTTCCTTCTGCTGTTCAGTACATTGAAAATGTCTATATCTATACTATATTGCAAGTATTTGCATAAAGTAAAACAACCAGCATCACGATGATTTAGGAGCTTCTGCTCTGCAAACTAAAGTCACATCCATAGAGTGAAAGAAAACTAGCTAAATAGTTTTGCATATAGACTGTTTCCTGCATCAGAAAATGTCTTAGCCTCTGTGGCTTCCTGGAAATGTTTGTTCAAGACATGTCTGTGGTTAACACATCCAGCACGTCTGTTCAGATGACAGCTGAGTTGCAATGGCACTCTTGGCTAGCTATGTGTCCACAGTGATCTTGGTTCTCTATAGGGTTTCTTCTCACAGAGCATCGCAAACACTGCTGCACGTTTACAGATCCAAAGAAGAATTTAAAAATGTCTGCCACAGCCATTAAGATATTGTTTTTAGAAATACTACTTCTCCTTAACAGGGATCTTTTAGGTTAGTCAGTGTTCCCGTAAAGAAAATCTGATTAACAGCAGCATTCACAGAAGTGAGGCTCAGAGTGCTAATCCATTTTTTCATGAGACACTCTTGAAAGTTTATGAAGAAAATTAAGTACTTTCCTATGGGTTTTGATTTTGTGGTTTGCCTCCTCCGTATGCCCCAGGAACAGATTCTAGACTGCAGCCTTTGCTTGCTAGAAGGTTGCACAGATAGCAGTGCAACCACCAGAAATCTTATGAGCTATTAATATGAGCTGATATGTTTTTAACTGGAGTCAAGGCAAAAGGCACAGAGGAAAGAAAAACGTGTTAGGTTCTTATGTGCAGTATGAACATTTCGCCTGTTTTCTTAAGGAAATGAGGCCCTTGGCAGTGTTAATGTGTTGGTTGTCTGTCTCAGATCCATCTGTCTTTCTGCCTCCAAAAGCATTTTGATCCCATGGTTAATTGCAGGAAGCCAAAGATGGGCGGCTCCTAAGATTTCATGGGAATTAAGCAGCTGGGAAGAGGAAAGAAACAGTATTTCTGCTAAGGGAGAAATAAGCCTTAGAAACTTTATGAAATTATGAGAAGGGCACAGTCAGACACAGAGAATATTTCAGAGAGATGCTGGAATCATGTACAATTTTAAACACTAGAAATTTCCATCATGGTACACGGAACAACAGACAGTCAGACTGGTTGTATATTTGTTGTATATGCAGACTTGTGCTGCACAGAGCTTCTGCACTAGAGATGAGGAGCATTTTTTGATTCTGAGTCCTTCAGAAATGTTTTAGTGATGACTGAGAACTTCAGTGTAGCACAGCATAATGCATCTTTGTGGAGGACTCGTTGAATCTAACTTGTTCCAGGATTTATGGTGGTGAGTAAAAAGGTTTGAAAGGACTGTCATTCATGGTCTCAGGTGATCATTTTCTGTGTGTCTGCAAAGCCAAGTTGGGCAATCCTTTAAAAAACAGCGCAAGTAAATCTGTTTGCTGATGAACTGTAGGTCAAATAAAATGTGACATCCAGTCAGAAGCGATGCGTCCTGGCTTGGTGTAACCTGCACCTGCTTTTCATTATGGCATTAAAACTGGAACGCAATGGCAGGAGCTAATTGGAGTAAAGCTTTTTGAGTATGTGGCTTGCATGTGTGCAGATATGTGTTCCTGAATAGTGCATAATTGCTGTGCTCTCTTCGGGTATTCCCGAGATCGCTACCAGATCAGCACTTTTCTGTACTGCTTTGACTACTACACATCGCAGAATGGATTTGGAAATTTTCCTCCCTAGGATTGCAGAATTGCAAATGTGGTCACAGCCGACCTACTGGCAGGCTTCTTTTTTTATTGTAGCTGGAGGGGAATGAGAAACTGGACTAAAGCACAGAGGAAACAAAATATGAAATTGCAGACGAGAAATTGCCAACTGATGTCAGCGGAGCTGGAGGATACTCAGGCAGGGATCCAATGACAGAAGCAGAGCGAATATAAAGTGAACAAAAACTCCTTTTTCCAGTACATCAATTGAAGACAGAACAGCAGTTGGATCAAAAATCAGTCAGGATGTCTTCCTTGAAGATCAAAATTGAGGGAGGATGGCATATTCTTGACAGTCATTCCATTTTATGCTCTTTCATTGCACACTGGGGAGCTGAAATTTTTAAGAGCTCTTGAGCTACATCATAAAAATCCTTTAAAAGTTTCACACACTTGTATTCATTTTGCAGAAGATAGTTGCCATTATGCTGGGCATTTTTAGAGATGTTTTGAGAGACACTGTCCAAGTTTTGAGGCTGCCCTTGCTCTGACCTTCGCCTGCTGAAGGCTCCGTGCAGGCAAAGGAAGCACAGCCCCAAGGAAGCTGCACAGAGCAGCACGGGTACCCACATGCTGTCGAGGGGAAACAACAAATGCAATCACTTCCAACATTGCCAGCTTGATTGTTCTAATTAGATTAGATCAAGAAGAAAGACAGAGAACACATTGCATGCAGTCCCCCGCTGCTGCTCTCTTCAGTTCTCTGCACAGTTGGGATGATGACTAGATAAAATAATTTGTGTGATGATAGCCAGAGTGCTTCTTAACACCTTCCATCCTTCCCCTCTCCCCTGCAGTTCTCACTGATGTTTCCAGCAGGCTTCCCTTGGTCCCAGCTCCATGTTGCAGTCCTCCAGCCCTAACCTTGCCACATGAATCACATCAGAAGTAAGTGGGCTTCTCGTGTTAACAGATTTCCTTTTCTGATTGCCAGAGCCGGGAGCTGTGGGACACCTGAGTTTCACTGAGATTCTGGACACGTCTCTCAAGGTCAGCTGGCAAGAACCTGTAGAGAAAAATGGCATCATTACAGGCAAGTATCAGCTGCTACTTTTTTTTTTTTTTTACTTTTTTTTTTCTCCTCCAGTGTGTGGGGTAGAATGTGTCACTGCAATGAGAAAATGTTTGCATAATAGAACATTTAGGGAGAGCTGGCTGCTGCGAGTACCGGTTTCCTGGTTCATCTTTTGGGTAATTGAAATGTCAGCTAGGGCACATTATAGAAAGTACGGGTCCAATTACTGGCAGCTCATGATTGTGGCCACTGAAACGGCAGTCTTTATTAGAAATCAGCTCCCCATGGAGTCGATGGTGTTGTTAAATCTTCTGCGACCTCCACCTCTGCCACTTTAAAGTCTGAAACTTTGCGAGTTGGGATTTCCTATGTTGAATTTACAGCTGCAAAATCTGAATTGGCATTGCTAAGATTTGCAATCAAGACCAACCCTGAAATCAGCAGTATCCTTCATCTGTGATCAAGTGGCATGGCTGCGGAGTGCAGGACAGAAAATTTGCATTCATTACTTAATTCTGTATAAACCATCACAGCAGTTCAGAATTCTTGTTTCTTTGATGAGCTGGCCATCTGACTGCTCCCTGCTATTTATCTATTTATTCCATGCCAAAGTAGATGTAACATCAGCAACTTCATTATTTTTCATAAAGGCAGCTATTAATAGTGGATAAAATCTCTAGCTGTTATCAAGAGAGGCAATGTTGCTTTCAAATGGAAAACTATTACTTCTGCACAGGATGGACATTCTGTCTAACAAAGGATTTCAAGGTTGTGAATTGCAAGAAAACTCTCAGATTTTAAATGAGCTAAAATCGTAGTTGGGAAGGGATCACTTTGCGTGGATCCGAATATTCTTTTTTGACAGCATTGATATTTTGTTTTTAATTTAATAAATGTATATACCTATTTTTTTTTAAGTAAATGCTTTTGGGGATTACAAAGAAAAGAAATGCAAAGAGACTCTTTGGCCCCTCCGCATTGTACCGGCCCAATTTCATGAAACATTTTCACTGTAGCAGAGCTGGTTATTTGGATTGGACTTGCTTCTGTCCATGCTTACTCTGTGAATCTCTAAGGCACTGTTTATATACGTTACTTCCATGATGTTTACATTGTCTGTGAGTTTTTTATGCACATATTCTTATGCCTTATAGCTCAGTAGCCTTCCTGAAATATGCATTGATTTAAGTGGTTCAGAATCAAAAACTAATAACTTCAGAAAGCAGAGCAGTATTGATTCAGTGAGGATGTCCAAAGCCTTCAAGCCCAAGTGCTTAAATTTAGGTATCTAAATCCAAATCTAGTTATCTAAGCAATACGGTGCAATATTCATCCATGCAAAGCTGCAGTTAGCAGCACTCTTAGTGCTGCAGAACTGTGTTCCTAGAAATAATCTGCAACCAGAGTGGGTTGAAACTTGGTGGAGCAAAATGATTCTGCATTATTCTTGTGGCAAATTCTTTTAGAAAGAAGGAACTGAAGAACTTGAGTTCGCAAAGAAATGCTGATGTAAAAAAGCCCAGCAAAGTTTATTCGGAAAGAGAAATGTCCTTAATGTCGCAAACTACATTTAGACTGTAAAAGCAGCAGAAGTGTTCATGGCCCTGAGCACCTCGGGGAGTTGCAGAAGGCCACGTGGAGTTCTGAGAGCTTTTCCTCTTCATTTCTGCTCATTGAAACCTTTACGGGCACTTCTTGTTGCATGCAGCAGCACTGGGAGGAGGAGCGCACAGAGGAGGGGGCTGGCAGCCACCATGCTCTGGGAAATTGCCCATTACTCTTGCTGTAAATTTCAGTATCTTCCCCTTTCCCTCAGCAAACCCTGATTTATGAGGACCTGGATGCAGACGGACAGTTTGTGATTGGGTGTACTGCTCACTGGTAGAGAATTTACTCCAGATCAACGAAAAATTATTTCTGAAACTCCTCCGGCCATTAGTTTCTGTTAGGCAGCATTTTGTGGCTTTGATGGGTGCGATGGCACAGTGCAGGGCAGCTCCATGGCACCATGCTGCTCCTGGTGTGTGGGCACCAAGGGAAGCACTGGGCTCCCCATGCACGCTGCTGGCAGAACAGAGAGCACGTTGTTACCAACCACATGTCCCAAAGTTCTGCCCATCTGTCAGTCATCGTGGCTTAAGTGCTACTTGGGGGGATGCTCAATGTTGTTCCTTTCCTTCAGCATTGTTTCATCTGTTTTAGTTATGCATGATTACATCTGGCTTTGTGTCAGCTCAGCATATATGCGTGTGTTTTCTGTTTTTATACAAGTAGAATTTATCCATACTTCAGGACTGAAATATCTGCAGTAAATGCCGCCTCTTTGTCTTTTCTTCAATTTGCATGTGAGCTGAAAAATATTTCCCAGCGAACATTTTTTCAGCAGATAAATACATAGAGACTATGTGCCTAATGGGCAGGAAAGCTGGGGCTCATCCCTGCAGTCACAGGGGAGAAAACAGAATGTTCAAAGAATAATCACCAACATTTGATGTATATGCAAAGTTCATTGAGATGGGAGGGAAGATGTCTCAATCATTCACGACTGCCTTATGTGCAGTGCAGGAAACTTCTTGCTGCTTGTAAGCAACAAATGGATGGGGAGAGCATGAGAAGTCCCCTGCTCATTGCTTATTCTGTTTCTTTCTTTGAAAAATGCATTCTGTTTTATTCTAGGATGGTTCCCTTTGATTCCCTCTGCCAGACCTTGTGCAGGGTTCAACACAGACTACACATAAAGTCAACAGAGTCCACAGATTTGTCAAAATCCTCACGCATGTTATAATCTTGCCTGTACTACACACGTTCTGCTCACTGCAAATGATTCTCAAGCTAAAGGCATCAGGTCATTCTAGTGTCTCTGAGATACTGGTAAATTACTGACTTTATTGAATCCCATTTAACAGATGGGACGTTTCAGACACTTGCTTAGAGCTCGCTCCAGGTGAGCGTTCAGGAGTTTTCCTCCTTCCTCCAGGTAGTGTGTTGTCAGACAGGTGGTTGCAACGTAGCTCAAATGGTTGAAGTATCACCTCTCTGCTTTTTATCAGTGCCCTTTCACCTGAACCATAATTAATGACGATGTGAGTAGTCTGAGTCCATTTTTATACAAATATGTTCATGTGAAATTCTGTCAGTGATGGCAGCTAGCACCCGAGGGAGGATAACATCTCACACCTTTCAAACACTCTCACAAATGAGTGTCTTACCATGCTTGTAGTTCATGAGATGATGCTTCCTTGTTGATCAAAACCATAAGGTATTTTGCTATTTCAATGTGTTAATCAGCTTAGGTTTAAAAAAATAAAAAATAATAATAAAAAAAAGCCAACAACCCCAACTGATCTAAATTCCCCATCTTATCTGATGGGAACAGGAACCCAGTGGGGAGTTTCTCTATCCAGCTTGCCTTGTGCATGGTTCTCTCAGCAGGGTTCCTTTCTGTTAGCCCTTTTCATTCACTTCCATTTCACAGGCATTCAAGAGCTATGGGTATTTTTTTTTTTTTTTTTTCCTTTTTTTCCCCTGAGTCAAATCACAAAGAAAGCTGCAATCAAGCAAACTTTTCAGACACACTCCCTGGAGACTGGTGCAGCAAGGTTCAAGTGGGTTCAACTGAGAATAAAGTGGGACTGGGCAGGAGGAGGACAAGCAGATTTGGAGATAAAATTGAGCAAATCAGACAGTAGAAAGTTTCAAAAGTTCTTGGAAGGCAAATGGTTATAAAAGCGATAAAAAGAAATGAGTTTTAGAGCCTGGTTATGATATAAGAATAATGTGGGGGTCAGGTGAGTGCAGTCCTGGACAATAGATTGGCTACGCTATGGTTTTGAAAGAAAGGATAATGATTCACCCTGCTAAAGGATTTGTATGAGGAACAAGCAGTGGGGAGTAAGGTTTTTTCTGGTTCCTAGAGGATTCCCACCATGTTTCTTCATGATCATCATTGTTAGGTTTGTAAGTATTTCCAGATACACAGCAGCGAAGGTGGCTTCAGCCTGGAAAAGAAGTGGCCCTACTCAGTGTATATAGATTTTTAATGAGGTGTTCTAGATGGTGAGAAAATGTTTTATTTTCCAGTGTTTCTTCCTATTCATTGTGCAGAGTTCACAGAATAAAAGTCTGCCTTTCTGTGAGATTATCCTCGGGTTTCCTAATCATTGCACAGCAAGCACTGTGCATTCATAGAGAAACGGAGAGACTCCATTGCGACTCCATGCCCCCGTGTGTAATCTGATGGGCAGTGCTTATCAGAAATAACAGTATTACAAAATACTTGGTTGTTTAAGTCAATGTTCGTTTAAACTTTATTTTTTAACTTTTTTTTTTCTTTTTTCTAAAGAATAAGATAAGATAAAAGGTTTCCATCATCACAGAATCATAGAATCATAGAATCGTAGAGGTGCTCATTTTGGAGGAGACCTTAAAGATCATCAAGTCCAATCACAACCTAACCATACTACCTTAACAACCTTCCACTAAATCACATCCCTGAGCGCCACATCCAAATGGTTTTTAAACACATCCAGGGATGGTGACCCAACCACCTCCCTGGGGTGCCTATTCCATGTTGGACAAGACCACTGAGATCATCTAGTCCAACCATCCATAGTACCATTCCATAGCTGTACCATAGCACCAGTGACACAAGCATGCCTTACAGAGGCATTCATTTGCCAGTCTCTGGGTTATTGCATAACAGTGCTTTAGGAGAAAAGCCAGATCCCACCACTGCCACAGCCCCTGACTGCCGTGTCGTTGCTTTCCAGGCTACCAGCTCTCCTGGGAGGTGTATGGCAGGAACGAATCCCGGCTCACCCGCACGCTCACCAACACAACTCTGGAGTACAAGATCACAGGGCTGTCATCTCTCACCACGTACACCATCGAGGTGGCAGCTGTGACTGCGAAAGGGAGCGGGTGGGTCACGTCCTCCACCATCTCATCTGGGGTGCCTCCAGGTTGGTGAAACTTCACGGAAAGGGGTTAAAACGGGCTGATTTACACGCACACCAAGGGTCACGAGGGACTTTGATTGAGTTATAATAAATATGGGTTAGTTTATGCAGCATCAGAAGTCTTTACCGCATAATTTGAAGCTAATTCTTAGAAGGCATTAAAACATTAAAATGAAAGTTGGTTTTTGTGAAAGAAGGTTTTTTTTTTGTTGTTGTTGTTTTTAAAGTTGTAGAGATTGCAGGAGGAACAGACAAAGCAATAAAGTGGATAAAGTAAGGAAGCTCTTGATATTTTCAAAGTAACGTAAGTAACTGAAATTAAACTAAAGGAAACTGAAACTGAAAGTAACTGAATTAAATAAAAATTGCTGCTTTTGGGGAGAAGTAGAGTTTGGATGCTGCTAAATGAGAAAGGTTTTTCTATTTTAAGTAGTATAACTTATGTCACCTGTGAGAGGACATTTGCATAATGAAACCGAAATCTTATTTGCAACGTTTGGCATCTGTGGCCTGAGAAAGATTTGGAAAGTAGTCCTCTGCTGCATTGTCTGAGTTTCCACTTGGGCCCCTGGGCATTATTTGATTTAGCATTCTGCATTTGGATTTTAAAACTCAGCACTCTCCTTCATCCTGAACACAAAGCAAACTAAAAAGCCATTTCAAACCTCCAACCAGCAGTTTCTGTTAATTTATAGGCTATACAAGTAGAACTTTTCAAAGTGGAGCAGTTAATGCACATCACTGATGGTAATCCATTTTTTCCCTTTTCTGGTGTTTTTGAACTTTTCTGTGTGTCTTGAAGTATGCTTGCCTTTCTTTCCCCTAATCACAGGTAATTGTGACAAGTTGCAGGCTGGATCAATGCCATGCTGCCTGTCGTTACCCAGATAACAGCATTATCCTGTTTGGTCAGAGTTGGTTTATCGATCATAGCTCCCACAAATGTGAAGTAAATATCAAGAAATATTGTGTATTCATGCATACTCAAAACTATGTGCCAAAAATCTGCCCATTTTTGCCTGCTGCATTTGCACATAGTAAAACATTACAAATGATTACTGATTATTGTAGTAATTTCCATTGCTTATGATTGCAGGTACTATTGGAAATTTATTCTGAACAATCTATATTTAATCCCTTTCCTGGGCTTGTTTTTGTTGATAATTCAGGCAGTATTAAAAATGTAAATGCTGCTGTAAGCTTGACTGATGTGAGGCAACGATCTGATTGGAGCTACAGATTTTTCCCCATAGAAGGTCACCCTCTTTATTTACAGCAGAAATTAAAAAAAAAAAAAAAAAAAAAAAAAAAAATCATTTTGCTTTATGCAGCCATCAGAAATGGCTTATAAAGCCCATCTATTGCAGATCAATATGAGAAGCATAAAATGGTTCCACTACCCAAAAACCTGGGAGTCTTTTTCCATTGTTAATATATTAAAGCTGCATACACCATAAGAGGTAAAATGATTATAATTCTAGACAAAAAGCAGTGCAGCAGAACTAGGTGCCTTGGAAGTGCCTTCCCCCAGCCACCTTGCTTTGTCTGTTACTCCCAAATTGTAGCTGCAGTTCTGTAGAGGGACTCTCTTCATTTTTGATCCGTAAAATGCAGTGCATGCTCAGAGCAGCAGAAATTGTAATGTTGTATTTAATACTCAGCCAAAAAAAATCCCAACAATAAAACCAATGCTATTTTCTCTATAGTAATTGTTATAAAGGTATTTTCTACGCTGAAACACTGCCAGCCTGTGCTTCTGTGCTTTGTACCAGGAATATTTCCACCTCTCATGTGTGTTTCTCTTTCTGCAGAACTTCCAGGCGCTCCGTCCAACCTGGTGATCTCCAACATCAGCCCTCGCTCTGCCACGCTTCAGTTCCGTCCAGGGTATGATGGCAAGACGTCCATCTGCAAGTGGATAGTGGAAGGCCAGGTATGGCCCTGACAGAGAGCTCTCACAGAGTCAGAAAAGGATCATCACAAGCAACTCATTCACCAGAGTTTGGTCCATTTATTTTAGAAATGGTTTCTAACCTGAGTTTGTGTCCTGATAGAATCATAGAATCATAGAATCATAGAATCACCAAGGTTGGAAAAGACCTAAAAGATCACCCAGTCCAACCGTTCACCTATTCCCAAAAGCTCCTACTAAACCATGTCCCTCAACACAACATCCGGCCTTTCCTTGAACACCCCCAGGGTCGGTGACTCCACCACCTCCCTTGGCAGTCCATTCCAGTGCCTGACCACCCTTTCTGAAAAGTAATACTTCCTAATGTCCAGCCTGAATCTCCCCTGCCGTAGCTTGAAAAGGTTAGGTTCATATTCAGACCAGGTGTTAGCCAGAAATTGTCTCACAGAACAGAAGTATAGGGAGAATTGCAGCGAACGATTAAGATGTCATTATTTTGATACTGGCTGTATTTGTGCCATTTTGTAAGGGAATATCCTGAGGTTTTCTGTCCAGGCTTCTGGATTTGAATAGGCTGAATTCTCACCTTCATCAGCCTTAAATGATATTCCTCTTTCTGCTGCCATTATGCCTTGGAGGGCTTACATATTCCTCATTTGTTTTCCTGACAGATGAGCTTTGCTTCTTCCTTTCCACCCACAGATCTTTATAAATAATATAATCTGTTTTTAAGACCAAATGTTGGACTTCTTAAATCACCGTCACCACTTAGACATGTTGATACAGTCACTTCACTTGATAATGAGACTGTTGTGAACGAGTTGGTACATTTTGTATAATTTACATACACATTATTGCATATTGCAGAATTAAATGCTGAAGTTTTATAATATGGTGGCTTGGCAGACTTTGGGAATCATGTGTTTGAGCACCTCTTTGGTATTGGTAGGAATTCAATTCTGTAATCGAGAATTACAAAAAGCCACTGAAATTAAACAAATTTGAATGCTTCAGAATGGCAGTAATTATTGCTACAGTGTTCATCCACATCCTTCAAGAGCTGTCAGTACCAAAAGCAATTGGAGGGTTCTTGGTGTGCAGGGAGGGAAAGGAAAGATGAGTGTTCACAAACACCTGTCAGCATCCTATGCACTGCTGGTAAAGTCAAGGGACTGATGGTTCTGGTCAATCCTGGATCTGCCAGTGTTTGCTCCAACAGCCAAAATTACAGCAGAATCTGTCATGCTGAGTCTGAGCATTTCTTTGCACCACACCACACTGTTCGGCTTTGGCACAGCAAGAAACATTATTCCAAATGGATTTAATACTTGGAAGAAAAAAAAATCTTGCTCACATGATTAACAAGAAATCTTTTCAGTTATGCAAAGAAATTGATGATTCCTTACTGATACAGTAAATCCTGTTTCCAGGATGACAGCTGCCTATAATCCTTTGTTCACAGCCCTTTTCTGCCAGCACTTTGTTCAAACTTTTCTACTCTCTTGAAGCGCAATCTCACAGCGCCGTTAGCCAGGCTAAACCAAGAGGTCAGCTTGTCCTGTCCCCTCACTTCATCCCCATCACTCCCAGCAAGACTTTCTTGCTCCTAGCTTCTCTACCCTGTCATACCTGGAGCTGCTGTAGGGCTTGACCCAGCCAAGAAATGGGTTTCAGACAGATCTATTCTCTGTACAGGCTGTGTGCAATCAGAAGAGCCCCACTGGAGGGCAGGAGATGAGAGCATGGTGATGGGAGCAGGAGTTGAGGGCAGGAATGTCTCCATCTTGGCTTGGAGCTAAGCTGCCCTGGACCTGCCCTGCTGGGTTCCATGGGTTTTATATCTGTCTGTCCAAGATGTACAAGCTTTCACAAAACAGTTATGTCATGATGAAGAGCTGTCCTGCATGTCAGTCCATGTTTCCCTCTGTATAGCTGGTTGGTAGTTTTGCATTGGACACCCCATTTGTATTGCACCTACTCCTTCATCTCTCTTGGGGCTACACCCTTTCTCTAGATTTCTGTGTCCTCACAAGCGTGTTTTTCTTCTTCCTTTATGTGGCACAAAACTTTATTGGTGAGGGCAGGTCTAGAAAATCTTCCAAGTGTTCCATTTTGGCCAAGTGCCATTTTTGAAGTCTGATACTTCATGAACAGTTTGAATGAAAACACAGCTGGGAATTCCACTTTATGTGAAATTTTTTACAGCTGGCCTTGGCTTCTGCTTTTTGTGCTGGGATGTAAATTGACGGGATCCACTGTGGAACTAATTCTCAATTATGTCAGTGAACATGAGAGGAGACTCAGGTCTTTAAGATGTTAGTGCTGGTAGATACTGAAATATCAAGCGTTGAAAATCCCATTTCTGTGTTTCTAGTAAAGCCACTTTCTGTACTTCTGAAAGGATTTCTTAAATCTTTTTTCGGCAGTTTCTCTTCTGTCGTCACATTTAGACTGAGAGGACTGGAGCAAACTGGATTTCCAAACCAAAAGCTGCAAAAAAGTACCAATGCCATTTAAAAATATTTCTAAAATTGCTTTTCCATTACATGCAGTATAATCTAAAGAGAAGGGAGTCAAATGCAGTATAAAGGTTTTGCAGACACTTGTTCAGAAGGTCCAAAAGTAATGGTCTTGTGGCATCGACACTCAGACTACATGTTCATCCCCAAAGAGTTTCAGTAAATCCTTCCTATTACCAGCAGTCATCCTGTACTCTCAGATTCAGAGCATATATTGCAGACATATTTTTTTGGCAATTTGCAATGACGAATGACTATGAATCCTTTAATATGGTTTCATGTTTGCACCCTCTCTATGCTGCAGCAGATTCTGTTTATTTTGCCCTTATTTTTCTTGAGGTTCTGTTGGGAGAAGAACGTAAATGGCAGTGTCATGGCAATTCCTTGGTCACATTCCTTGGTAAGGCCACAACACAAGGCTTTCCATGGCTGATGAGAGAAGCTGGGTTGACCTCTGTTGCACCTGATTTGTTTTCTGGTGATTAATATTACTGTGCAGACAGCAGAAGATTTGCAGCACCTCTTCACAAGTGGCATTCAGGTGTTGCACAGGTCAGAGAGCCACGAGTACATGGGCTTACTTTGAGGATTTTCTTAACGCCTTTCTGCTGTTTTAAGCGAGATTTCCTTATAATATTATCACGAGCAGCAGCAGAATTGGAAAAGGGAGTTTCAAAGTACAAAAACCTTGAAAGCATCCTCACTGTGTTCTCTTGTAAAGCTGTGAGTTGGGACGGACTTCACTTTCGCCGTGAATTTGTTGGGTTCTGTAGTTTGTCAGTGACCCAGATAGGACTCATCCATTGTACGAGGTGATTCTCTTGGTGTCATTTTCTCTTCAGAGCTGGTAAATAAAGTGTCTGAAGCCCTGACAATATTATGACTTTGCCAATCTTTAAATCAAAAATGGGTGAATCGATTTAGGGATTTTGTAGGAAAAAAATGGCACCCAGGCTGACATCCTGTGCACCAAATTTCTCCCAAAGTGACTTCAAATGCCTGAGTTATAGACCTCTATAATGAAAACTCTGACATATCTTGAACTATAGCAGAACACAGGGTACTTCTGTAACGCACAGAAACATCGTGTTTCCCTATCCTGCTGTTAGTGCTTAATAACTGTTCACAATTTTGGAAGCATTACTGTCTTAAAAGAAAGATTGTGCCAAATGATTTGACATTCCAAAGTTCTATTTTTTTCTGTTGAAATTTTTTTAAAGTGGAAATTCTACAACTTCACTTACATAGTGCATCCCATCAGGCAATGTTAAGTCAATTGATAAAATTCATAAAAATTGCCAGTTTTAGAAATGGAGAAACTAGTCCGTAGAGAAGTAAAAGGTTCTGACATCATTTCCAATATTGCTTTATACCATCTCATTTCTGTAATAATAAATGAATGTGATCTTTTATTGAACTTAATGCCTTGGTAACAGCCTAGAGATGGGGATTTATACGTGGCTGATAGTTATAGGGAATCATATGAAGCGATGCGGTGGAGATAGGTATTTTAATTGTGGCAGTTCCTGCTGATCTCCTGGGGCTCGTGGCCCTATTATACTGAGAACTGTTAAGATGCAGAGTGCATTTCTTAAAGAGTTTTTATGCCGATGGCAACAGCAAAACAGTTGGTGTTCTCATCTGCCTCCTAAAACAATGCACACATGAATACGTGTGCATCTGCCACAAGCATAATCCTTTTCTGAAGTTTGAGGATAGTGCTATCCAAAAACCAACAGTAAGAAATAAGCCTGCAAATTAACTTTATTTAATGCAGACTGGCTCACTGGGGACTCTGCGGCCCCCCATAGGACTCTCTTATCCTAACCACTGCCCATAGTTCTTTTTTGCCTTGTGGGAATCCCTTTGTACTCTGATTTTTGAAACAGAAATGTTTCCTCTGATCTAACATCAGAGTTCTTCAGCAAAAAATAATTTCCTTTTCTTTCAAGAGCCTGAAACTTGGAACCTGCTAAATGCCTTGAGAAGTTAAAAATATAGGAGCCCATCGGTGAAGATTCTCTTCCAAGACTCATTTCTGAGATAATTGCTAAATAAGTGAAACTTGTACTGAGTTAACAGTCACCTAGAATTGCTTGGCTGCACGATCAGAAATCACGCAGCAGTCCCCATGCTGCTTACCATGCTACCCTCGAGCCGAGTGCCCTCCTGCTTTGGAAAACTCCCCACAAAGGCAGCACACTCTCAAACGTGCTACTGACTGCAGCAGCAGATCAGACCCTTGAAGTTGCCCAGATGCTGGCATGAGATCCTGGCACACTGCAAGGTATTATTCTAACTAAAGCAAGTTCCTCATCCATTTGTTTTAAGAAGTTTTAGTGAATTACAGAACTCTGCCTGTGCTTGGTATCTTCTACTACTTCTCCATCACAGCCTTTCAGCAGAGAATGAGCCTGAAAGAGGTGTGCTGGGACTGTCTGTGCCCCGTGTTCCCCAGCTCCTGAACCAGGTAGCAGCCACCTGTTACTTACTGGCTCCTGAGCTTCAGGGCAGCCAGTAGAAGCGACTCAGTTGTCACTTTCCATTTCCTTATAGGATGTACCCATCATTCCTAGCAGGGAATGCATTTAAAATTAGAAAGATGTGTCCTGGGATGGCTTCTGAGGGACTTGCTTTAGTCCTGGGCACATAAGAGCTTTCACCAGCTCTCAAACAGTAAAAGATCCTTAATATTCCCCCCTTTGCAGCCAGCTGGTGAATGCACGTCTGTAGAACAGGCAGAGGTTTTGGACACCTCTCAAGCTTGAGTCAGTGCTGATTGTTTACAGCCCTTTGGGCCTATGGGTCTGAACCATGTGGTCCTTAATGTGGATTAATGATCTGCCTGCTGCTGCATAACGATTGAAACCTGCAGTCTTTTTTTTTTTTTTTTTCTCCCCCTATGCAAGTAATATTTTTACAAGGGTTTATTGTTCTTAGAATATAAAAAGAAAACTCTAATGCACTCCTGGAGATTATTTGCAGCCTCCAAAACACTGTGGATGGTTGCTGTACAATTACTGCAGCACTTTGAATTGATGTTGTTAAGAGCAAGGAATTTCGTTAAAATAAGCATTCTATAAAGCATTTTCAACAGAATTAATCACAAACTTTTTATTAAAAGTTTTCAGTGTTTCTGTGACTGAAATCAATCCTCTATATAAAGGATATTTGTATAATCTATAGCATCTCTTTGTTCTCTGTGTTCGTTTTAGGGCAGTTCTGTGTTCCCAGGCAGACCTGCATTAAGCTGCTTCATTAAGCTTCTCTATCTAGGAACTTTACCAACATTTCTGAAGCACTGTTGGGTCTGGGAATTTCAAAAGGTCCATAATTTACACTGACATCTTTTTAATAAGATCTTTGGTGTGTATCAGTGTATTTGATTCCCACCAGTACTCAAAGACCAATCAACACCTTTGCAAGCACCTTCCTGCATGGAAACAGTCCTCTGCTAGAATAATCACCAAGGCTTCCTCTCACAATGCAATGCAGAACTTATTTCTTTGGCCTAATTTTCCTTGTGTCATTTCTTCATGCACAAACATAAATATGCAGCACATTGACTCCTGAGTGAGCAAAGAACTGAAATATCTATAAATAAATCAGGCTGCTTCTCCTGGAGGGAAAAAAAAAAAGAAAAAAAAAAAGAAAAAAGAAAGTGAATGAAACCTAATTTTCTGTTTGAAATACTTGGGATTTGCTAGATAGTTTGGGCTGTGTTGCTATCAACTGCCTTGATAATGTCTATGGCTGTAACTAGTATGCAGATATCGTAAGTGATCTATTTTAAAAAGATTAAATGAGGTTACTCTTTTCACAGTAGGTTGTGAGCTTCTGAAATTTGTTGCCAGAGCAGTGTGTGGAAGTAGGTAGTGTCAGTAGGTTTCAAAAAGGATTAGTCACCTTCATGCACATCAAGTCCATAAATAGATGCTGAAGGGAATAGCTGCTTTTGTCCCTCCAACATCCCTCAATACAGAATTGTGGACACCAAGGTAGGGTGAGGGAACTGACTTTAAATATGGCCAGGCTCATGGCTCTCCCCAAGTGGTATTTTCTGTTGTTGGAGCTGGAATGCCAGCTGACTGGAATGTTTGTCCAATCCTGAGGGATATTTGATGAAGTGGGATCTTCCCGGAGCTGCAGTGAAAGAACGGAGTGATAACATTTCATTGAGGCACTGGCCCTCTTTCTTTATGGCAGGTTTGAAGCAATGGAGTAAGAGTGCATGGTGCTAAGGAATTATAGCAGGGAGCCTTGTCTGAGATCCCATCTGTCTGCTCTTGTGACACTCCAAAGTGAAACTCAGCCACCCACCAGCTCTCGTCCATCTCCCTTTCCACAGTGTTCAGCACACAGCCCTGCACACCAGCACTGCTGTTTCCCAGGGTCTCACATCTCGCTGGCTTTCCTCTCACGCCTTGTTGGTTTCCTCCTTAAGCCCTCGTTCAACTCCATTGCATCTCCAGCAATCTATATGGAAAGCAGTGCACTCAGTTCCCATCACTTTTGTTCCTTCTAACAGTACTGTGGCTGAGGGACTGTGTTGGGCTGACTTTCAGCAGAGTGCTGGGGTTAATTAATACAAAGCATTGCACGTGGAAGAGCCTGGTCTAAGTGCATCCCAGCAGCTGAGGTTAAAACACTTCTGTACTTTGACTTTGTTCTTGTTTCTCTGTCTTCATTTCTGTGGCATTTGTCTCCATTGAGACTTATTTAGTATGCATCAGTTCATGTGAGTTATTATCAAGGCTATTCTTCATTTTGTTATATTACTCCTTGATACTTTTGTATTGTTGCAGTGAGATTGAATTGGGTAATAGCTCTCCCACGGTGTTCTTCTGGAATAGATCCTCTCAGAGAATCCCAGTGAAGTCCCAGCAGTACAAGGAGAATTGGCTAATGTGGCCATGCTCTTACTAGAGCTTTTTCATATGAAAATAAATATTAACTGGATGTTGTGTGTTCAGAAGTATTTTTCCTTCCTCAGTAGTGGAGGCACACACTGCAAAAAAAGATGAGTGTATGTAATTATCTACATATATATGCATATACACACACACACTTGTGTTTGTATTCACCTTTCCCATGTGTAGGTGGGAGTACTGGGTGATGAAGAGGAGTGGGTGAGTCTCCACGAGGTGGACAATGAACCTGATGCTCAGATGCTGGAGGTACCAAACCTTACTCCTTACACTCATTACAGGTAAGAACAGCAGGTAATTAGCTGCAGCATGATTAAAAAAAAAATAGCAAGTTGCAGTGTGGAACAGCTTTCCTAATCAGGAACAGCTGGTTGTATTTTGTTATCTGAACAAAAGGGAAAAGGTTCACTGTTTCCACAGTTTATACTTAAAATTACTTGTCTGATACTGTTAATTGTAATTTACATGCAATACAGTTCATAATGTTAAAAGGGAAGCCAAGTGCACAGTGAGGAGCTGTTGTGGGTTACTGGTATCCTGTGACTTCCCTCATCTGAAGAGTGCGCCACTGTAACATCAATCAGTGACAAATCAATTGTAGTTAAACTGGTGCAAACTTGTAATTATATATTTACACCAGCTTAAACATTTTATTGATTTAGCTTAATTTGGTAACATCAATTCGATGAAATCTTTGTTTATAAGAATTTCCCGAATTAAACTTAATAGATATATGCAAGGTTTAGGCTGATTGAGGTGAATCTACATCATGGGTGCACCCCAGTTAAATGAGATGGATTTTTAAAATCAATGCAATGCAAATAATGTGTTGATTTAGCACAGGCAAGATCTGAGAATTTGAGATATTCAGTCCTAACAGAAAAATGCTTTATGAAATAGCTTGTTAGGGACTCTACAAAAAGAGAAAAAAAAAGCCAATCCTTAAAGATGGAGAGTGTCATATGTGAAGTGCAGGTTGTACAACAACTCAGTGTTCAGTGTCCATGTAAGTAAGCATTACTTGCACACCTAGCATCTGCATAGAGAAATGCCTTAGGGATAACAGACAATAAGGAAGTATATGATGAGTTTGGGATTTATTTTGTAAACATTGAACTTTTTGGTCTGTTTGGTTACTATGTTTGTCTCTCTGGAGTATTGTGCTTATTTTCCTTCTGTACCTATTAACTTCTGGGGTGACCCCCTCTGATTTTTTTCATCATCATTCACACGCTAATGCAGTTCCTTGAATTTTGGCTGGCTGTTTCCTCTCAGGCATGCACCAACACAGGGATGAGCTTTTGAGTTTCGTTTACATAGAACAATTTTATTTTCTTTTTGGAAATCCAGAAGGTTAGTGCCAAATGTATTTATTGTTCTATAATCAGCTTTAATCATTACACGTCAAGGAAATAAAAAATGAGAGCTAATTATGAGAACCCATCTTTATTGGCCAGCTTCTTTTCTACGTTTTGTGCCAATGGTTTGGAAGTAGAATCAGGGACAATATTTGTTCAATGCGTTTGTTCAATGTGTTTCCTGTAGTGCATTTTCTAGGGTTGATCAGATTAGACAAACAAACAGAGCCGTGTTGACTAGCTCCCTCTAATCCCAAACTCAGCCATTAGCTCCAAAAATGCAGTGCTTCATGTGAGCAGGTCATGTGCTGGGTACTCCTAATGGCCGTACTTGTGCCCACAAAGGGTGAGAGCATCTGAAATGAACAGCACGTCTTAATTATTTGGAGCTTCCTGCAAAAAGATTTCTCTGAGTCTTCTGTGACCCAGTGGGGATTTCTATTGTGGAAGAGATGGTTTCAAGCAGACAGGTTATTTTTTAAAGAGCCATATCCATATTAAATAACTTAATCTTTCTTGTGCAGGAAGGCTGAAAACGTAGCACGAGGATAAATCAGCTTCTTTCAACCAGTAATTGAGGGGAAATGTTATCACTGGTATATTTTTTATATTGACAGGGAATGAGAATATCTGAAGTTTGATATTTTAATACCTTTCTGGATGTATTGTATAAACACTGCAAAAGAAAATCACTTACTGCCAGCATAAGCTCATCAGACTTGGCATAATTAACATAAATTTCTCACACAAATACCTAAGTTTCTAATCGACCCTAAGCTAATCTCATTTTCATTTTCATTTTTTCTAATACCTGAGAGGATCTGAGCACAGTTACCACAAGCCATTCAGCCGTGAATACAAAAGGGACCTGCACACAACCACCTTTGTAGGCTGTTGAGTTCTACCCGCCCTGTACCTCCCCATCCCTCCCACTCCAGGGGGCTCACGGATTGATCCCACACTCTGCCTCTCCCTTCCACCTCAGGTTCCGGATGCGGCAGGTGAACGTGGTGGGTGCCAGCCCACTGAGCCAGCCCTCACGTGTCATCCAGACCCTGCAAGCTCCTCCAGACGTGGCCCCCAGCAGCGTGAGCGTGCGCACGGCCAGTGAGAGCAGCCTGTGGATGCGCTGGGTGGTGAGATGGGGATGGATGGGTGCAGGGGGGGGCTGCTGGCAGCTGGGGTGCAGCTCGGTCCCTAGGAGCTGCCTGCAGCTTGGGAATGCTTTTCCCTCGCGTTCAGCATGAGGCTGACGGCAAAATTATTTCCTTTTTTCAGAATAGTCGGAAATCTGAGACTTACCTTAAGTGCCTTATTAATCACTTAAATTGCCTACTGCCACTGCCTCTGCCACTTCATCAGGGGAATATATGCCTGTGTGTAAAACCTTGGCTTCTGAGACTCCAGTTCCACCGTCTGGGTCAATGTGTGGGACAGAAATATAATGCTGGAGCCAATTTGCAGTTTCCTGGGGCTCAGTTGTTTGTGCTGACTAAAACTGTCCCCAGGAGGTACACAGGGGCCATTGACAGCCATTCTGCAAGTACTGAGCGGTTCAAAGATGGCAAAGTTTGCACATTACACTCCTGTAGGAAGATAGATGTGGGAAAGTCTGTGGGGTTATGTGATAAAATCTAGAAATAAAGAATTAATTGCAAAGATGCAGTGGTTGGTGACACCGTTGCGCCCCTGTGACTGTCTCACTTACCACACACCGGGACTTGTTTGGCAATCAGTTTGCTCCAGAATGGTTTTATTTCTCCCTGGTTAGGATTTTCTGGGGGTTACTGTGGTGTGAAGCTGTTGAAGCAAAGGTTTTCTTTTGCCCACACGTTAGCTTTTCCATGCATAAACTCAAATTTCGACGCATAAACTTACTGCTGGGAGACAAAATCTGGGTATCGAGACAAGATGGAGTTGCTCCCATCAGTGGGGAATAATTCCAGTTTGCTATTGAAGAACAGGACTGAGTTCTGAACCCTGAAAGACTGACAGATCTTACCTGTAGACACTCATGAAATGTCTCAGGATCCCACCAAATGAACAGCGGTGTCTATAGGAGAGCTTTGACACTTATCCAGTAGGACCCATTCATGGCTTCACCATGCCCACATTTTTAGACCTTTGGTGGCCACATATCTTACATCAAAATCAACTCCAAGTTGTTTTCAAAAACTTTTAGACTTGTGTTTCCTTGCTGTACTATCTAGGAAGCCTGGTTTTCACGAGTCCAACTGTGCAGGGTTCAGGAGGAGCCAACAGCACAGCTAAAAATGCCGCAGTGTACCTTTTTCATGCTTGATAACATCAGCATTTGAAAGCATTTAATCTCTCTTTCTAGAGACCTACAGGTGAATCTGTGTCCCTCTGGGAGCTGGGAATTCCTTCCTTCCAACAGAACAGGGGTCACATTTTTAGCCCTGCTTGCCTGCAGGGTATAGTCTTCTGCGCTGTGAAATGTTAATGGATATCAAACTTTGCCAGTGAGTCAGAACTGAATCTCAGCCATCTGTAGCATCGTGTAGTTAGTTTTATGAGGAAAAACTTGAAACTTCATGAAGTAGGCTAATTATTTCATATTTTAATCTCTGAAATTGCTTGGGGAGTTGGAATACTGGAATAAATCTCTGCTGATAAATGAGCATGGAGAGAGTCAGTAAAAAAAAATATATTTTAAAAAAAGTACGATAAATGAATTTGTCACATGCTTCAGCAATTTATTATTCATTTCCATATTTAATCACAAAGTCCTGAATATGTTGCATTGGTTTCATCTCTGGTGATGCACCCAGAGCAAGTGGCATAGTTCTGTCTGCGTATCGATGTGGCACGAAATTAAAGTTAAAATTGAAATCTCAAACAACACAGAAATTAGAGGCCATGAAACATAAATCAGCCCTTCCATCTCTTTTGCCATCTTGTGGCCTTACACGAATTCAGACCGCCCTGGTATGCCATTTGCAAAGCTCTGGCACTGTGCTCTGAGCTGTAATATTGGGCTTTTCTTTGGATTTCTCCCGCAGCCCCTGCCCGACACGCAGTACAATGGCAACCCAGAGTCGGTGGGGTACCGCATCAAGTTCTGGCGCGTGGATCTGCAGCCTTCTGCCCTGCTGAAGGTCATCAACGACCGGCTGGAAAGGGAGTGCACCATCGAGGACCTGGAGGAGTGGACGGAGTACGAGCTGCAGATCCAGGCCTTCAACGCCATTGGGGCAGGACCATGGAGCGAAGTGGTGCGAGGTCGGACGCGGGAATCCGGTGAGTCAGAGCCCCATGTCGGCTGGGAAGGACAAATCAGAGAATTTGCAGCATGTGATGCCTTTTTTGGTTCAGCTTTTTTTCTTGTTGACCCATTAAATCAAAAGCATGAGGAAAACGAATGATCTCTGGGTGCACTGAAGGCGAAAAGATATGGAGACGTTTGAGGGAGCTTATTTATATATTTAAGAATTTTGCTCCTCTCATGTTCTCATACGTAAACCTATAAACCTACATGAAAGGTTTGTTTAAACCTTGTTTATTTAAAGCAAATAAAACAACCTCTTCCTGCTCCTGCCACAGTTTGGCAGCATCACAGGCAGCACAAGGAGCTCATGTCCATCCTTCTCTGCCTCTTCTTCCTTCTTAACAGCTTCATTGCCCCTCATTCTCCCCTTCCCCCATCCACTCCTGGCCTGAGGCAGGTTTTCTGGCAGTCATGGTTATCTGAAATTTAATTTCAAGCACTACATATTTCTAAAAGGGCACAAATTATTTTAGAGGGATAATGAGCCACATGGAAGTGAGATAATTATTTGAGCTTTTGATGACACATTTTCAAAACTACCTTCTAAAACTGTGTACAGAAGGTTATATAGACATAACCTTCGTGTAGACATAACCTTTATGTAGACGTAACCTTCACGTAGACATAGAGCACAGGTACTGCGTTGTCTGATTCATCCATACTATCACAGAGACTTCAGACAGAGTCAGCAAACTCACAACTTTGGGCAGCAGTAAATTACTGTTAGCACAGCAGCAACGGTAAAAACAGATCTTGAAAAGCTGCTCCCTGGTTGTTAGCTTCCACATCACCTATTCCCAAACCTGCATGCACCTGAGAAATTAAAATTTATGTTGCAGATGAATAAAAGAATATGTGTCACACGTGGTTTAAAAGTTAAGTACTACTGTGACTTGTATTTATGCAAAGCCCAATGCTGATATTTTTCTTACTATTTTTTTTTCCATTTTTCTTCATGAAAATGTTTTGGAATTCAATTATATCCATGCCCCCACCTTGATAGATACATACGAGCATGCGTGCGCACTCTGCACCACGCAGCATCATTTGGCATGAAGCGTGAGAGCTGTGCAGAGTGCACAATTTGCTCTGCTGCCTCATGTAACTGTCCTTTGAACCGCTGAGGAGAAGGCTAGACAAAGTCATCCTACTCCATTAAAGTGATGCTTTTTGGGAAGGAGTAATTGGAAAGCTATTGCCAGAGGTATTTTAAACAGGGCATGTTTGTACTGGAGTTAGAGATAGGGTGACCTAGACAAAATAGTTTTGAAGTGTTTTGTGTCATAATAAAAAGATACCACGTTCTCCATTTTCTCCTTTCCACTGCTCTTCAAACACTTCTTTTGAAAGGAAGTAAATACTAAGATTAAGCAATTTCATAAAACCTTAGGATTACAGTGCTCTTGCTCAGCATCTAAAGATCAGAGGTGACACGTGTGTGTTTGGCATTTCCTCTTGCAGTATTAAAAGAGGGTTGACTTGAAACTGATTATACGAGGCACGCTGAAACCAGGATCAGGATAATACAAAGCTGTGATCTGGGCCGTAAGGACTCATTTGTGTGTGCTTTTTTTTTTTCATGTACTTTCTTTGATACTAACATCTGATTTCTTGAATAGAGCAAGCCAAGGCTCAGACTTCTAGTTGCATCTTTTTAGGTTTGCAATACACAAAAAGCGCTGGCATAGCAGCAAGCTGCGTGAGAGGGAATCTGCACTTAACCTGTAAGCACCTCCAAACGGAGTTAAAATATGGATAAAAGTTACCCATACCCAGAGAAAGAGGTCAAAGCACTTTTTAGAACTGGCTTTTGAATTATGAGAGAAATTGCATGTATGCTTTCAAAGTACTTTAGGTCTTCTAAACATTATGGTGTTAACTGCAGAGTAACAAGCTCAGTTTCCACTCTGTACACTGTAAATGATAGTGGGCATGATAAAGAGAAAGCAAGAAAGTGTGAAGAATTGTGATGTGTAGAGAAACTTTGATGGGGCTGATTTGTTTTAAACATAAACCCTCTTATTTTCAAACAGTTCATCCCAAACACACCTCACTCAGTGCCTTGATATCTTCAGGCATTCAGTTACACGACTGTGTGTGCTTGCCTCACAAAATGAGCTCTTACATGAGCACAGGCTCACGCACATGGCAAGAATCAGTCCCTTGATTTGTCAGAGCCTGACCTTCATGAAGCAAGTTACCATATGATAAAGCATGGTTGGGTAATTCAGATGTGGCCCAATGTCACTGCAGAGATTTGTCAGTTTGTACAAGCTGAGAGTGAGCCCCTGATATCTAATTTTATAGGCAGAATGTTTCCATGCTGTGCTGCAGCTATGTTGCTTTTGCCATGAACCTAGCTCCAAACTTGTACTTCTTAATTGATGTCAGATGTACCATATGCCAGCTTACTTTTTACTTTCAGAAAACAATTAAGGGTATTCAGCTAAAATGAGCTGCAAAAAAATGGAGAGAACCATGTCATCACAGTATCTAGCTTTTTTAGCGTGCCAGAATACAAACTAGCTTATTGAAGGCTGCCTTGGGTCCACTTAAAGACATGCAACAACATCATTTGCTGTATATTAAATACAGTTTTATCAGATGTAGAAAGAGGATGCGTGATCTTAGATGTCAACACAGATAACTAAAAAACTTGAGTTGTTATTGAAGTCCCAGTGCAAAGTACCAGTAACTCAGTAACTTCCTATATTTGATCTTCTAAAGCACATCGTGCAGCTGGCACTTTGCTGGATTAGCTAATCATTTCGTTTCGGTCTTTCCAGTTCATTTCTTTCAAGCTCTGAGACTTTTTTTTTGGACACTGTTGCTTGGCTTCTGCTCTGTTCTTGGAGGTTACTAATGAGAACTCTGCTTTGGAGCTTCCAGCAAAGTCTTCAGTGCGACAGTTAAGGAAACAGCATCAGAGTTTGCAGGGGAAAGAGGGATTATACGCCTCACTCAAGTCACTGATCGGTCATAGCAGACCGTAATTACTATGAAGCTGGATATCCTGAGTGAGGAGAGGGGTCGGATAAATGGATGTTACATTTCAATTCATTCTTTAAAGGGCCGATCAAACTGTGTTGCCTGATAAGAGACGGGCAACAATAAAATCTGTAATATCAGTTGCACACCCTGAATTCATACATCCATATTAAAACGTAATTCTCAACACCAGTATGACAGAAGCACTGGAAAATTAATGTAGAATGAAATACGCGATGAGTACAAGGGTGTCTGCATTCAGGTGCTGGGCTGAGATTCCTCCCCAGCGAGAGGGGACATTGTTCTGGCCATTGCTGGGGATTAAGAGGAGTGTGGGCTAATAAACCTTTCCATCTGCCATTCTGTGCTTTGTGAGCTTCAGCATCCCCCTGCCAGCAGCAGGATGGCACAAACACCTCAAAGCAGCCATGCACACAGGGCCAGCCGGCCACAGCCCGACCCTTTGTGAATTTGGGATATCTGGTGGCTGCTGATCAAAGGGGAAAAGAAATATTTGTAAAATAAAGGAACTTTTGCTCCTGAAAGGGTTCAAACCAGATAAAATAAAATAAATGTGGCTGGAAAGGGCTTCTTTCCTCTTTGTGTTCTGGTTTCCCGCGACCCACCTCCACCCTTTCTCCCTCCAGAAGTGATTCATGTGGGAGTAACTCTTTGTGAAGATCTACAGATAAAGTTGTGGCAGCTATCCAAAGACATTCATGGCTCCTGGCAATCTATTTTCCTTTAACATAATTATATCCTTGTGGGGGATAAATCTAGAAGATTTAAAAAAAAAAAAAAAAGAGCATTTCAGCATTAGAGGGGAAAAAAAATCAGATTTCAGCCTGCTGCAATGGTGTGTGATGGTGCCCTGCTTCTCGTGTCCCAAATAATTGGTAACAGGGAAATTGTTTCAGAAATGACTATCTCTGTGGCTAACCTTGAGTGCACAGGGGTGGGGGCTGGTGTATTTTATTTTTCCATTTATATTAATTCTGGTGTCATACTCATTATCTTGTTCATGTTGCTAGGAGATTCAGGCTAGCCTTCAAACCAGCTGATCTGTTCTTTCATTCGGACAGCCAGGGAAGCATTACTTTTTGGCAGAGATTTGTGCTCCGCTTTGCAATGTACTCAGGACCTAATCAAGCCTTGCTGTCCATGAGTACTCATGTAACATAACTTGGTGAATGTTCTCTCAAGGTCTGACAGGTGTATCACGCTTTAGGAGAGATTATACACTTCAGATGTTGGAAATGCCATGAGGGAAAAAAAAAAATGGAAAAGGGCAGCATAAAATGTGAACTCTTAAAAATAGTCTCTGGTTCTGCTTGCATAACATTGCATAGCTACTGAGCTTGCCCACCAAAGCTTGCAGTTGCCTGGTGGTTCTGCATTGGGTTGAGTTTTAATGGCATGAGAAAATGCAGGTTTGCTCCTCTGTCGAGTAACAGAAAATTACAGTGTTCCTGTGCCATCCATTCTAATAATGATCTTGGTTTCATAAGAGCCAATTTTACAACATAAATGAAATAGGCATATCTTTCATTTACACCGTATCAGTCCCTGAAAATACACCTTGCCTTAATGTATCTGTCTATAATTGATGTATTGCAAATGTTAAGCACCATCACATAATCAAAAGGCTTCGAGGTTAAAACACTTCTCACTGAACTGGGAGGTCTGGGTGCAATCCAGTGGCTGGAATTATTGCTAACTCTAGACAAGATACTATAATTTCCTTTTGAGCAACATAGGAAGCCAGGGTGGCATAAAACTTCATGTTAGAACAGATCATACTATAAGATAAACTCCCATTCATAAAGATTTCTCACTTTTGGCATAGGGAAATAAGATGTACGGGAGAGAAAAACCTGGGAGACAGACTTTGTGGAAGTCCAGCAGTCTAAACTCTAATTACTGCAAACATAAAGAACCTGAAGTTTATTCATGTCTGCCTGTATTTAGTGCCTGCCTGTAGACAGTGCTTAGTGGTGAATGTTAAGCTCTTTACAAATATTGTGTTTCTTACATGAGCTGGTAAAAGAATGTGAAGTAAGCTGAAATGTAAAGGTGGTGTATAATGAATACGAGAGAAGAAGGCATTGTCTAGAGTGTATCTGAGTGCTTTGGGATTAGGGTAGTCTTCCAAAGGATCCCAAAACAATCCCAAGCAGACAGGGAGGTAAAACAGCATCACCTGGAAAGCCTTACCTCTTTTGTCTCTGATTCCAGTTCCCTCTGCTCCTCCTGAGAACGTGTCTGCTGAAGCCGTGAGCTCAACCCAGATCCTTCTGACGTGGTCTGCAGTCCCCGAGTCAGAGCAAAATGGTCTCATCCTGGGTTACAAGGTACGCAGCTGGAGCTTCATGTTCACTTTGTTATTAAAGCACTACCTGGCTACATTTTTCTATTTATTATTTATTGCTCACCTGAGGGATGTTAATATCATCCATAACTCAACAGGATGAGATATCAGAAACGTGCTGGTTTCGGAAGGGTAGACTGCTGAATTTAATCCCATATCTTGTGAAAAGGAACATTTTAAATGCATGCCCCTTTTTCAATTCTCATGTAATAACTTTTTCTTTCTGTATTCATACGCATTTATTCCGCATTATTCTGCAGATACTTTACAAAGCAAAAGATTTAGACTCTGAACCAAGGAGCCAAACAGTAAGAGGTAACCACACGCAGTCCTGCCTGCTGTCCGGCTTGCGCAAGTATGTGCTCTATGAGATCCGGGTGTTGGCGTTCACTCGCATTGGGGATGGAGTCCCCAGCTCTCCTGCTGTTATAGAAAGAACCAAGGATGATGGTAAGTGTTTGGGTTACCAGAATAAGGGCCTTACTTAGTCCTGATGATAACGCCACTTTTTTGCAGTGATGCAAGTGTATAGAAAGGCCAAACTGAGGTTGTTTGGATTGTTTTTTGATTCTGAGCTTTAAGGAATTGATCCTTACTCTGCATAACAGCACTGCTCCATCGGCCATGGGATGAGAATTTGGCAGAAAACCAGTTGCCCATTTCCTCCTTCCCCTCAGTTGGTGGAGAGGAAAAAATCTAAAATGATTTGTCCTCTGAAGCTCCATGTAGAAAATTTCTACCGTAGACAATTTTTAGAGCCCAATTATAAATGCCAATTGATGTTCAATCATGCTCTAAGCAAAAAGCACTGCAATTGGAAGCAATAAACAAACCTGAGTCTGCTTGGACTGAAGGAGAGATGTGGAAATTGCAGCTTCAACAATCCATTCTCATTTTCCAAAAGAATAAGGACTGAGCCATGAAGGGTTCATAGCAGCCCCTCTCTGTAGCCTCCTCCAGTGATTCCCATGAGCTCAGGGTCTCTGGAGTGCGGTTTGTTTTGATGAGAGACCCTGAGCAGCCCCTTCCTCACCCCAGTTCTGTTTGAACACATCTGTGGGGTGAGAGTGTTCCTGCTGATGGAGTTTGACAGAAATTTAATTCAACTCTTGAAGCATTTCTGGCTTTGCAGTTGCTTTTAGTTTCATTGCCTTTTCACTATTAAATGATGGATAATGTCTGTGTAAGAGGCTTCTGCTTGTTAGTCCCAATGAATGAAAAATAGAAAAAAAAAAAAGAAATCTTTTCTCATCAAAATGTTCCCAGTGGAAACTGAATAAAAATTGGTATCTACAAGGAACTTCATTAAAACTGTTTGGTTGAGTTGCAAACACATTCAGACTCCTGGCTTAATGTGGCATTTACTGCAGCGTATAAGGACAGGGATGGGATGGAGTGGCAATAGAGGTGGGATTTTGTGGGGACAGGGATGGGACAGAGCAGGAACAGTCGCTCCCAGGCATTTTTGTAGCCATTTTGTCAGCATTCAGCCTGTGTGGTGACTTTGAAAGGAAAAAAAGAGAAGTTAATATTAGCAGAACTCTGCAGGGAATGAAAGAGCAGTCACAGAACTGTACACATCAGACTATAATGTGAAATATTTAAAACTGTTTGTTTTAGATAACCCCATTATAGCAGTTCCCTCCTTAAGTGCCTGTTGGCAAATGATACAAATTGTTCTTCCTTCTCCGTACTCCTGACATAAATATGTTGTGTCTCCTCTGGGCTCCGCTTAATTAAATGTATCATCAGGGGTGAGGCAGGTGGAATTTGTGCCGAAGGGGAAATTTTGGAGATGCAAATGTGTGAATTAACATCTCCTCACCTCACAAACCCAGGATGGCCATTGCAGCTGCCAGCTGTCTGCATCAGCGTGCATTGGGTTCGCTGCCTCAGCCCTCTGTGTTTAGAATGCACATGTAAAATCAGAAGGCAGTTCAAGGCCAGCACTGGGGCCACAGAGAGGAGATATTATTCAATTCCAACACCTGTGGACGGAATTCCTCAGAACCCATGCGTTTTGCATGCATATGGGTGCTCCTAACCATCTATTTGTTGTTGGTGAGCTACAGCTTGGCTGCCTTCTGTGCAAAGCGATTGGGAAACTTGTAACCTCTCTGACACTTTGTGCCTGCTGGCACTACCTCTGTCCTCCTACAGCCCCTGGGCCACCCGTCAGGCTGGTGTTCCCCGAAGTGAGGCTGACATCAGTGCGCATCGTCTGGCAGCCACCAGAGGAGCCCAACGGCATCATCCTGGGTAAGGAGCTGGGAGGAGAGGGTTGGGAGCAGAGGAGCTGCGGCTGTTGGGTTTTCATTCTGCTTGCACGTTGGGTTAGAAACCACGCTTCAGCAAATCTGTAGCTAAAGAGAGGAAAATAAGTGCTGCAGTGAGAAGGGAAGTTCTGCCAGGCTCCGCGGTGTGTGTTTTCCCAAGTCAGGATTACACTGCATTCCTGATGCTGTGCTTGAATTTTCATCTGTCCATCTATATGTGTACGTATAACCTGTTGAGCTGCAGCAGGGCAGAGTGGGATTTTCTCCTCCTTTCCTTTCCTCCTCCTTGCCACGCATCCCTGACTTCTCAGTTTCATGAGTGTTTCCATTTTGCTGCTTCCACCAGCCAATACTGTCTGCCAGGTTGCAAGGTGTTAAATCACACTTGGCTTTTTATCATAGGCAACAGGGGCAGCAAGGCACGCCAGGAATTCATGACAAACCTGCTCTGATAACTCTTGGGTTGCTCTTGCACCCAGAGCACACCAGCAGCTCCTTGTACTTCTAAAGCATTGAAGGTTTTTACAGTGCAAGAATCCATTCATGCATCTTGAGTTAATGTATCTAATATTTACACAGTGATTCTGCCTGTGTTCTGTGCTAATGTGGAGCACATTTTGTGGTAGTCCAAGCAGGTGAGTGAGGGTTATCCCTATAAATATCCCTTTAGATAAAGGACTGGTCTGGTGCTGTGTGTAGCTCTTGAGTCAAGAGCTCAGAGTCTTTGCTGAGGTGTGCAGTTTCTGAAAGTTCTTGTGGATTAATCCTGGCACCTGGAGACACAGAGAAAGCATCAGATGAGATTCAAAGGTGCTCGAGGAAGCTTGGCTTCCAGGCTGCCTTGTTGGTTTGATTTGTTGCTTTTGTTTTAAGGAACTGTTGTCTTATCAACTCACTCTCTGTAGAGGTTGGGATTTGAATCACAGGATGTGGTTAAGGAGGAAAAAAAATAATTTGGTACACACGATGAGAAAGTACTAAAGATATTTAGGTGCCCCTCACTGTTTCGATGTCTCACCTTGCTGCACTTGGTCAGCATCTTTTGCTGAAGTTTCAAGTTCTGTGGAATAAGAACTCTTCTATTCGGGCTTCCCACAGTGCCTTGTTCAATTCATCCACTTCTTGTTCAATTCGTGGTCAATGCCACAGTGCTGATAACAAAATCACACAAATGCAGAGCTGGGAGGAAAGGTGGAAGGGTATTCCCTTAAAGAATGCTCAGCATGGAGACTGCAGGCTGCTGTGACCTGCACAGTCCATTCCCAGTCACACATCCCAGGGTGCCTGGCACTGCCTTGCCTTTTTTTGCAACAGTGCTGTTGTAACTAAGTAAGTTTATGACCTGCTATTAATTCCTGCCTTTTTTCTGCAGTACAATTCCAGGTCAATCCTTCTTTACACGTACATTAAGCTTTTTATTTTCTGTAAGTGCAATGCTCTGCATGTATTTTTATTGAATTTCAGCTTTCTGATTCCAGACCAACTCTCCTCATTATCAGAATCACTTTAAATTACCGTCTTGTCCTCCAAAGGGCTCAGAACCGCTCCCAATTTGGTTTTAGTTTTGAAGTTTGCAAGCAGAATGGCAATTCCATCAACCGGGTCATTAATGAAAGTATTGAACAGAAACAGACTCGGGACTTATTCTCGTGAGACCTTTCTTAATATATCCTACCCATTTCTCAGCCAACTATTGCTAACAACATTTTGACTTTTTCTTTTAAGAGATCACAGCAGAATGTGCCATATTTTTCTTAGGTTCTGTCTCTCTAGCTTGTTTCTGACAGGGCTGCTTGGAACCATATTAAAGCCTTACTTAAAGTCGATGTGGATCATATCTACTCTTCCCACCTGGCCAATTACACTGTCAAAGCAGAAAACAGATTATTTGGTATTTATTATTTGTTCCAGACAAATACATATTAGCTGTTCTCTGGCAATTTATTATCCCTGTGGATGGTTATATATTTGCTCATATTTTTTCCAGGGTCTTTCTGGGTATTAAACTTTGGCTTGATTTGTCCATAATTCCTTTGGTCTTTCTTCCTCCATTTTATGAGATAAAGCATTCAGTTTGCCCTTCGGTAATATTCTGGGATGTCACCTATCCTCAACAAGTTCTTGAGTATAATCACTGATTATTTAGAGATGGCTCCTGCTAGTTACATAGCACTGCAGGGCAAATTTCATCAGGCCTTTCTGGCTTGATTGCATCTAGCTTAGCTAAATGTTCGTTAACCTGTTCTGTATTCTAGCCTACATCCCTCCTTCTATTGTTGTCAGTTTTAATTTGTGTTAAGTATCTAGTTAATAATCAACTTTTTTGTGTGAAGCAACCGAGGTGTCAGCCTTGTGCTCTTCTGTGTCACTTGTCTTGAGCTCATCTTTTATTCCTAATAGTTGACCTCTCCTTCTCTCTCTTGTGTTTTGAACATCTTTCCAAAACCTTTCTCGTTGCCTTTCCCCTTTATGTTCAAACTCACCTGCACTGTAGCTATTCTGACTTTGTCCCTACGTGCCAGTGCTGTCTATTTATACACCCCCTCAACAACCCATCCTGTTTCAACATTTAGTACAATTCAGTTTTGAATTTGAAGGCATTAGTGAGGTCTGAATGCAAACATACTGGGCTCTTAACATCTTTTGTCTGCATCGGGATCATTGTACCTTTATTTTTGTCTCTTTTAGAACAGTCTGCTAACCTGAATTCCTCTTTCCCATAGAATTCCTTCCCAGGGGGCTCTACGTACCAATTGCCCCAGTCCACCTCTTTGAGGTTCATTGTCTTTATTCAACAGCTCTCCCTCCTCTTTTTTGTTTGATAGCAGAAAAATTGAGGCTCATGGAGGAAGCAGTTAACTGCCGATGTCAGAGAGAAACAGGAAAAATTACTCACGCTGAGTTATTTCTGTGATCTTTTCGAGGAAGTGAGTTCTTCAGAAATAGCTAAAAAACCAGCATGGCGTTGTAACTAAAGGTTGCATGTTTACCTTCATTCTTGTGCAATGTTCAAATCTTATTGCTGCAATGAACTTTTGAATCAGCATTGTAACCACCACAGCCAAAGTCAGTGAAGTAGAATCAGTGGAAAAAACAAGTTAACATAACTTTGCAGGCTGCTCTGTTATTCACCACTGGGGCTGCAAAGAAAAAAAATACTTTTTTTCTGCAAGAGCAACTTCTTTTCCCAGCCTCTGAATTAATGTTCCTGCTCTGCTGGCTTTGTCCTCTGAGTATACAAGCAAGCACCTTTGCAGCTAACATTTTTGTAATCTACATCAAAGTATGTTCTAGCATTTCAGAGAGAGATTAACAGGATGAAATACTGGCACACCAAGAGGGAAAACTGCTTGTTTGTTTGTTTAAATATTTTACTGTGGAGGACTGCTAGATATCTCCACTTCTCCTTTTGGGAGCGTTGCAATAACCAACTTGAGGCTTAACTCCATCTTCTTTTTGGCACTCCATTCAGCAGCACCCAGCGTAGCTCCTTCAAACACTGTTGAAGGAAAACGATGCATTAATGTGTGTATATGCAGTTCTGTCAGTGAGCTTTGCCTGTACCAAGAGCTGAGCCACGCTTGCTGGTTAGTATTCCTCACGGTATCCTTGCGTTTAGCGTTTACCTGAAGCTTACAGCGAAAGAGTGTAAGAACTCCACTGAGAATTAGAACCGAAATTGGATGTAATCCATGTTTGCAAATGCATATTTTGATCCTGGGCTGCATTTGCACACTCGCTGGCCCTTAAACAGATAAGCAGTAAAATCAACAAACTGGATTGCTGCTCTGCTAGGCAGACCGTAACCTCCCAGTATCATTTGGCTCTTCCTAAGTTCTGTGACAAATTAATAAGTGTTTGTATCTCTGCTGCACCGCGGCCTGCATGAGCGGGTGCTGTCAGTTCTGAAGGGCTTTGTATGGTGATGAGCTTGAAAGCTCTTCTATATTCATGGGGTGTTGTCATCTTCCTGCCTGTTTGCTTTGGGGAATCTGGTGGCTGCGTTAGTGACCTAACGTTTAACAGGCAGTTCAGACTGTTGCCATTTATTGAGTTCAGAAAGCGTAGCTCATGAAACCGCTCGCAGTTGTGCGAAAAAATATTTAAGGAGACGCTAATGCAAAAATAAGCCTTGTTTCAATGAATAAATAAACCGCCGGGGAAATTATCTTTCAAGGCTTTTTTATGCAGTTTGGCTGGTGATTCACAACTCCGAACGACAAGAGATTTGGGACACCCAATGCTTGTAGGGAAAAAAGAAAAATGAAGAGAAGAATGTGTATTCTTCTGACTGAGCATCCAGCTGGTGAACTTTCTGTAAGATACTCCTACCCTGGAAAAGTTTGCTCTGATCACTTTTTAAAGATTTTGCTTTTGTCCGTAACCTTTGATATTGTTTTCACCTAATGCATATATGACATTGTGTTGCTATCATCAAGTAGGGGAAGAAAGCTTCATCCATGCAGCAGACCTCAAGCATACATTCATTTGAACTCTTTCCATCTATCTCGGTTGATATGCCTCATTTGATTTCACCCAACATTTCCTATCTTCTCCTCTCTCTTGTTGCCAAAGATCATCAACTTCATAATTTCAACTTTTTCATCTTGTGTTAGCCCAAGTTATTATCCAAACTGTCGCTTAAATACTGCATCTTCTGCATCACTCTGAAAAAAAGAGCAACGATGCTTATGGCAGAATGTCTCTTGGCTGCCCAATTGTCTAACAGTGGAAGGTGATGTAGGGGATCACACTCAGACACAGAGTGCGTCTCAGGGTTTGTGGGCAGCAACAAGAGCTCAAGATGCACAGGTTGGATACGCACCTTCAAGTCAGGTCAATGGGAGAAAACATCACAAAGCTGCAGGTTTCGGTCATGGAATCCATAGCTGTAAGTTGTTACAGAAGCAAAGATGAGTGTGTGTTTCCTTGCCTGTTCCAATGCATGTTTGTAATTGGCTTTCCAGAGTGGATGCCACCATTTAGCAGTAAATAGTTATCTTTCTATTCCCTCCTTACATTTTAGCTACGCTTTATATTTTACAATAGTTTAGAAAAGAGAGAAAATCATTTCACAATGATATGTCCCAGATATCATACTTATCTTTTAATAACTAGATAAATCAAGTTTCCTATTCTTTTAATGCTCTCGGTTTCCCTGCAGGTCTTACTCCTTACGTCTTATGTCCCTTTATCAAACTTCTTTAGCCATCTTAGTTGCTTCTCCCTTCATCTTCCCTGCTGCTGTAGAAATTGCCTCAGAGCTTTTCTTTTACTATTTTTTCCTCTTTATTGAGATCTTGCACCAGGGTTCTCACTCCTGCATTCCACACATCTGTTTAAAAAAAAAAAAAAGATCATAATGTATCCATTTATTCTCCCCACTGCTGTCTGTCATTCTGTGGACTTTCTGAGAAGATCAAAATACATAGAGTATTAAAGGTACAGCAATACTGCAGTGAGGCATATGGGGCCAGCAATGAGAAAGTTGGTGCAATGAGTAAGAGGAGGTCATTGGCAGGAGAACAAGTAAGATTAGTTCAAAGGCTAAGACCCCAAGGTTGTGTTGCCAGCTTATAGCATGCTTCAGGAGCTCTGAAAATCAGGGTTTTTTTTAGGAATGCATCATTATGCACCCATGGAAATGCTGTAGGGATATGCCCAGTGCACAGCTGGATACTCTTGGCAAAAATTAACCCTGCTGTGTTGGAAGCTTTCCCTTCCTAACATGCGATCTCAAATATGGGCAGCCACTGTGTACTGGGGTACTGCCATGATGCAGACCTGTGTCCACCTCTGTACCCATAGCTTGCTGGAACCCTGGTGCTCTGAGAGCCAGGTCGCTCCCAGAAGTGGCTGTGCAATCAGGTTTGACCAATGGAGACAGCTACAGCTGCTGCCCCACATCTCCTAGCAGCTATAGAAAACAAAAAAAGGCAAAGAAGTGATGGGGCTTCATCCACAGTACCCTGAGAATCAGCATGCTGAAATTATTGCTATCTGTATCCTGATTAAATTTCACTGCTTATGTACCATACAAGTATGGCATTCATTGGGGAGAGCATTTGAACTCTGTATCTTTTCTGTGAGCAGTTATGTGGCAATTGTCACACGTTCCCAGTGAAGAATAAATGTCATTGATTTTGTGTAATAGCCACAGGTAAGATACATTCTCCAGTTCCCATGCACTGACCTTTATGAGTGAAGCACACCAAGTTTGGCTCTTGTTCTCGTTACAGCCAGAATTTGGTGGGAGTTCAAACGTTAGCTGGGATATTAATTTCAAGAGAAAGAGACATCCTTAGGTGTCTGCATGCCCCTTTGTCTTTTGGAAGATGAGCAGAGAGTTGGCAGCGTCATGTCGTGACTGTTTTGTTTTCATCTGCTCTGATTTGGATGTGTTGGTTGCCCTCTGCCCTGCATCGCTTCATGAAGCATTTAATCATACAGTGCATTCAGCTTGGGCAATAAAGCCCCACACCAGTCCTGTATTAATTGATTTTGGAAGTTAGCAGTTGGACTGAAAGTTACGTGGAGCTCCAAAAGTGAGAGCCTGATTTGATTGCTGGGTGTACAGAATGGCTTTGAACATTTGGCAGACCCTCTTTGGGGTACAGTTGTTGCTAGTGGTGCGTGAGAGGTCTGGAAGCCTTCCTTTGCACTGTTAGATCATTAATAATGTATGTTAAACCGTAAGCTCATAATCATCAGGCAGGCAGGTTGGAGTGGGGCTATCATTTGCAGGCATCAACAGCATTGATTATTGAGTGCAGGAGGATTTAAGTGAGACCGCACAGCTTGCAGGCTTCTTCCTTGGGCTGCAGACAGGGACTGCAACAGTGCAGAACAGGAGGATGCTTTTATTGTCAGTCCTGGCATCCACCATGCAGTTATGGGGGAGTAGGAGAATTGAGAGAAAGACAAGTGGAAAAAGCAGGGTTAAGGGTTAACTGGAGCAGCATGAGGGCTGCACAGCTGGGGCAATCCAACTCCTCTGCAGCTGAGAAACTTGGAGCTCCAACCAATGCTATCACATTGCTGCATGCAATGAGCTCTGTACCTTTGCCTTTCCAGAGAGGTACCAGTATGCTCAGGAAAGATTAAATGTTTTTGTGTCTTGTTGGGATGAAGGATGGAAAGTGAGATCTGTTTTGCTGCAGCTAACATCCAGCAGACCCTTGTGTGCACTGCAGTGTGTAATTTCCCCATAAGGTGCTGCGCCTGACTGCGAAGGGCTGGCATATAGCAGAGTTTTATAGCACTAAAGGAAGCAAATTACTTAGTTCTGGTCTCAGTTAAACAAGTAATTACAATAAGCTAATAGGCCTGGTGCTACAGCTAGAAAAAAAATCCTAAACTCTCTACTCTCTTCTGTCGGTGCCGTGATTTCAGGCTATCAGATTGCATATCGGCTGGCCAGCAGCAGCCCCAACAAGTTCACAACGGTGGAGGTGGGCTCAACAGTCCGGCAGTTCACTGCTACAGACCTCACCCCCGAGTCAGCGTACATCTTCCGGACATCTGCCAAGACCCGGCAGGGCTGGGGAGAGCCTCTGGAAGCCACGGTGATCACGACAGAGAAAAGAGGTAATGCTTGCAGCCACGGGTTGGAGTGCTTTCCATTGCATGCCTCTGAGTCTGTGCTGCGCTCACAGGAATTTTAATTACAGGCTGCAGCCTGTACACCTCCTGCTTCTCACAACATAACCCTGCCCTAAACCATAGCAACGTCATGATTTTGGAAATCTGGTGAGCAAGGCAGGCTTTTATGAGAGGCAGTTCTTCTAACCAGACAGGCTGTTGGGGATTGATTTTTCTATCAGATGCTGTATTGGCCATATGCAGCCTCCTTCTGCAGTCAAAGCTTCTTTGTTTTTTTTGGCTTTTTTTTTTTTTCCTCAGCTCTCTCATTTTCTAGAAGGATTGCAATCTTAAGAATGTAAGTGATGGATGAATTGCATTGATTAGGGAACACAAAAGGAGAGCTGGAGATCTTGCAGAGTTTCTTAACGTGGCTCCTCTATTGCACCTAAGTCCTGACCCAATGTGTTAGCAATTCCTCTGGCCACTCATTGCTGTATACTCAAGCAGAATGTTTGTATTTGGATTGTCTGGGATTTTTCTACTTCTGGCATCAGGGACAAAATTGTTGTTCACTGTCTGCATCCTCAAACAAATTCTGTTCCGTAGGGAGCCTACTTGAAGAAAGCAAGAGCTTGTATGTACTTGAATGAGTGTAGACGCTTAGATACCAAAAGCATCAAAATGTAAAAGACATATACAAATTATTGAAGTATCTGGTCTGCATCATTGCGTGTTTCTAATGCTCTGGCTCAGTTCTCCACTCTTAGAATGGATCTCCAGAGCTATCAGAAAAAAACTCATTTTCTATTTGTGCATGAACACTAATTTCTCATTCGGAGCCAAAAGAGAGTGTGTTAGCAAAAAACAGGAGTTTAGACTTTCCTTAGACTTCCAGCTGCCATGTTCCAATGCAAAGTGCGTATCTGGACTCTTGAGCTGACAGTCAAAGCTACCACAACAGTGGTACCAGCATCACTCCCTTGTGCATCACTGCGTTCTGTGCCACGTGCCTCTCTGACCCACGGTGCTGCCTCCGTATTCATCTTCAGAAGCTGACCCTCAAAAATCACTGCCACACAACTTCTGTGATTTATAAAAAGCACAGTTCGGAGAGAAGCACACCTCAGCAGGCAGCCAGAACAAACCTCCACAGAGTTACTTCAGCTACTTTTGGGGTATGCATGTCTGCCTGGTCCTGGCTCTTGCCCAAGACATGCACTGTAATACTTTAAATAACATTTACTTTTAGATCTTAAAAAGTGACTACCAAGTGGTCTCTCATTTTGAATCTTTTCTACACTTTACCAAATCATTCAGTGCTAGAGCACGGATCTCCCTTGCTATTAGCTCACATCTCCCTTGATACTTACCTACAAGATTGTAGGCATTGCCCTGATGTTCAGCGCCAACAGGGAAGACCAGTGGGGTGCATTTCGACTTTTGTCCTTTGTGATTGGTGCTAAAATTCCCACCAGCACAGCTCTCCAGGTCATGTGCAGCTTTCCCATGCATAACAGTGCTGTCTTCAGAGAAAGAACCTCTGGAGCACAAAAAGTGCCTCTACTGAAGATGCTGTCTATCAAGCAGATTTATCAGCTCAAGGTTTCTTCCACCCTTGTCTGATTGTTGTCAAAGTGAAAGTTTAAAGTCCAATATGTGCAAGTTTCAGAAAAAAAAAAACCTCTGCACCCAATAAAAGTAAGCCCTCGAAGCTCAGAGCCTCTCCTTTTCAATAGGATGTGCTCAGATTTCCCAGGCTGTTGCTGGGTATACAGTGCCTCAAGGCAGAACTCCCAGCTCCACTGCAGGAACAATGATCCCTTGCTGCTATCAGTGCTTTAGGGTTATCTTGAATAGGCAAGTCTTAACATAAAGTGAACTCTTTCTCTTTTTGATGGATGGCTCTACTGTGTCTGTGTGCATGCTATGGATCTGAGTCCCAAGGCATTGAGAGTTAACTGTAGTGATCCCGTATGTAAAGTATAGAGAGAAAAATATATAATCTTATATCAACACAATTAGTATTCTGGGTTGATAAAGAAATTTATCCAGTGCAACTATTCTGGTAACAAGTAAATAAACTAACAAGCCTGGAACTTGTATACATAACAATAAATATTCTGGAGCAAGAAGATATTTACTTTCCGTTAATAAAAATGCGTTTAATGTCCTTGTCGTCCTTGATACTGAGATAAGCAGGCATAAAAATTCCCTTGAAAATCACCAAAATTGGTCCCTCATTCGTGTCCTTTGATTCCCTGTGTACTGCCAATAGAAATCTTTGTATTTTACAGTGATACCTCTGATTTACAGATCCCGAGCTGTATGGCAGCTGCATTCTCCGGAGATGCTTCTGTAGTGCTCTGGGTCTACAGAATATCCTTCAGAACAGTCAGCACCAGGGATCCAGGCAGAACAGAGCCACGAGATGTAAATGTAGCAAGAAATTAAAAGGAATCCATTGAGTCATATGGCCCAGCCTTACATTCCTGCACAAACAGCTCACCTGAGCATTTGCTCGTGGCTAAACTCCCATAAATAAACTCTTCACACTAATGGCTTTGTACGTACAGTCAGGAAGTATATCTTGCAACACAGGAGATTTTAAGATCTCCCTTTGGCAGCAGGAGTAAACCCAATCACTGGAGACCAACGGCAAGATCTGACCTGCCCTAAACTGCACACTGCTTAAAGCTTATCAGCAGTATTAAATCCCCACATGACACTCACTTCCTCTGATAAAATAACCCCAAATACCTGTCTCAGCCTGTCATTGTAAGGCACTGACCTTTTGCATTGTGCTCTGGATCGCAGGCTGCTGGCACCAAGGAATTCCTGCAGCTAATAGCTTACAGATCTTTTGGCACTGATGTCAGCAAGATCATGCTGCAGAGAGATGCCAAAACATACAGGAAATGTTCCGGAGGATGACAGGAAAACAAAGTGCTCGCCATACAGAGCTGGGAGGAATCATGCAGTCAGGGGTGCACTTATATGGAAACGAGTGCTGATGAAGTTGAATTGAATTGCTTCTCAAAAGCAAGTCACTGTGGTGTCTCCAATCAATTTCTGCTTTATTACATGCCACACATTTTAATCAGAATCAATAATCTTCATGATAAACAATTAAACAATTATTCCTCACTCTATAGAGTTTCTCTATTGAAATCAATGGAGTGCAGAGACACAGTGACGGGAAAGGAGATCTATATGGAAGCAGTGGGGCTGGCATGCTCACACCTGCATTACCATTCCCTGCCTCGTCTGAAAGGTGTGCTATTAATGGCTCTGGGGAGATCTCCTTCAGCATTGGCACTGCCTGGTTTGACATTGCAGCTTCAAGGGCAGTAAGTGGGAAGGGAAGCAGAGAAGGTGCCTGTAAGCACACGGAGGAGGTACTTGAACTCCATCTCTGCCTCATCCCCAAAGTGTGGTTGGAAAGAGCAGCAGCAGGAGCTGTTGATGGTCCCTGATCCTTGCCAGAGATTTGGTGCTGGAGTTTGTGATGGGCCATAAGTTGTGTGCTTGAACACTGCCACATACCAGCCTGTTCCAGCCCATTTCATTCTCTTCTTCATGCCCTGACAAGGGAGCAGCTGGTGGAAGCGAATGCCACGTGGCACACAGCACACGGTCCCCTGGTACCCAGCTACAGTAAGCAGGGGTTAAAAAGTGAACCAGTTTACAGGCAAATTCTGCCAAAGAACTGTTGCAGCTCGAAGCACACCTGGGTTTCATTAAAGACTTATCTGGATTGCTTGGCTGATGATCCTAGCAGTTCTTCTCAACCTGCCAGGTTAAGATCCTTGCGAGTTTGAAATCTGCTGGTAGAAGGGTGTAGGTTCAGTGATGACCTTTTATGCTGGGAAATAAGAATGAGTTTTACTGCTCATCTTTGCAGCAGAAGGTAAAAGAGTGGAGATGACTTTTATACTTCACGGGACGAATCCAAAAGTTCAATCTCCTGTGGCATTACCACTATGGAAATCCAATTATGCTGTCACATTTTATATTAGCTTGAATAGCCTCTGAAGGCAGTACCACACTGTGGTTCAATTGCAGAGCGCCCGGCCCCCCCCCAGCAGCTGACCACCCCCCAGTCCGACGTGTCATCGCGGAGCCTGCGGTTGCATTGGGTCCCTGGAAGTGATGGATCGTCACCCATACGATATTTTACAGTCCAAGTGCGAGAGCTGCCCGATGGAGACTGGCAAACCTACTCCTCTTCCATCAGCCACGAGGCAACGTCCTGCATTATTGAGAGGTACCGTATGATCCCAGCCTAGCATATATTCCTGCACTTTCCACTTAGGGCAGATGCTTGCCAAAGCAGGCATCACTCAGGCTCAGTCTTCTGGGGGGAGGCAGGTTAAGGGAGCATCACTGATTCTGTTTTGGAGTTGGTGTTACGAACAGCAGCTGAGAGATCCACAGAAGGTCATGCAATAAATCTAATTACAGCTGAATTGCAATGCATCTTTCTGAGGCCCTTCTTGAAAGCTCTGCATGGAAAATAGCACTTCTCTGGCTAAACCAAACGTAACTATGCAGTACTCTGCAAAACACAGCTAGTGAAAAATCCTTTCAGTAGTGGCTGATGCTAAAATCCACTCTCCATGCTGCATTGCAATTATCTCTGTATAAGCTTTTTCAGATGAAATAAGAAACATTTTTATCTGTACTTTCCATACTGAAGTTTATAGATAGCATCAGAATGTCTAAACTTTGTTATTCAGACTTCATTATCTCCTCAGCAGTTCTGTTGTAATTAAAGTCCTTGTAACATCCACAAAAGCAATTGAGTGTCTATGAGGAGGTTCTTGTTTTGCTGTCCATTTACTCTATTGACCAGCTAGTACAAATCAGATTATCTCTAAAAGGCCATGAGCTTTTGCAGAATACACTATTCAGAGCATTCAGATTCAGATTTCTCAGCTCTGTTATAAAAACATCAGTGGCTGTGACATATGGCTGCTCTCCCTGCTCATGTGCCAAAAGATACGAATACGTTGGGATCATTTGGTCTGACTGCGCAGCAAAAAAAAGAAAACTTGACAATTATATTATAAATATAAACCTGATTCATTAACCCTGCAAGTATTATATCCTCCATGAATTATACCCAGTATTTTTCCAGTCAAAACCTCTAAAACCAAGGAGACCAGCCGAGTCCTTTTGGCTTGTTAGCGTTACTAAGATCTCTATTTCAAGAAAGATGATCCGAATTATTGAAGTTGCTGTCCATAAGTAACAGTGTTCTAATAGGGTGGCACTGCTGAAAGCATTCCTCTCCCCCTATGGCTAAAAGCGTTTTCCCCTGAATGTCCAGGAAAGTACTCTGTGTGTGATGCTAGAGCGCTGCCCATCAGAATGCATTATCCCTCGATATTTAATCATTCCTTACAAGTAGCTTTACTTGGGTTGTAGTCAGTGTTACATCTGCCAGCTGGTGGCTAGACACTTCCAATTAATCAGATAAATCCCCCATAACTTACAGCTCTGCATTTCTTGTCTCTGCCTGTGAACTAAAGGCAGCCTCCCCTGCACCTCCCTGCCAAGCCACGCCAGAAGGATCTCTGCTGAGGTTATGTCAGCTGGAAATCGCTCTGTGCATATCTTAGAGCACTGCATTGATAAAAAGAGCTGCAGGGAACCTGTTGTTACTGACTTTATTAAATAATCCAGATAATAACATTAATTTAAGATTCAGGAGGAATAAAATGCACTGATTGTACAGCGTGCTCCAAAAGATTAGTCAGAAGGAGGTGGTGTGAATTCTGGAGCCTGCTGCATCCTGACTCACTGCTGGCCCAGCCACGTCACCGACGTCCTCCGTGCCTGTCCTGGTCTGTGCAGCAGGGATGTTTGGAGGATGTCTTTGACAAAGCTTCTGCTTTGCCATGAAAGCCAGTTTTTGCATCCCCATGCAGCACAGCAGTCAGAGGTTGCTCTATGGGCTGCATCTTACTGGCTGTTTTTTTTGGATTCAGCTATGAGTCGTAGAACCTTAGACGGTTGGATGGGAACGGGTCTTAAAGATCAGAGAATCCCTGAATGGTTGAGGTGGAAAGGACCTCATAGCCCCACAACCCCACCCCTGTGTAGGCTGACTGCCCCCACTAGAGTGCCCAAGGCCCATCCATGGCCTCGGGCACCTCCAAGGATGGGGTAACCACAGCTCTGGTCAGCAGTGCTGGCACCTCACCACCCTCTGAGCAAACCATTTCCCTCTCACATCTAATCTAAATCTCCCCTTTTCTAGTTTAAAACAATTCCCCCTTGTTCTATCAATCTGAGAGGATGCCAATGGCAGTGAAGGTGCAAACAGCACCACTTCATGGTGACCTCTGAGGTGACATTGGTAAGAGAAGCCGTTCCAATAGCTTTTTTTGCCAGTGAGCAGGCTCCCCATCTGCAGAGGTCAAGGCTCATTAGGAAGCAGTTTATGATGGTGCATGGAGATTTCACCCCTTGGCCTCACTTTTCCATCCCACAGCTTGAACCCATTCACCTCTTACAAGCTGCGTGTGAAAGCGACCAACGACATCGGGGACAGCGACTTCAGTGCCGAGACGGAGGCGGTGACAACGCTGCAGGATGGTGAGCATGGGGTGGGGGCACTGCCATGGGATGGGTGCTTGGATGAGACCCTGGATCCACTGCAGTGTGTTTTCTGCTGTGACCAGGGTAAAAATTCCAACATCAAGTGTGGGTTTGTTCCTAGGAGATTGATAACAGGTAGTAATGAGATTGGGTTGAATTAATAGCAGGCAGCCTTAAGTGTCCTGCTGTGCACTCTGAATGAATCATACTTTCAGGAGTCTCCAAATGGAATTAAACTCCTTTTGATTGGCTTCCAAACTCTGCACTAACCATTATCTTTGCAGAAATTGAATAATTTACAAGAGATCATTAAAAATAAATGCAGTACCATGCATACATTTGAAGAAGTTTCTTCAATTGTTTTCACTCACAATCCACATCAGTCTGCAATACAGCAAAATTGTTGAGGTATAAGTAAGAAAGAGCACCAGGCTCCTGAAAACACGAGCATTTAATCCTGCAGATCAGGACTAATAAACTGTGAATGACATTGACAAGGCTTTTATTTTTAGCCTCAGAGATCAGCTTCTAATTCCTTGATTGTAGAAGGGCATTGCTTGAATGCAGAAGTAGCTCCAATGCCTTGAATGGGACTACCAGAGGGAAAAAGAACTCTGCAAAGTGTGACAAAGGATCTGTATTTACCCTTGGACTGGGAAATAGGGTAATGTTGGGATACACTTCTATATACAGTGCCCAGAATTAGTGTTTAATACAGCACAGGGAGTGACCGGTGACTCTGAGATATGAAAATAGGAAAGAAATTTGCCGAAGAATGTTTAAGGAATGTGATCTTGAAATTACAAGACCAGAGGGGCAGATCTCAGGAGTATCCTGGTTTAAATAAGACCCTGTGTAGTGCTTGAAGAAAAGATGTGCCTAGCAGCCTCTTAAAGGCATTTCAGCTCTCCAGCTTCCCAAACAATAGCTGCTGTATGGTGCAGGCTGTAAGCTGTACGGTTGAGGCAATACTGACTCAGTGTTTTGGAATTTGAAATTTCATTTTTGGTTCTCTTGGAATTTAGCTACCGTGAATCCAGAGTTGTGCTTGGCTTCCTCACAATGCAAGAGGGAAACCCTGTGAAAGCTTCTCACCTCCTTAACAAACTGTGAACATTTATTCTGCTGAGCAAACCTGGAGCTGCCACCAGAGCATTGCGCTGCAGAGGGCTGTCAGCTCCTGATAAGCATTCCCTCCTTTGTACTTGAGCTGCTGGAGAGTGTGCAGATGTGTTACAGGCCATAAGCACAGGAATGGGTTAATCCATGGTAAATCAAGTTGTCCTGATTGCAATAATCTGTGAATACATGACACAGACTCCCAAAAGCAGTGGGCTTGCCCCAGCTGTGCCACAAATGCCATGGAAAATTTGGGAGCAATTTGCTCACACCTTACAGCGTGCATTCAGCTAGTTTAACTTCCTGGTGAATTTGTATCCTACTGCTTATGAGCGGCTGCAGCTATCAGCTTTCTCCAGGTTTATGCCCTGAGCTTTTCTCACGTTCCTCCTCAAGTTGCCAAGGCCACAGGTAGTGCAGGGATGAGTGAGAAGCATCCGGCTTCTGCTTGGGTTGCAATATTCAGATCCCTGGCACTGCTTTTGAGACCCACCATATAGGAACTGGGATGGAGGATTTTGGTGAATTAACTTCCCATTTCTCTCCTGTTGTCTAACTGCTTTGGTTACCTCTTTTCCTCCTTCAGTTCCTGATGAGCCTCCCGGTTCTGTGCTGGTCACTCCCCACACCACTTCATCTGTCCTTGTGCAGTGGCAGGTAGGTAAAATAGAAAATCGTGGTGTGTCTCATTGGCATTGACTTGTTGGCCTTAATGGCTCATTGCAATGGCTGTTTTTCTGAGCTGGAAGGAGTGTAGTAAATTTGAAGGACTGCCGTTGCTTCCTTGTTTTCCTGATCTGCGCATTTATTTCAGTGATGGAAATTTCTGGCTGTTGCCTTTGCTTTGTGCCCCATGAAGGAAAGCTTGACAGGAAAGAGTTTCTGCCAAGATGCCTGTGATTACAGTTTGTACAGATTCACCTGTCCTCTTATTGATATCAGTAGAGGTGCATCTTTACACTGAGAGCATTTACCGGTGTGTAGCATTGGCAGAGATCAGGTAATCAAAAGCTCTGTTGTTCACATTGTGCATTGCCTCCTTCAGCTGCCGAAGTAATCAGAGGTGTATGCTGTGCCCGAGATCCTGTTCATACCTTTGAGGAGCATCACGTGCTCTGTTGGCTCTTTGAGGGCTAAGAAACTAAGATTTCTTCAAAGAAAAGAAAAGCAAGTTCCAGCTCTCTGTAATATCTCTGAGTTGGATATGAAAGTATTCGTGCCGAGTCTGCATTATATACACACATTTCCTGTGCCTTCCTTTATCTTCCCATCCAAAACTGGCCTCCTGGGAGATGTTGGAACATTTTGTGACCCACTGCCTGAGGCTTCTTTTTGTGGAGTAAGCATTAAGAGAGGGAACCCAGTGGGGTACTGCACGTTAACCATAACCTGCTCTGGAAAGCCTCTGCCCACCCCGCTCCCAAGATGATGTCCCATGCACACAGTAAAGATAGCTTTGGACAGATTGTATTATAGTGAAAAATGTGCCTAACGTGTTTACAGTACAGATGGGGCTCCTTGCATGTTGGAAAAAAATATATGTATGAGGGTCTGTTCATTGCTATGCAGCAGCACTTTAAAAATATGCCTGGCTGTACTGAGGGGATGCTGGCCCAAGTTCACGCAGCTTAACGCTACGTAACATCATTGCTTACAGCTTGTTGAGCAAACAGAAGACATGCTGAACAGTTTTACCAAAGGAGTTATGGAGAGATATAAATCTGTTGCCCCACCTCCAAATAAAGCCCACGGTGAAGGAGAAGGTATAGGGAAGGCAACAAGGAGGATGTGAGGCATGGCGTACCATGGAAATAAACGTTCCCCCAATTGACTGATTATTTGGTGTGTAGTTAATGTGAAATAGGTGGTTGTTTAGGTAATTGGATGCTTTTTATTTCATGAAAATGAAATGGGGTTGTTGTGCCAGAGCCATCTCAGGGGAGTTGTGGGCGATTATATGTCATTACTACATGTATATTAATAGATCCCGGTAATTCAGCCGCACTGTATTTTTCAAATAAACAAAAATCTTCAAGTCCCACAATAGCCTCCAATTAAGAAGTTGTTTCACAGCAGTGTTTAAGAAATAATGTAAACTGAGAACAGCAGTCAAGCTAAATGGGAGAGTAGATTTCCAAGCAAAGCTAAATTTTTAACTTTGAGCTGTGTTAATAATTCACGGAACAAACTCTAGATGCACTATCTGTGCTTTCAGCTGCTTGGTCCAATCAGTCCATTATTTTTAAATTTAAAGTAGGGGGAAAATAAGTAATTTCCATTGAGGTCTGCTCTATCAATAATGCAAGGTTATTTCAAATGTTCTGGAGGATGTTATAGTTAATATCAGGATTATGTATGTTCTGCTTCTGCCATAGAGACAGCAATTATTCAAACTTACGTTGTTTTCTTTCTTCTTGCAAGAGCACAAAACTGTTTCTCTTACTCGTGTACAATGTTATGGGCTGCCACTCATAATCATTTTACCTGTTTCAGCAGATCCCTCAGGCCTCCATACAAAACCCTAAATAATCCATTACATCAAAAGCAGTGTTCTGTCCGCGAGAGACAGATAGGAAGGGGAAGACCTGACCTTTTAGCAGAGTACCCTTTTCAGGAAAGAAACATCGTTTCTATGGCAAGGAGAAAGACAGATTTCAAGCCATTTATTTTCTGAGCTTTCCTCCTAAATTTGAAGAAGAGGAAAAATGGAGAATCACAAGGAAGTGTAAGAAAACAATGCCCACTATCAACCAATCAGTGTTATACCACAGTGAGGAATGGAGCTCTGTCTGTTATCAGCTGTGTGGCAGAGTAAGGAGGAACAGCTTCAGTAGAGTTTTCCTTTTAAGAATGTAAGATTTCCACTTCCAACTTTTGTGGATTTAAAAAAAAAAAAAAAAAAAAAAAAAGTGCTACATAAGATTATAATAAATAGTATTTCATCTGCATCTTGCAGAGGAGAACATTTTGAGCCATGGAAAAAGCTGTCACTTCTCTGGGTCTATTTGTTTAGTCCCTTGCTTAAGGGATCTGGCCTGTGGCTAGAAAAGGCTGAGAGTGGTGAGGTGCTGGAACAGCTGTCCAGAGAGTCTGTGGATGCCCCATTCCTGGAGGTGTTCAAGGCCAGTTTGGATGGGGCTCTTGGCAGCCTCGTCTGGTATTAAATGTGGAGGTTGGTGGCCCTGCATGCAGCAAGGGGGTTGGAGCTTGATGATCCTTGAGGTCACTTCCAACACAACCCCTTTTCTGATTCTGTGATTCTGTGACAAGAGGTTGATTTATTACCTTCTAGAATGAGGTCTGAGAGGGGATATAGTTGCTCTTTTTGAAATACAACCTAGAAGTAAAGACCCCACAAGGAGAAGAACAATGTAATCCAAAAGGCAATGTTAGCAGAGGATCAAATGGTTACAGACTCACTATGAATTATTTAGATGAGAAATTAAATGAAGGTTTCTAACCAGCCAAGCAGTGGAGTAGCTTTCCAAAAAAATCCTGGGAAGCAGAAAAAATCGCTCATTTTCTGGTGGAGCTTTCACTGTGAAAAGGACTTTGAATTGTTTTCTGAGGGCCCAACTTGAAGGTTCTCACTTTCACAATCTTGTGTTCCTGGGTCACTCTGTAATGCTAAACAATAATGAAAGACAGCCAAAGCTTCTGCAAAGGATGAAGTAGTATAATCAGTATGAAACATCATGATGGAGGAGGACAAACAAAGCAAGGCACTTGGAATTTTCAGATTGCTTTCAGCAGGTTTCAGGCAGGACAACTGCGAAAGAAGCAGGCTTCTTCCAGGAGCATTTTCGTGGTAGCTTGGTAATTTTCATAAACTCTGGATCGCATACTTTTCTTTTTTGACTCCCCTGAACTACAGTCTTTCTACTTAATTCTTTAGTCCTTACCCAAAGAAAAATCTTTTACATACAGTGAGCCAGGACCACCCTCTTTCTTTCATCTTTTGTAAGGAAGCAATGGAAGATTCTTGTCATTTCAAGAAGCAGAGTCAGGTTATTACCAAATATCTGCCTCCTTTCTTGTAAAAAATATGCTTTTTACTTTCTTCATTAGAATTACATATGGTATTACCTTGTGCTATAACAGAGTATCACGCCAGTGGTTAATTTTTTAATGATGGACTGAAGATTTCTGCAGTAAAGTTCTCAAAACTGCTAGGAATCTTTCTGGATTAAAGGCAAGGTCATCATTAAAATCCTTTTCATTTATCCTTTCAGCCCCTTAAGTTTCGGTACAAGAATCTTTAGAAGATAAATGGCTCAGGGCACCTTTTCTTCTCCACAGTTCGTAGCCTGCATTAGATTCTTGAAAGTCATTTTTTCCCAAACATGAAGAATCCCTTTGCTTGTCTTTACTGAAGGAAACCATTTGCACAGAAAATTCCTTTCAGTGTATAGATTGTACGTCTGTATCTGAAGATGTGAGGGGCTGCTGAAGAATCCTTTGGATGTCTTTGAGCATCTAGTAGCATGTTGCAGAGGAACAAAGCATGTATTTGGGCCAGCTCAATGCCATACATCCTCTATTGCTCCAAGCTGCTATGGAGGAGATCTGGGTTTTCCCATGGGCCTCAACCAATGCTACACACAGGAGTTCATCGTGCTGTGCTTCCTCTCTGAAGCTGCTCTGGCAGCTATTTTCATCATCCTAACGAACCACAGAATGGTTCGTTACTTTTCAAATGGCTCTTGGTTACTCTAAAGGTAAATACTGTTCAATAAAGAATGCTCTATGAACATCCATCCACTAAGGACACTGTCTGTGACAAAATAATTTACTTTTGTCATTTCTGAAGTGAAACTCTGGTTTGCTGTGTTGGTGACCATCAGCGTGCGTTTTCAGTGATCTGTTATTTATATTCTGCATCCCACAAATTTGTGCTAGTTACCATGCTCATCCTAACGAGAATATTCTTCACATGAACATTTTTCAGCCACCCAAAGCAGAGAGTCTGAACGGGCTGCTGTTGGGATACCGGATCTACTACAGGGAGCTGGATTACGATGCCGGGTCTGCCACCGAATCCAAAGCTGTCAGGAACCCCTCAGCTTTAAGAGCTGAGCTCACACGTAAGCCTGTGTTTCGGATGCTTATCCCTGAATGTCTTCATACCAGACACTATGTGCACTCCTACCTATGGAAAGAAAGCACCATTATGCCCAAAGTGCTGGAGATAATTTAGATTTCACCCAGTCAAGGTGAAGATGCTGGAAAATGCTAATAGCCTCTGTCTGATCAGCATCGCTTGTGATGGTGCACTCTAATCTGTGCCAGCGTGCTTGAATCGATGTTCTGTCCTCCATGTCCCCTCTGATTTCCTGCTTTCTGCCATCTCCACAATTACCCCAGTAGACATTTTCTGCCATCAGACAAAAAGGAGAGAGATTTCATTTTCCTCAGCTTGCTATTTTCTAATAGTTTTTATAATTGACATTTTGTTTTTCTTTTTGCAGTAGAGGAAAACAGCTGAGGAGAAATCTTAAATAGCACTTGTAAAACTTTGAAGTGCTTGTCCTTATTTTGGAAGAAAATAGCAAAAATGAGCAAGAAGGTGCATGCTTGCTCTGGTGGTTGCTGGGATTTTTTTGGGAAGGAAGGTAGAGAGGGAAGGGAATAATAGAAAAAAGTGAAAAAGGCTTAGAAAAAGGGTAGAAAGAAAGAATAGGCAGAATAAGGTGATGGAAGGTAAAGATGTGAGTGCTCAGTAACCCTACAGGCCCAGCAATGAGGAGTGCTCACAGCAGGACCGACTTTAGTCCTGTTTGATGTCAGTGGAATATTCAGAGTAAGACGAGAGTCTATGAGCAGCAGAATATGCCAAGACTACTTTAATGTCTTACAGCATCTCCCATGTTTCTCTGAATCCATAAACATGGCTTTTATAAAAGCAAGAAAGATTTTTGTGTGAATGTGGGAAAGGTGAATGTATTAATGTAGCATCGGCATCCATCTGTGATTCCATTTACATTGTCAGACCTGAGTGAGGGCTCTGGGAGCACAGAGGTTAATCCAGAGAAGACATGTACAGCTCCTCCAGGTGCAGGCATGCACAAGGGTTGTTTTTTCCAGGCAAAAGCTGAATGATGAGCTGTGTATCTCATCATAAAGTAATGACTTCGGATGCTCTCTGGTCTTGTAAGCTAGGAAGCTTGTAATACCTACTGGTTTCCTCTCTTCCCTCTTCTTGCTGGCCCTGCAGCAATGCTGCTAATGGCTGTATAGTAGAAAACACCTTGCTCTGCTTCTCCAGGGACACAAGAGGGGGAAAAAAAGAGTTGGAGACAAGTATTGTAAGAGAAATATCCCTCTCTCTCCTCATAATATGACAGTTCTCACCTCAGTGCACCCTTGTTCCTCACTGACCTGCAGTTTTACACTGCTTAACATATTACTGCAGTTCATTCACAGCAGGAATTTTGAATTCTGTAAGTGAAACTGTGGGGAATCTAACATGCATTTAAAGAAACGGGTCCTATCGTACTTTAAGTGTTTGCTCTTTGTGGCCCATGTTCCAAGTCTTTACCCTGCAGCTCTCCATGTTTCAAATTTTGCATGTTGAGACATAAGAATGCTATACAGTGTTTAGTTTCTCCCCTAGAAACTGTTTCCTCTGCACTCATTTATTCTGTTTAATCTAAGAGTCAGAACATTTCTCTATTGCATATTTGTATGATTCTCTGTTTGAGGAGAAAATGAAAAAACCCGTGTGAGTGAGATGCTTTTGATGTGTTACAAGAGTGATGTGGTTTTATTGCCCTTCGAGGTATAGTCCTAAAGCTCAAACTGTGTGTGTGTGTGCTGCATCATTTGCCTCTGTCTCTGCTGTACATCATTTGCAATAACTGTTTCCTTGCACTGTAACAAGCTTTCTGCTTTGCTTACCCTGAATAGCCCAAAGCAGCTTCAAGACAGTGAACAGCAGCTCTGCATTAACGACGTATGAATTAACACGTAAGTGCACATTGCCTTTAGATGAGACTCTTTCTAATGGTTCAAAATACAATACAGGCAAACTCCTCTTGTTGTCCTCGGCGGATCTGGCAGAAATCAACACAAATTAATGATTCTGGTTTCTGGAGTTCCTTTTTCTTTAAGCCTTTGCTTTCTCTACATCAATAGATATTGATGATGCAAGTAGGTAGTGGTTGTAAAATTGTGGCTGCTGGGAAGGTAAAGCATAGTTGACTGTAACAACCCAGCATTGCTGATGCTAAATGAATTTTGATTTGCTTGCTATGTATTTTGCAGTCCATCTGAGTTTAGCAGTATCACATCATTAGCCCTACGATTCAAGCATTGCAGTGCTCAAGCATTCCTTAGAGTATGAGGCCAATTTAGAGAGGGCCCAATGAATTTATATGCATCTCCAGAGGTGTTTTCAATTGGAAATGAATAAAATAGCATTCGACAGAGTTAAAAGGCAAGTTGCTTTGTGGTGATGATGGTTCACTAGATAGGTTTTGCCCAAGGCTTTTGAGTCACAGATTGTGCTGGGCTAAAAAAAAAAAGAAGCCCTATCCCCACTGAAACTTGCATGCATGAACTCTCATATGTTCCATTTTCTTCCACATCCAGTTAACACTAAAATGTCCCTTGTGGCTTTTCATGACAGCAATTAAACTTTCTCTGTACCAGCTGCCTAGTACTGAAATTCTAATCAAGAGCCATATATCTTACATTTTTTTTTAATATTTATTAATGGACTGGCAAAAAGTTAGTGATATATTGGATATCATTTACTCTATACCCGAGAATAGGAAACGAGTCTGAGCTCTGAGTCAGGCATAGGAGCAAGGCACTTGTAAATATTTCCATGGAAATAAAACTTGAAGAACCAGCATGATTAGAGTTATTGAACCTCACCAAACCGATAGCATTCTGTCAGCCTCAGAGAGAAAGGTACAATGTGATTCATAGATAACAGAGAATATTATTGGCAAAGGGAGAAATTTGTACCCTGGCCATGCATGTCTTAATCAATTCTGAGCACATTTAAATACAGCTATTTATATTATTGATCTCTTTCTTACTTTAATTTCACTGTTAAATATTTTAGATGATAAATATTTCTGTTAGAATTGATTCTTCCATCATAAAAAGGCAAAGTCCAAAACTGCTCAGTTGTTGCCTTCCCAGTGACATTGGCATGGTTCTAATCCATCCCCGTTTACATCTATTAATTGCCCCCATACCATTGGGTTTTCTTGCTTTTTTGTCACACTGCTTTTATTCTCCTACCTCATCTGTAAATAGTTTGTCAGCTAATAAATTGGTTCTGTGATGGCCAAATGGAACCCACACTTCAAATTCTCCTTTCTCTTTGGGATTGATCTTTAAACCGTGTTCACATTGAGGGAGAAAGATATGCATGCAGTACTTTGAACAGGACTGCAACTTCCCTGCTGCAGGTTGTCCTCTGGATCCTGTCACAGCAGTGACATTCTCAAGCCATGCAGCTGCCAAATGACCCCTGGATCAAAGTCTCTGGGGCTAGGCGAAGGCTTGAAGCCGTGTTCATTCCTACCAGTAGAGATCAAAATGATCCCACATGTTCAGCATTCAAAGTCCCATATTTTCCCTGTCATCAGGAATGACCCAGAGGTACTCCCCTAGCTAGCTAATCATCAGGTGTGATCCTTCTTACTGGAGTGACACAGTGAAAATACTGGAAAATTCTGTCATCTCGTAGCAAAGATCTTTCATAATTGTGCAGACCCTACTGTGATAAATGTGTTGAGGAAGGGTGGAAGTAGATAGCACACCACTGCACTGTTGTAAGGCAGCATTTCATGAGAGAAGTGTGGTGATGAAGAAGTGATGGAGATTAAGACAGGTCAATACTGTAATATACTATGAATAATAATGTGCAATATAATTTACATTTTCAGAGTTGAAGAAATACAAGAGATATGAAGTGTTAATGACAGCATATAATGTCATTGGTGAGAGCCCTACCAGCACGCCAGTGGAAGTGTTTGTGGGTGAAGCAGGTAGGTAAAACAGGCTTATATATATTTTTTAGTTTCAACAAGTTCTGGTTTTCTTCAAATATTGGGAAAGGACTGGATCATTATCACTATCAGTTTTCTGTAGCATTCTCTCCTGGAATAGGCTGGCACCAATAGCTTCTTGCCTTTTCAAAGCCAGTTGGTCCACAGGAATAAGGGAAGAAGGTGCATTTGAAAGAAAAAAGAGAAAATTCTTTTTGGAGTTGCAGGAGAATGACTGGTCATACCAAATTAGCTTGAGGGAAAAATTGACTCAAGTTAAAGTAGAAAGTAGAGCATAGGAAAGCCACAAGGGAAAAGAAACAGAACTACAAAACAAGGGAGACTTGGGAAGCTGGTTCTTTTATTTTATTGCTGTCTGTGTAGTGGCATTGCCTGTGCACCACATCTTGCTGTATTTTTATGCTCTTGAATTTTATGCTCTTGAAGTCAAGAAGATATTGTGTCCAGTTTAATGCTAGCTCTGGAGCTGCAGATGAAGATTACTCTCAAGAACATGCAGACTTCTACCTCTGCATCACATGCAGAAGCTGTGGTGCAGTGTCACTACTCATGCTGCCACTTATTATGGATGCAGTGCATAAATTCAGGCTGCATTTATGAAGTGTAACTTGCTGATCAATTTTAAATCCCTCCATTGGAAGGCCGGAGGCAGACATCAGGACAAGAGAGTTAAGCAGGCACTCCTCTGAATGCTTTGTGAAACAAGCGATTTGGCGGAGCAGAGATAACCTGCAGCTGAGCCTGTTCCTCTCAAAGGCTCCAGTGGAGGACTGGAATAGCTGATGCTGATGTCTTCCTCCTCAGCCCGGTGGCGATGCAGGATTTACGGTGACCCCAGCTGGAGAGAGGCTGGCGCTGAAATGGCTGTTAGTTATGGTATCAATTTCCGCAGCAACATCTTATGAATCTTAGAACAAGAATAGGCAACACGCTCCCTCCTGTTGTTCAGTCTGCTGCTGGGAACAGATCTGATTGCACTTTTGTTCTTCTGTCTCAAGGCTAAGATGTAAAAGTTAGCAAACTCAGTGCTAATACAATTTATTGTCATTCACTGAAGATTCTATTGCTCAAAAGTAAGTAAATCCCACTTTTTTTTTTTTTAGTACTGCTTAACCTTTGAATTTCAAATAACGTATGACATTCACTATCTTTCTTTGAAAACATCATAAATTAATCAGGGTCACATGGTTTGGAGACAGCTGGCAATACCTACATGTTTTCTAGTTTGCTGGTGCTCCAATGTCTTTCTGTAACTGCAGCAAAGGAAGCCCCAAGCGGAGCCAACTGTATCTGACTTCAAAATAGATTTTTGTTTCAGAACAAAATACCTCCCTGCTGCAAACTGAGCCAACAAATGCATTTCTACACATACATAGAGCGTGGAAAATCAGGTGGGGAGTAGAAAGGGGTGGTGGTGCTCATGTATGTTAATCAGACAGCGCTTCATCTTCGTTGCAGCTCCGACAGGGAACCAGGCAATGGAGGAGGCCAAACTTGGGATGAAACCATGCTGCCCAGGGAGTGGTGGGGTCACCATCCCTGGAGGTATTCAAGAACTGCTGAGACGTGGCACTGAGGGACGTTGTTTTGTGTCAGAGTGGGGATGGGTCAACAGTTGGACTTTGGTGGTATCAGAGGTCATTTCCAACCTTAATTATTCTAAGGCTTTCTTGCACAGGCAGGGCTGGTGCTTTTGGGATTGTAACGTGACTCAGTGTGGTTTTTAGGGATCCTGGCTCTACCTCTGGTTAGGGACAATCTGGGTTCACGCAGTAGAAGTGATGAACACAGGATCTTCCCGCAGATTTTCACACTTGTGGTGTGAAGTTATTATGCTTTGTTATATAACTGCCTCTTCCACCTCCAGAGCTGGCTGTGATTTATACTGTGAGCAAAGTGATTGGAGCTGGTGCTGCAATTTAGGTTTTAAATTGATTTGTGACACTTTCGAGTTGAAGTGTGCTGTGGAAATGCAAGTTTTTGTTGTTATTGTTTGCTTGATATTCTTACCCATGGTAGAGTTGGATAAGTAGCAAGCTGGAAAAAATGGGTCCACTTAGCTTTGATGATGGGACACCCATGTAAATAGTAGAGAAAACCTTGGCAGTAAACAAAAACCACTGACACCATGAGCACAGCACTGAACACAAAGTGACTGAAGCAGAGCAGTCCCCAGCCTGAAGGATAATTTAAGTCCAAGTACTGCTAAATGGTGCTTCGTTGTGCTGTAAGGGTCTCAGTATTTCTAGTAGGTGAAAGAAGATTCCTTGCAGTTGTAAAAAGGAATATATAGCACATATCTTTGTGGGAATATGGTGGTTTTAGGTATAAGAATGCTTTAGGTAACATTTCAGAGGAAATATCCATTTCTGTGCAGTCTGCCATGTTTTATACAGCATGAAACATCCAGAAATCATATTGATGGTTGGTGTGCCATGTGGGATAGGAGCAGCAAACAGCCCAGCCAGATAAACAGTGTGGGAAGACAAGCATCCCAAACCCTTCCTTTGTTCTTGTGCTCTCCTCTGTGAGACCTGAAAATGTTCCTATCATTGTATCTGGATTTTTACAATACAAACTCAAGTAGCCAATGAGTCGTACCCGAGGCAGCGTCCCAAGTGTCCAGCTCTCATGGGCTTGGGCCAAGGGCAAGTAGAGATTCCTGGCTCAAGTAACAGGGTTGATATGCCAGGTGATTTAAAGGGATGGATGTAGGCAGATTTGGGTTTGGCTTGGTTGGTATTTTTTGTAGTAGGTGGAGCAGAACTTTTTTCTCATAGCATAGTTTTGTCCCATCCACTGAAACAGTAAAGGTTTTATGTCTGCATGTTTGCAAAGTTCTCTGATGTGGAGAATAAACCATCCCTATGCTGCACTTATGGGTCTGAGTGGAGCCAGCTCTTCCCTCACCTGCCTTGAGCCCCTGCATCCCTCTCCTATGTGGAGGAGATCCATGCAGTTGCCTATTTAAATCTGGCTGCCCTGCTCATTAGAGAACCATGTGCATCTCCTGACAAACAACAAAAAAAAATAAAATAAAATAAAAAAATTGAAAGCTGCCACTTGCAGCAGTGAGAAGGGAGCTGCAGCCCCTCAGCAAGTCCCCTTCTCGCCTGGTTAATTCATTGAGCAGTTCAGCTGTCAGGGACTCCGGCTTTGATTGGGAAGGCAGAAAGAAGCTGTGCTGATCATCATCCTGGCCCTAAATGCAGCTGCTACCAGAGGTGCTGTTCTGCTTGACTGAAATTAAGGCTCTGTTAGAGCAGCCCCTACATCAAGAGCATTATTCTACTGGGTCACTGTCGCTGTCTGATTGTGCCGTGGGCTCTGGAGTTCAGGGTAGTCCACCACCTGCATTTTAATTAAACAGAAAGCACAGGTTTGGGGCAGGCATGCTTCACCTAATTTGGGCTGGTGAATAAAATGGGAGGTGGCAATACAAATCCTGTGCTAACGAGCCTGCAGCCTCCAGTGTTTCTCTCATATACTGCGAAGCTGTTCTGGATGAAAAATAATGGAATTCATAATTTCTTCCAGCAGCTGCTGCTGGAGGAGAGGAGGTAGCAGAAGGGGTGAAGTGCTCTGAGAGACACTTGCCTTTAAATAGGTTGTAAGTCCATTTGTCTGAAGAGGGAGTGATGTGTGTCATTATAACTGATGGTGGCATTGGTGACCTTCAGAATTCACAGGAACTGATGAGGCTGGTTTGTTGTTGTTGTTGTTCTCTTTAATAATGATCTCTCAGAGCCCATTCTGCAAAGGGAAGGGGAAGGAACAAAACACTGGCAGACAGAGATCCTCTCCTTAGAAGTCCTCCACTGAAAAGCTGCTGTGGTTGCTAACATCGTCTTTCAGGAATGCAGGTTTAATGCCCATCTCGCTTTCATCAGAGTGAAACCTCAGCCTAGAAGGGGGCAGGGCTGGGACAGAGAGTTGAGCTTCTCTTCTCTTATCCTATACAGATACTTGAATTTACCCCTTGGTGCAATGCTCACAGAGGCCAAAGTGAATATTCCTCTTCTTCTTGCTGTTACCAGAATTATTTCCACCTGTCCGCAGCTCCACAGCTGTTCCTGGAGCTCCCAAAGTTAGTTTTGTGCAGCCACACCCGGAGCAAGGATGAAGGCTCAGCCCTGCAGTTACAGCAAGGGTTGCACTTGGAGCTGCCAGTGTTTTACAGTTAAGGAGCAGAAACTATCTGGAAAGCTCCACGACCAAAAGTAGTGATTTTAAATTGAAGAAGAGAAGACAAAAAAGGAGCCATGCTAAGCAGAGGCAAGCCTCGCAGGGAAGCAAAGACCAACATCCCTTTGTGAGCTGCTTCTAGCAAAGAACTCGTGTCGCTTCCAACCAGGTTGTTTGTGCTCAGGCAGTGCCTTTCTGTCTCTCCTTCTAATGCTGGAGAAGGCCGTTGGAACAAGGCTGCTTTGTCTGTGAGTGTTTTTGCTTCTTTCTGTGGGTTTTGTGTGCTCGCTGTATGTATAACCTGTGTGGCCTCATCTCCCAATTGTAGGTTGCTTTGTGGACAAGGGAGACCCTCAGCACTACCTTGGGCCCCCCTTTCCTGTAGCATGAAACTGTTTCTCCTTCTCTGCCCGCAATGGAGCTGAGAAGATGCTGCTCAGAGAAGTCCCCCGTGCCTCCTTGTTAACAACCTACAAGAGGAATGACAACATTTCAGCACATTCAAGCTGGCAGCCTCAATCAGACTGCTGTGGCCCTTTGGCTGTTTTCTCCTATCTGTCTGGGACACACGTGCCCTGTCCCTCCGTGGCTGGCTGCGCCTATGCAGATAGCTGTGCGTCGCTGCTGGCATGGCTGGAAGAGCTGGGTGGGCATTTCCATCCCAGCCCCCACTGGAGAAGGGCAGAGAAGGGTTGTTGTGGCCATTTCACACTGCAGTAGTCTAAAACCTGTCAGCCTAGGGACAGCATCTTCCCTTGATAAACAAAAGGGGAGGGAGGGAGGCAAGGGAAACT